AGGTCAGATGCATCTGCTTTTCCCCACGGGCTTCCAGGTCAAAATAATCCATATGCTGACGCGATGTCCTTTGGGGTGACATGCCCTGAGCCCCTTCGATATGTACTAGCCCCTTGCTCACTGAGAGTTGAGAGAGCACCATTCTCTGCCTGGAATGTTGGTTGCTAGCTAATCCATCCGGCCAACTGTGGCCTCCCAAACTGCTAGCATTACAACCAGTACTTTGGGAAGCCAGGCCAGGAGGATCATTTGAGCCCAGGAGTTCAAGGCCAGCCTAGGCAACACAGCGAGACCCCCATCTCTACAAAAAGTACAAACATTGGCCAGGCATAGTGACATGTGCGCCTGTAATCTCAGCCACTCCAGAGGTTGAGGTGGAAGGATCACCTGAGGCGGGCGTTGCAGTGAGCCGAGATCACGCCACTGCACTGCAGCCTGGGTGACAGAGCCAGATTCTGTCTCAAAATAAGAAAGTTCCGGGTTCCATTTGGTTCTCCCACCGCCCCCGCTGTGGTCTCAGCAGCTCGGGCAGCAGGAGGAGCTGCAGTGGCCAGGCAGCTGCAGCCCGAAGGCACCCGGCACGTGCCCTCTCTGACGCCAGGATGCCCAAGAGGAAGGTTGGCTCCGCCGAAGGGGCCACCAAGGAAGAGCCCACAAGGAGGTCGCACGGTTGTCAGCTAAACCTGCTCCTGCAAAAGTGGAAGCGAGGCCGGGTGCGGTGGCTCACGCTTGTAATCCCAGCACTTTGGGAGGCTGAGGCGGGGGATCACCTGAGGTCAGATGATATACAAAAAATTAGCCGGGCATGGTGGTGGGTGCCTGTAATCCCAGCTACTTGGGAGGCTGAGGCAGGAGAATTGCTTGAACCCGGGAGGCGGAGGTTGCGGTGAGCCGAGATGGCGTCATTGCACTTCAGCCTGGGCAACAAGAGTGAAACTCTGCCTCAAAAAAACAAAACAAAATGAATTACAATACATATTAAGAATTGTGGGCCGGGCATGGTGGCTCAAGCCTGTAATCCCAGCACTTTGGGAGGCCGAGACGGGCGGATCATGAGGTCAGGAGATCGAGACCAGCCTGGCTAACACGGTGAAACCCCGTCTCTACTAAAAATACAAAAAACTAGCCGGGCGAGGTGGCAGGCGCCTGTAGTCCCAGCTATTTGGGAGGCTGAGGCAGGAGAATGGCGTAAACCTGGGAGGCAGAGCTTGTAGTGAGCTGAGATCCGGCCACTGCACTCCAGCCTGGGTGACAGAGCGAGACTCTGTCTCAAAAAAAAAAAAAAAAAAAAAAAAAGAATTGTGTACAAATTGAAATGTACCGATCTTCAATAAAATCTCAATTATGAAAGAAAAAAGCAATAAAGTTCCATATAGTGTATTCTCATCTGAAGAATAATTCCCACACGTAAGTGCTCGCTTTGGCAGCACACATTAAACAATGGAATGATAGAGTCCCATGGCCCCTGTGCAAAGGGGACAGCCAAATTCGTGATGGGTTCCATATTTAAAATTAGGGAAAAAAAATTTCTCACACTTAAACAGCAAACTATTTCTTGTTCAGGTAGATTCTAGATATGCTGTTGATCTGAAATACAGATTTAACCGGGTTTCCCTGCTCTGGGAAGCCCCTTTTGGCAATTCGTATAAGGGTCTTTTTTGGAAGGTAATGGGTAGGAACACGGAGATGTCAGCCAAGGGAAGGGACTCTCAGGGATTTCTATGGATTATGCAGACGCCCTGCCAGATCCCAAACTTCCCCAAAAGATCCCAAGTCCAGGCAGGAAGAACCACTGGGTTCCAGAAACCAAATGACTTGGCCCAGGGTGGGAGCCTTTATCATCGGATTCCATGACTAAAAGACAACCAGGGAGCAGAGCGAAAATCCCAGGGGCTCTCTCTCCCAGAAGACACCTGCTCCATCCAGATCAAACCCACAATGGCCCCAGCCAGTGATGCCTGGCACTCCTTTCCCCTCGGCTGTCCTGCCTGCAGTGGTGCAGTGCCCTGGTGTTCCCAGTCCGGATGCCTTCACTCCTTCCAGCGCCCCAGGAGGGTCACCTTGCAGTTCTCAGGGAGGAACATGGGGTCTTCCACCCTCGTGAGCTTCCCAGACATCAGGGTCTGCCCGCCCCACTCCATTCCCAAACAATGATCTCCCAGTTCTCCCAGCCTCCTGCTTCCATTCAGGGACCACCCTTCAGTGGTAAGATTCACACAGCAGACAACCAGAACCAACCCATTATACTAAAAGTGGTCACAACAGGCCACCCATTCAAGACTGGTTTTTATGAAATGCCCACAAGAGGCAAATCCAGAGCTAGAGAGAGGCAGAGTAGTTGCCAGGGTCTGAGTGGAAGACGGGGGTGGGTACTGAAGGCAAATGGGTATAAGCCTCTTTGGGGTGATGAAAATTTTCCAAACTAGAGTGGTGGTGGTTGCAAATATGCTAATGTTCATTCATAGTCCAAACTACCAGAGACTGTGGAGGGGCAGGGGCAGGAAGATCTCTAAAGCCTAGTTTAGCTTGGGTGGCATAGCTAGACCATGTCTCTAAAATAGAAAAATTAGGCTGGCCATGGTGGCTCATGCCTGTAATCTCAGGACTTTGAGAGGCCGAGGTGGGCAGATCGCTTGAGGTCAGGAGTTTGAAACCAGCCTGGCCAACATGGTGAAACCCTGTCTCTACTAAAAATACAAAAATTGGGCAGGCATGCTGGTGCACGCCTGTAATCCCAGCTACTTGGGAGGCTGAGGCACAATAATTGCTTGAACCCGGGAGGCGGAGGTTGCAGTGAGCTGATATCAGGCCAATGTACTCCAGCCTGGGCCACAGAGCAAGGCTCCATCTCAAAATAAATAAATAAAAATAAAATATAAAAATTAAATCAAGTGTGCATTGATGACGTGGTCATGCACCCTACATTTCAGCTTCATTTACCCAAGAAAAACTCAAAGCCCATGCACTCCACCTCCATGCTCTTGCTAAGCAGTGCACATCCCATCTGCAAGGGACACTGAGGTCCCCTTCGACTCTACCTCAACCCAAGTCAAGGGAGGTTCTGTGAAGCAGTGCAGGCTTAACTACCACGGAGGAAAAGGTGCTGAGGGCTGGACAAACAGGCATCGCTCACTATGGCAACAACAAGAGCGGCTGTGCGTCCCACCTGTTACTAGGGAGCCCCTTTTAGGGTCCTCAAGGTTTTTGTGGAAGTATCTGTGGTTTTGTCCCATGTGACATTTCTCACTGTCACTGAGATTCATCTTGTCTACAACAGTTTGTTTCTTATATTAGTCACAGCAAACATTTCACATCTTACCAAGCAGCTGGCATTTAGATGCGAGGTTTTGCCCGGTGGAATGGTACCTTGGAATCGTTACCCACAGAAGATAGGATAAACAGGGCAGCTGCAGTCAAAAGAACTGACTGGGGTTGGCATGAGTGGGTGAGGGTTGAATCAGCTACACCTTTCCTGCAGAGAAAGCAGGTCTATTCTGAGAAATGATGGCAAGTTGTCGGGGAAGAAAAACTAAAGACACAAATGAACAGGAAAAAAAAAGAAATTTTATTAATATTGACATCCGTGGGGGATTACAAAATAGACTGGATAGACGTGGAGGCTTTCTCAGTCTCTTAATGAAGGAAACATGATTTGGATTGATTACACTAAATTGATAGGAGGGTAGAGTTTCAAATGACCAACCCCAAATGAAGTCTCTGGAACCAGGTGCCAGGTGCCATGTAATCTGTGTTTTTAAAGAGATGGGATATTGCGATGTGGTCCAGGCTGGCCAACATATGCTCACAAGAAGAGCAATTCCTACACATAAGTGCTTGCTTCGGCAGCACACATAAAAATAAATGAAATGAGCTGGGTGCAATGGCTCACACCTGTAATCCCAGCACTTTGGAAGGCCGAGGTGGGTGGATCACCTAAGGTTGGGAGTTTGAGACCAGCCTGACCAACATGGAGAAGCCCCATCTCTACTAAAAATACAAAAAATTAGCCGGGCGTGGTAATGCCTGTCTGTAATCCCAGCTGCTCGGGAGGCTGAGGCAGGAGAGTCGCTTGAACCAGGGAGGTGGAGGTTGCAGTGATCCGAGATCGCGCCATTGCAGTCCAATCTGGGCAACAAGAGGGAAATTCTGTCTCCAAAAACAAAAACAAAAAAAAATTAGCCTGTGTGGTGGTGGCCGCCTGTAATCCCAGCTACTTGGGATCAAAGGTGTGATCAGTGCATGGTATAGCCTGGAAATCAAAGGAACCTCCCACCCCAGCCTCTGCAGTAGCTGGGACTGTGTGCCCACAATGCCTGGCCATGTCAGCTATGTTTGAAATGGGTCATCAGGACAAGGTGGGTCACACCTTTAGGATCCTGTGAGCTCAGGAGTTGAGACCATCCTGGGCAAGACAGACCCCCTTTCTATCAAAAATCAAAAACTTAGCCAAGTGTGGTGGCACGCCCCATGTAGTCCCAAAACTTGGGAGGCTGAGTCAAAAGGACCACTTGAGGCCAGGCACGGTGGCTCACACCTGTAATCCCAGCACTTTGGGAGGAAAGGGAGGTGGATCGCTTGAGGACAGGAGTTGAGACCAGCCTGGCCAACATGGTGAAACCCTGTCTCTGCTAAAAATACAAAAATTAGCCGGGCATGATGGTCCGCACCTGTAATCCCAGCTACTCGGGAGGCCGAGGCAGGAGAATCGCTTGAACCCAGGAGGTGGAGGCTGCAGCGAGCCGAGATTGCCCCACTGCACTCCAGCCTGGGCTGAGAGAGAGAGAGAGAGAGAGAGAGAGAGAGAGAGAGAGAGATAAAGAAAGAAAAAAGAGACTGCTTGAGCCTAAGGGATCTAGGTTGGAAGTGCCACCGCACTCCAGCCTGGGCAACAGAGACCCTGTCTTGGAAAAAAAAAAAACAAAGCAAAAACAGAAGCCCACCATCATGCAAGTCTGATGGTAAGCATGCTCTGCAAATGTATTACCAAGATCAACATCGACTTCAATGTTGCTTTTCTCAAATAGTAACACTCTAAAAGGATGCACTTTCTTTTTCTGACCATAGAAAGTGCTTCCCTGTAGATGGTCACAGCCTGAGATCTTCTTGCTCCAGCACTGTGGATTTTCTGTTGGAATCTTCCTTAACCAGGTCAAAATGGACACAGAAATAAAGATGCATTTATTGGCCCTGTTTGTGTGTTTTCTGGAATCCAGAGCATAAATCCCTAAAAGGACCGTCTCCAGTTCCTTGCTTCAAACAATCAGCAGGTTAGTCCTGTTCATCAAGGGGCAATTCTCTTGAGTTTTGTCTCCAGAAGGAAAAAGCAGCCGGGCGCGGTGGCTCACACCTGTAATCCCAGCACTTTGGGAGGCCGAGGCAGGCGGATCACGAGGTCAGGAGATCGAGACCATCCTGGCTAACACAGTGAAACCCCGTCTCTACTAAAAATACAAAAAACTAGCCAGGCATGGTGGCGGGTGCCTGTGGTCCCAGCTACTGGGGAGGTTGAGGCAGGAGAATGGCGTGAACCCGGGAGGATCACCTGCAGGATCACCTGAGCTTGCAGTGAGCCAAGATCGCGCCACTGCACTCCAGCCTGGGCGACAGAGCGAGACTCCGTCTCAAAAAAAAAAAAAAAGAAAAGAAAAAGCAATGCCTACTAGATATATTATATTTGCCCAAGAGAATTAGGCTGGATGTCTAGAGAACAGCAAATGGATTCTGAGCCAAGTGTTCACTTGAGTTCCAGGACAGAGGCATACAGTCCCCATGGAGGCATCCAAAATGGAATCTAAGAGGTTGAAGACTATACCTTGTCACACACACAAACATCCTCCAGGATAGACCACAGGCTAGGATGTAAAAGTTCCTCAATAAAATGTGAGCAGAAACACACAAGTAAGGCTGGGGCACGGTGGCTCATACCATTCATTTCAGCAGTTCAGGAGGCCGAGGCGGGAGGATCAATTGAGCTCAGCGGTCCGAGACCAGCCCAGGCAACATGGTGAAACCTCATCTGTACAAAAAATACAAAAGTTAGTCAGGTGTGATGGTGCATGCCTGGAGACAGCTATTCAGGAGGCTGAGGTGGGAGGTGGAGGTTGCAGTGAGTCGAGATCGCACCACTGCCCTACAGCCTGGGTGACAGAGCCAGACCCTATCTCAAAAATCAATAATAAAAATGCAAAAATTAGCTGGCGTGGTGGCACATGCCTGTAACCCCAGCTGCTCGGGAGGCTGAGGCAGGAGAATTGCTTGAATCCAGGAGGCAGAGATTGCAGTGAGCCCAGTTCCTGCCACTGCACTCCAGCCAGGGCCACAGAGCGAGACTCTGTCCCAAAAAGAGGACCACTTGAACCCAAGAGATCTAGGCTGGAAGGGCCACCGCACTCCAGCCTGGGGAACAGACATCCCGTCCTAGATAAAAAACAAAGCAAACATAAAACCCCACCGTCATCCACGTCTGACGATAAGCATGCTCTGCAAATGTGTTACCAAGATCAGCGTCAACTTCAACGTTGCTTTTCTCAAACCGTAACCCTCGGGAAGGAAACACTTCCTTTTCTTTAGACAACAGAAAGTGCTTCTTTCCTCGAGACGGTCACAGCCTGAGATCTTCTTGCTCCAGCACCGTGGATTTTTTGTTGGAATTTTCCTTGACCAGGTTAAAATGGACACAGAAATAAAGATGCATGTATTGCCCCTGTTTGCCTGTTTTCTGGAATCCAGAACATAAACCCCAAAAAGGACCATCTCCAGTTCTTTGCTTCAAAGGCTCAGCAGGTTAGCCTTGCTCATCAAGGGACGATCCTCCTGAGTTTTGTCTCTGGAAGAAAAAGCAATGCCTACGACACATACCTTATGTTTAACCGAGAGAATTGAGCTGGATTTCTAGAGAACAGCAATGGATTTTGACCCAAGTGTTCACTTGAGTTCCAGGACAGGGACCCACAGTCCCGAGGGGAGCACCCAAAATCAAGTTTACAATGTTCAAGACTATACATTGTCACACACAAACATTCTCCAGGATAGACCACAGGCGTGGTCATAAAAACCCGTCAAAATTTGAACCTAAATACACAAGTACCGGTGAGGCACGGTGGCTCACACCTCTAATCCTAGCATTTAGGAGGCCAAGACGGGAGAATCACCTGAGCTCAGGAGTTCGAGACCAGCCCCAGCAACATGGTGTAACCCCGTGTGTATAAAAAATACAAAAGTGAGCCAGGTGTGGTGGTGCATGCCTGGAAACACTAATTCAGCAGGGCTTAGGTGGGAGGTGGAGGTTGCAGTGAGCCGAGATCGCACCACTACACTCCAGCCAGGCGATAGAGCCAGACCTTGTCTCAAAAATAACCAACCAAACAAATAAAACACACACACACACACACAAAGAAACAAAAAAATACCCAAGGTGATATCAGAGTATTCTCTGTATTTAGAACAGTATTTTGTGTGTATATATTGTATATAAAGAATATATGATAAAATATACATCATATATTTCTGAGACCCTGTCTCAAAGTTCCATACATTGTATGCCCTCAGGAACAATCATTCCTGCACATAAGTGTTTGCTTTGGCAGGGCACATAAAAAAAACTGGGGCCGGGCGCGGTGGCTCACGCCTGTAATCCCAGCACTTTGGGAGGCCAAGGCGGGCGGATCACCTGAAGTCGGGAGTTCGAGACCAGCCTGACCAACATGGTGAAACCCTGTCTCTACTGACAATACAAAATTATCTGGGCGTAGTGGCGCGTGCCTGTAATCCCAGCTACTAGGGAGGCTAAGGCAGGAGAATTGCTTGAACCTGGGAGGCGGAGGTTGTGGTGAGCCAAGATCGTGCCATTGCACTCCAGCCTGGGCAATAAGAGTGAAACTCCTTTTCAAAAAAAAAAAAAAAAAAAAAGAAAATTGGAATGACAGAGGACAGAGTTACCCTGGCCCCTGCACAAAGGTGACATCCAAATTCATGATGGTCTCGTATTTATCTATTTATTTTTATCTATTTCATTTCATTTTATTATTTATTTTATTTTTCAGATGCAATCTTGCTCTGTGGCTCAGGCTGGAATGCAATGGCGTGATTTCAGCTCACTGAAATCTCCTCCTCCTGGGTTCAAGCGATTCTCCTGCCTCGGCCTCCGAGTAGCTGGAATTACAGATGTGCACCACCGCACCCGCTAATTTTTATAGTTTTAGTAGAGACGAGGTTTTGCCATTTTGACCCTGTTGGTCTTGAACATGACCTCAGGTGATCCTCCCGTCTCGGCCTCCCAAAGTGCTGGGATTACAAGTGTGTGCCACCACACCCGGCTGAGTTTTTACTTTTTTTGAGACTGAGTCTCACTCTGTTGCCCAGGCTGCAAGAGGCTCGATCTCAGCTCACTGAAAGTTCAGCCTCCCAGCCTCAAGCAATTCTCCTGCCTCATCCACCCGAGTAGCTGGGATTACGGGCGTGCATCAAGACCACGTCTCGCTAATTTTTTTATTTTTAGTACAGACGAGCTTTCACCGTGTTGGTCAGGCTGGTCTCGAACAACTAACCTCAGGTGATCCTCCTGTCTCGGCCTCCCAAAGCGCTGGAATGACAGGCTTGAGCCACCGTATCTGGACTAGTCCCATATTTAAAATTAGGAAAAAAAAAAGATGCCCACAACTAACCAGCAAATCATTTGTTGTTCAAGTACATCTCAAATACATCGTTTATCTAAAATACGTGTTTAACAGGGGGCCGGGCGTGAACCAAATAACATTCCTTACTTTGTTCTTGCCTGTGCATGGGTTAATATTCACATGCAGTCCCATCTACCAAGGTCTGCAGAGGGGCAGAGGCAGGAGGATCTAAGCCCACTTTAGCCTGGACAGCATAGTGAGACCCCCGTCTCATGCATTTACCTCCTGGTCATGCACCCAAGATTTCAGCTTCATTTCCCCAATAAACACTGAAGCCCCACGCACTCCACCCCCGTGCTCCTGCTGAGCCGTGCACATCCCATCTGCAGGGGACACTGAGGTCCCTTCAACTCCACCTGATCCCACGTGAGGTTCTATCCCAGTGCCAGATAATTTCCCTAAAGTAAAAGGTGGTGATGGCCCCGTGGTGGCTCACGCCTGTATTCTCAGCACTTTGGAAGGCTGAGGCGAGTGGCGCACTTGAGGTCAGGGGTTTGAGACCAGTCTAGCCAACATGGTGAAATTCCATCTCTACTAAAAAAAAAATACAAAAAGTAGCCAGGTGCGGTATTGGGCTCCCGTAATTCCAGCTACTCAGGAGACTGAAGCAGGAGAATTGCTTGAACCTGAGAGGCGGTGGTTGCAGTGAGCCAAGATTGCACCACTGCACTCCAGCCTGGGTCACAGAGCAAGATTCTATTTCAAAAGAGAGGACCATTTGAGCCCAAGAGACCAAGGTTGGAAGTGCCCCCCCACTCCAGCCTGGGCAACAGAGACCTTATCTTAGAGAAACAACAACCACCAAAATCAGAAGCCCACCATCATCCAAGTCTGATAACCATGCTCTGCAAATGCATTACCAAGATCAGCACCAACTTCAACGTCGCTTTTCTCAAACCGAAACACTCTAGACAGAAGCGATTTGTTTTCTTTCAGACAACAGAAACCGCTTCTGTCCAGAGAGTCACAGCATGAGATCTTCTTGCTCCAGCAATCCGGATTTTTTGATGAAATTTCCCTACACCAGGTTAAAATGGACACAAAAATAAAGATGCATTTATTGGCCCTGTTTGCGTGTTTTCCGGAATCCAGAACATAACCCTCTGAAAGGACCATCTCCAGTTCTTTGCTTCAAAGGCTCAGCAGGTTAGCTTTGTTCATCATGGGGCAATCCTCCTGAGTTTTGTTTCCAAAGAGAAAAAGCAGTGACTATTAGACATACCTTTTTATTTTTTGAGATGAAGTCTCGCTCTGTCACCCAGGCTGGAGTGCAGTGGCGTGATCTCAACTAACTGCAGCCTCCGCTTCCTGGGTTCAAGCAATTCTCCTGCCTCAGCCTCCCAAGTAGCTGAGATTACTGGTGCAGGCCACCACGCTTGGCTAATTTTTGTATATTTAGTAGAGATGGATTTCACCGTGTTGGTCAGGATTGTCTCGAACTCCTGACTTTGTGATCCTCCCACCGTGGTCTCCCAAAGTGCTGGGATTACAGCTGTAAGCCACACGCCCGGTCTAATTTTTGTATTTTTAGTAGAGACATGGTTTCACCATGCAGGTTAATCTGGTCTTGAACTCCTGACTTCAAGTGGTCTGACCACCTCGGCCTCCCAAAGTGCTGGGATTATAGGCGTGAGCCCCTGCGCCCAGCCCACATAACTTATTTTTAACCAAGATAATTGGCCTGGAATTCATGAGACCAGAAATGGACATTGAGCCAAGTGTTCACTTGAGTTCCAGGACAGGGACACATAGTCCCGATGGGAGCATTCAAAATGGACCCTAAGAGGTTGAAGAATATACCTTGTCACACACACAAACATCCTCCAGGATAGACCACAGGCTAGGATGTAAAAGTTCCTCAATAAAATGTGAGCAGAAACACACAAGTAAGGCTGGGGCACGGTGGCTCACACCATTCATCTCAGCAGCTTAGGAGGACGAGGCGGGAGGATCAATTGAGCTCAGCGGTCCGAGACCAGCCCAGGCAACATGGTGAAACCTCATCTGTACAAAAAATACAAAAGTTAGCCAGGTGTGATGGTGCATGCCTGGAGACAGCTATTCAGGAGGCTGAGGTGGGAGGTGGAGGTTGTAGTGAGTCGAGATCGCACCACTGCCCTACAGCCTGGGTGACAGAGCCAGACTCTGTCTCAAAAATCAATCAATCAATCAATAATAAAAATGCAAAAATTAGCTGGGCGTGGTGGCACATGCCTGTAACCCCAGCTGCTCGGGAGGCTGAGGCAGGAGAACTGCTTGAACCCAGGAGGCAGAGACTGCAGTGAGCTGAGTTACTGCCACTGCACTCCAGCCAGGGCCACAGAGCGAGACTCTGTCCCAAAAAGAGGACCACTTGAACCCAAGAGATCTAGGCTGGAAGGGCCACCGCACTCCAGCCTGGGGAACAGACACCCTGTCCTAGATAAAAAACAAAGTAGACATAAAACCCCACCGTCATCCACGTCTGACAATAAGCATGCTCTGCAAATGTGTTACCAAGATCAGCATCAGCTTCAACGTTGCTTTTCTCAAACCGTAACCCTCGGGAAGGAAACACTTCCTTTTCTTTAGACAACAGAAAGTGCTTCTTTCCTCGAGACGGTCACAGCCTGAGATCTTCTTGCTCCAGCACCGTGGATTTTTTGTTGGAATTTTCCTTGACCAGGTTAAAATGGACACAGAAATAAAGATGCATGTATTGGCCCCATTTGCATGTTTTCTGGAATCCAGAACATAAACCCCTAAAAGGACCATCTCCAGTTCTTTGCTTCAAAGGCTCCGCATGTTAGCCTTGTTCATCAAGGGACAATCCCCCCAAGTTTTGTTCCCAAAGAGAAAAAGCAATGCCTTGTAGACATACATACCTTATATTTAACCAAGAGAATTGGGCTGGATTTCTAGAGAAGAGCGATGGATACTGAGCCAGGTGTTCACCGGAGTTCCAGCACAGGGACACGCAGTCTCTATGGAAGCAACCAAAATGGAATCTAAGAAGTTGAAGAATATACATTGTCTCACACACAAACATCCTCCAGGGTAGACCACAGGCGAGGACGTAAACACTTCTCAATAAAATTTGAACGGAAATACAGAAGGCCAGGCAAGGTGGCTCACACCTGTAATCCCAGCACTTTGGGAGGCCAAAGCCGGTGGATCATGAAGTCAGGAGTTTGAGACCAGCCTGGCCACCATGGCAAAATCCCATCTGTACAAAAAATACAAAAAATTAGCCAGGCGCAGTGATGGGCGCCTGTAATCCCAGCTACTTGGGAGGCTAAGGCAAGAGAATCGTCTGAATCCGGGAGGGAGGTTGCAGTGAGCTGAGATCCAGCCTGGGTGACAGAGTGAGACCCCATCTCAAAAAAAAAAAAAAAAAAAAAGGGCCGGGTGCCATGGCTCACACCTGTAATCCCACCACTTTGGGAGGCCGAGGCGGGCGGATCACGAGGTCAGGAGATCGAGACCGTCCTGGCTAACATGGTGAAACCCCGTCTCTACCAAAAAATACAAAAAACTAGCCGGGCGAGGTGGCGGGCGCCTGTAGTCCCAGCTACTTGGGAGGCTGAGGCAGGAGAATGGTGTGAACCCGGGAGACGGAGCTTGCAGTGAGTGGAGATCGTGCCACTGCACTCCAGCCTGGGCGACAGAGCAAGACTCTGTCTCAAAAAAAAAAAAAAATAATAATAATAATAAATTAATTAATTAAAAAAACAAAACGAACAAACAAAAAAACAAATATTATCCAGGTGTGGTGATGGGCACCTGTAAATCTCAGCTACTTGGGAAGCTGAAGCAGGAGAATCGCTTGAACCCAGGAGGCGGAGGTTGTAGTGAGCCAAGATGGCGTCACTGCACTTCAGCCTCGGTGACAGAGAGAGTCTCTGCCCCCCAAAAAGGACCATTTAAATCCAAGAGACCTAGGTTGGATATGCCGTCGCACTCCAGCACGGGCAACACAGACCCTGCCTTAGAATAAAAAGGCAAAACCAAAACGGAACCCCACCATCGTTCAAGTGTGATAAGCATGAGCTGCAAATGTATTACCAAGATCAGCATCGACTTCAACGTTGCTTTTCTCAAACCGTAACCCAGCAAAGAGAAGCACTTTCTTTTAGTTTAGACAACAGAAAGGGCTTCCCTTTGTAGGGTCACAGCATGAAATCTTCTTGCTCCAGTACTCTGCATTTCTTGTGGAAATTTTCCTTAACCAGGTCAAAATGGACACAAAAATAAAGATGCATTTATTAGCCCTGTTTGCATGTTTTCTGGAATCCAGAACATAAACCACTAAAAGGACCATCTCCAGTTCCTTCCTTCAAAGAATCAGCAGGTTAGCCTTGTTCATCAAGGGGCAATCCTCCTGAGTTTTGTCTCTAAAGAGAAAAAGCAATGCCTACTACACATACCTTATCTTTACCAAGAGAACTGGGCTGGATGTCTAGAGAACAACAATGGATTTTGAGCCAAGTGTTCACTTGTGTTCCAGTACAGGGACACAGTCCCGACGGAAGCATCCAAAATGGAATCTAAATTAGCCAGGCATGGTGGCGCATGCCTGTAATCCTAGCTTCTCAGGAGGCTGAGGCAGGAGAATTGGTTGAACCCAGGAAGAGGAGGTTGCAGTAAGTGGAGATCGTAGCACTGCACTCTAGCCTGGGAGATAGAGCAAGACTGTCCCAACAATAATAAATAAATAATTAATTAATTAAATAAACAAAAATTAGCTGGGTGTGGTGGCTCATGCCTGTAATCCCAGCTGCTCAGGAGGCTGAGTCAGGAGAATGGCTTGAACCTAGGAGGCAGAGGTTGCAGTGAGCAGAGTTTCTGCCACTGCCCTCCAGCCTGGGTCACAAAGTGAGACTGAACCAAAAAAAAGGACCGCTTGAGCCCAAGAGATCTGTTAAAAGAGCCACCACACTCCAGCCTGGGCAGCAGACACCGTGTCACAGAGAAAAACAGGCTCGGTGTGGTGGCTCACGCTTGTCATCTCAGCACTTTGGGAGGATGAGGTGGGCAGATTACCTGAGGTCAGGAGTTTGAGACCAGCCTGGCCAACATGGTGAAACCCGTCTCTGCTAAAAATACAAATAATTAGCTGGGCATGGTGGCACAGGCCTGTAATCCCAGCTACTCAGGAGGCTGAGGCAGGAGAACTGCTTGAGCCTGGGAGACAGAGGTTGCATTGAGCCGAGATCATGCCACTGCATTCCAGCCTGGGTCACAGAGCAAGACTGTGTCTCAAAAAACAAACAAACAAACAAAAACACCCCAGAAGCCCACCATCATCCAAGTCTGATGGTAAGCCTGCTCTGCAAATGTATTACCAAGATCAGCATCAGCTTTGACGTTCCTTTTCTCAAACAGTAATCCTCTAAAAGGGTGCACTTTCTTTTTCTGACCACAGAAAGTGCCTCCCTGTAGAGGGTCACAGCCTGAGATCTTCTTGCTCCGGCGCTGTGGATTTCTTGTTGGAATTTTCCTTGACCAGGTTAAAATCGACACAAAAATAAAGATGCATGTATTTGTCCTGTTTGCCTGTTTTCTGGAATCTAGAATATAAACCCCTAAAAGGACCATCTCCAGTTCCTTCCTTCAAAGAAGCAGCAGGTTAGCCTTGTTCATCAAGGGGCAATCCTCCTGAGTTTTGTTCCCAAAGAGAAAAAGCAATGTCTACTAGACGTACCTTATATTTCACCACGAGAATTGGGCTGAATTTCTAGAGAACAGCCACGGATTTTGAGCCAAGTGTTCACTTGAGTTCCAGGACAGGGACACACAGTTCCGATGGGGGCATCCAAAATGGAATCTACGATGAAGAATACACATTGTCGTAAGCAAAAACGTTCTCCCGGAGAGACCACAGGCTATGCTGTAAAAGCTCCTCAATAGAATTTGAGCAGAAATACACAAGTACAGGTGGGGCACGGTGGCTCACACCACTAATCCCAGCACTTTAGAAGGCTGAGACAGGAGGGTCACTTGAGCTCAGGAGTTCAACATGAGCCTGGGCAACATGGTGAAACCATGTCTGTAAAACAAATACAGAAGTTAGCCAGGTATGGTGGTGCATGCCTGGAGACAGCTATTCAGGAGACTGAGGTTGGGGGTAGAGGTTGCGGTGAGCCAAGATTGCACCACTGCACTTCAGCCTGGGCGACGGAGTGAGACTCTGTCTCAAAAATAAATAAATAAATAAATAAATAAATAAATAATAAAAATATAAAAATTAACCAGGTGTGGTGGCACATGCCTGTAATCCCAGCTGCTCAGGAGGCTGAAGCAAGAGAATCTCTTGAACCCAGGAGGCAGAGGTTGCAGTGAGCAGAGTTCCTGACACTGCATTCCAGCCAGGGCCACAGAGCAAGACTCTGTCCCAAAATAGAGGGCCACCTGAACCCAAGAGAACTAGGTTGGAAGTGCCACCACACTCCAGTCTGGGCAACAGACACCCTGTCTACGAAAAAAAAAAAAAAAAAAAAAAACCCACAATACCCCAACATCATCCACGTCTGATTATAAGCATTCTCTGCAAATGTATTACCAAGATCAGCGCTGCTTTTCTCAAACAGTAACACTCTAAAGGGAACCATTTTCTTTTCTTTCAGATCACAGAAATCGCTTCCCTCTAGAGGGTCACAGCCTGAGACCTTCTTGCTCCAGCACCATGGATATTTTGTTGTAATTTTCCTTGACCAGGTTAAAATGGACACAAAAATAAAGATGCATTTATTGGCCCCGTTTGCCTGTTTTCTGGAATCCAGAATATAAAACCCTAAAAGGACCATCTCCAGTTCCTTGCTTCAAAGAATCAGCAGGTCAGCCTTGTTTATCAAGAAGGAATCCTCATGAGCTTTGTCTCCAGAAAGAAAAAGCAATGCTGACTACACATACCTCATATTTAACCAAGAGAATCGGGCAGGATTTCTAGAGAACAGCAATGGACGGAGAGCCAAGTGTTGACTTGAGTTCCAGCACAGGGACACACAGTCCAGATGGGAGCGTCCAAAATGGAATCTAAGATGTTGAAGAATATATATTGTCTCATACACAAACATTCTCCAGGATAGACCACAGGTTACACTGTAAATGCTCCTCAGTAACATTTGAACAGAGATACACAAGGACAGGTGGGGCGCGGTGGCTCTTACCTCTAATTCTAGCACTTTAGGAGGCAGCGACGGGAGGATCACCTGAGCTCAGGAGTTCAAGACCAGCCCCGGCAACATCGTGAAACCCTACGTGTACAAAAAAATACAAAAGTGAGCCAGGTGTGGTGGTTCATGCCGGTAGCCACTAATTCAGTAGGCTCAGATGGGAGGTGGAGGTTGCAGTGAGCTGATATCGCCCCACTACACCCCAGACTGGGTGATGGAGCCAGACCTTGTCTCAAAAATAACCAACTGGCCCGGGGCGGTGGCTGAGAGGCAAAGGTTGGAGGGAGCCGAGATCCTGCCACTGCCCTCTAGGCTGAGCAACAGTGAGACTCCATCTCAAAAATAAATAAATGAATTTTAAAAAATGCAAATATTAGTCAGCCATGGTGTCAAACGCCTATAATCCCAGCTATTCGGGAATGTGAGGCAGGAGAATCGCTTGCAACTGGGAGGTGGAGGTTGCAGTGAGCCAAGATCGCACCACTGCACTCCAGCCTGGGTCATAGAGCAAGACTCTATCCCTAAAAAGAGGACCATCTGACCAAGGAGACCTAGGTTGGAAGTGCCGCCACACTTCAGGCTGGGCAACAGAGACACTGTCTCGGCTGGGCGCGGTGGCTCACGCCTGTAATCCCAGCACTCTGGGAGGCCGAGGCGGACGGATCACGAGGTCAGGAGATCGAGACCATCCTGGCTGACACAGTGAAACTCTGTCTCTACTAAAACAACAAAAAATTAGCCGGGCTGAGGCAGGAGAATGGTGTGAACCTGGGAGGCGGAGCTTGCAGTGAGCCAAGATTGCGCTACTGCATCCAGCCTGGGCGACAGAGCGAGACTCCATCTCAAAAGCAAAACAAAACAAAAAAGAAAAAAAAAAAACCCCAAAACCAAAACAGAACTACACCGTCGTCCATGTCTGATGATAAGCATGCTCTGCAAAGTTATTACCAAGATCAGCATCAACTTCAACGTTGCTTTTCTCAAACGGTAACACTCCAAAGGGAAGTGCGTTCTTTTCTTTTAGACAACAGAAAGTACTTCCCTTTGGAGGGTCACAGCATGAGATCTTCTTGCTCCAGCGCTCTCGGATTTTTGTTGACCAGGTTAAAATGGACAGAAAAGTAAAAATGAATTTATTGGCCCTGTTTGCCTGTTTTCTGGAATCCAGAATATAAACCCCTAAAACGACCATCTCCAGTTCCTTGCTTCAAACGCTCAGCATGTTAGCCTTGTTCATCAAGGGTCAATCCTCCTGAGTTTTGTCGCCAAAGAGAAAACGCAATGTCTACTACACATGCCTTATATTTAAACAAGAGAACTGAGCTGGATTTCTAGGGAACAGCAATGGATTTTGAGCCAAGTGTTCACTTGAGTTCCAGGACAGGGACACACGGTCCTGATGGGGGTGTCCGAAATGGAATCTAAGATGTTGAAGAGGACAGCCCGGTGGCTCGTGCTGGTAATCATATTATCAATATCAGACAATATAATAAAATGTATATTACATACGTTTGAGCCCCTGTGTCAGAAAAGGAAAGCTCCATATGTTGTATGCTTACAGGAAGAATAATTCCTACACAGAACAGCATGCATTAAAACAAAATTGGTACAAAAAATTAGCCGGGCATGGTGGTGAGCGCCTGTAATCCCAGCACTTTGGGAGGCCGAGGGGGCGGATCACCTGAGGTCAGGAGCTGAAACCAGCCTGGCCAACGTAGTGAAATGCTGTCTCTTCTAAAAATACAAAAACTAGGCCAGACGTCATGGCTCATGCCTGTAATCCCAGCACTTTGGGAGGCCAAGGCGGGCGGCTCACATGAGGTCAGGAGTTTGAGACCAGCCTGGCCAACATGGTGAAACCCTGTCTCTACTAAAAAAAAAAAAAAAAAAATTCTGATCGGGCGCAGTGGCTCACACCTGTAATCCCAGCACTTTGGGAGGCCGAGGTAGGCGGATCACGAGGTCAGGAGATCAAGACCATCCTGGCTAACACGGTGAAACCCCATCTCTACTATAAATATAGCCGGGCGTGGTGGCACACGCCTGTAGTCTCAGCTACTTGGGAGACTGAGGCAGGAGAATGGCGTGAACCGGGGAGGCGGAACTTGCAGTGAGCCGAGATCACGCCACCGCATTCCAGCCGGGGCGACAGAGCGAGATTCCGTCATGGAAAAAAAAAAAAAAAAAGAAAAAGAAAAAAAAAAGAAAAGAAGTAGCCAAGCATGGTGGTGTGTTCTTGTAATTTCAGCTACTCGGGAGGCTGAGGCAGAATTGCCTGAACCTGAGAGGCGGAGGCTGGAGAGAGCCAAGATCACATGACTGCACTCCACCCTGGGCAACAGCGAGACTCCGTCTCAAAAATAAAAATAGTAAATGAATAATAAAGAAAAGGAGAACTGCTTTAACCCGGGAGGCAGAGGTTGCAGTGAGCGGAGTTCCTGCCATTGCACTCCAGCCTGAGTCACAGAGCAAGACTCTGCCCCAAACAAGAGGACCATATGAACACGAGAGATCTAAGTTGGAAGTGCCACTGCACTCTAGCCTGGGCAACAGACACCCTGTCTTAGGAAAAACAAAACACAAAAAAACACAATACCACTATCAGCAAAGTCTGATGATAAGCATGTTCTGCAAACGTATTACCCAGATCAACATCAAATTAAACGTTGCTCTTCTCAAAGAGTAACCCTCTAAAGGGATGCACGTTCTTTTCTTTCAGACAACAGAAAGCGCTTCCCTCCAGAGGGTCACAGCATGGGATCTTCTTGCTCCAGCACTGTGGATATTTTGTTGGAATCTTCCTTGACCAGGTTAAAATGGACAGAAAAATAAAGATGCATTTATTGGCCCTGTTTGCATGTTTTCTGGAATCCAGAATATAAACCCTAAAAGGACCATCTCCAGTTCCTTCCTTCAAAGAATCAGCAGGTTAGCCTTGTTCATCGAGGAGCAATCCTCCTGAGTTTTGTCTCCAGAAAGAAAAATCAATGCCGACTAGACATACCTTATATTTAACCAAGAGAATTGGGCAGGATTCCTAGGGAACAGCAATGGATTTTGAGCCAAGTGTTCACTCGAGTTCCAGCCCAGGGACACACAGTTCCAATGGGAGCATCCAAAATGGAATCTACAATGTTGAGGAATGTACATTGTTATACACACAAACATCCTCCAGGATAGACCACAGGCTAGGACGTAAAAGCTCCTCAATAAAATTCGAGCAGAAACAAACAAGTAAGGGTGGGGCACGCTGGCTGATACCATTAATCACAGCAGTTTAGGAGGCCCAGGCAGGAGGACCACTTGAGCTCAGGGGTTCGAGACCAGCCTGGGCAACGTGGTGAAACCTCATCTGTACAAAAAATACAAAAGTTAGCCAGGTGTAGGGGTGCATGCCTGGAGACAGCTATTCAGGAGGCTGACATGGGAGGCAGAGCTTGCAGTGAGCTGAGATCACACTACTGCACTATAGCCTGGGCGACAGAGTGAGACTCTGTCTCAAAAACAAACAAATAAATCAATTTTAAAAATGCAAAAATGAGCCGGGCGTGGTAGCATATGCCTGTAACCCTGCTTGGGAGGCTGAGGCCGGAGAATTGCTTGAACCCAGGAGACAGAGATTGCAGTGAGCCAAGTTCCTGCCACTGCACTCCAGTCAGGGTAACAGAGCGAGCGAGACTCTATTTCAAAAAGAGGATCACTTGAGCCCAAGAGATCTAGGTTGGAAGGGCCACCGCACTCCAGCCTGGGCAACAGAGACACCCTGTCTTAGATAAAAAACCAAACCAAACCAAACCCCACCATCATCCACGTCTGATCATAAGCATGCTCTGCAAATGTGTTACCAAGATCAGCATCAACTTCAACGCGCTTTTCTCAAACCGTAACCCTCGGAAAGAAAGCACTTTCTTTTCTTTAAGACAACAGTAAGCACTTCTTACCTCCAGATAGTCACAGCCTGAGATCTTCTTGCTCCAACACCGTGGATTTTTTGTTGGAATTCTCTCGACCAGGTCAAAATGGACACAAAAATAAAGATGCATGTATTGGTCCTGTTTGCATGTTTCCTAGAATCCAGAATATAAACTCCTAGAAGGACCATCTCCAGTTCCTTGCTTCAAAGAATCAGCAGGTTAGCCTTGTTCATCACAGGACAATCCTCCTGAGTTTTGTCTCTGGAAAGAAGAAGCAATGCCGCTGGGCGCGGTGGCTCACGCCTGTAATCCCAGCACTCTGGGAGGCTGAGGTGGGCGGATCACGAGGTCAGGAGATTGAGACCATCCTGGCTAACACAGTGAAACCCCGTCTCTACTAAAAAATTCAAAAAACTAGCTGGGCGCGGTGGCGGGCGCCTGTAGTCCCAGCTACTCGGGAGGCTGAGGCAGAAGAATGGCATGAACCCGGGAGGCGGAGCTTGCAGTGAGTGGAGATTGCGCCACTGCACTCCAGCCTGGGCGACAGAGCCAGACTCTGTCTCAAAAAAAAGAAAAAAAAAAAAAAAAAAAAAAAAGCCTACTAGAAATACATCATATTTAACCAAGAGAAATCGGCAGGATTTCTGTGGGTGACTTGGGCAGGAGACCGAAGGCACAAGTCATTCCAGTATAATAAAGAAACTTGGCACAAGCCATTCCAGTATAATAAAGAAAATATATACAGTAAGAATAGTTATACTAGAAATAGATTACAGGTATGATTTTGTATGAATATTATTAATCATTAGTTTGTAGCATGACTCTTTATTCCAATATTATAATAATCTGTGTTCTACAATTATAACCTAGGAAAAACCAGGCCATACAGATAGGAGCTGAAGGGACACGGTGAGAAGTGACCGCAAGAGTGGGAGCCCTCTGTTATGCCACTAGAGGGCTCCCTGGTCTAGTGGTAACGCCAGTGGGAAGGCGCCATTTACTTAGCAGACCTTGGTCTAGCCGTAGCGCCAGTGCCTGGGAAGGCGCCCCTTAGCAGACCAGGAAAGCGAGTCTCCCTTTCCCCACGGGAGTTAGAGAAGACTCTGCTCCACCACCTCTTGTGGAAGCCGTGACATCAGTCAAGCCCACCTGCAGTCATCCGGAGGCCTAAACGTCTCCCTGTGATGCTGTGCTTCAGCAGTCATGCTCCTGGTCCACTTTCATGCTCCACCCTGCACACCTGGCTCGGCCTTCTAGATAGCAGTAGCAGAATTAGTGAGAGTACTAAAGTCTTTGAACTCTCCGAGAAATACATAGAAGAAATAATGACGTAACCTGTTCCCTCTCTCTCTCCATCTAAGCTACCAAATAGGGAAGGGCCCCCGTCCGGTGGACACGTGACTCACGTCATCTTACCTATCATTAGAGGTGACTCACACTCCTTACCCTTCCCTCTTGCCTTGTATACAATAAATAACAGTGCGGCCAGGCATTCAGGGCCACTACCGGTCTCCGCGCCTTGGTGGTAGTGGTCCCCCGGGCCCAGCTGTCTTTTTTTCTCTTTGTCTTGTGTCTTTATTTCTACAATTTCTTGTCTCTGCACACGAAGAGAAAAACCCACAGGTCCAGTAGGGCTGGACCCTACAGATCTCTAGAGAACAGCAGTGGATTTTGAACCAAGTGTTCACTGGAGTTCCAGCACAGGGACACACAGTCCCGATGGGAGCGTCCAAAATGGAATATACAATGTTGAAGAATATACATTGTCTCACACACAAACATTCTCCAGGATAGACCACAGGCTAGGCGGTAAAAACTCCTCAATAAAATTTGAACACAAATACACAAGTACAGCTGGGGTGCAATGGCTCACTCCTTTAATCCCAGCACTTTAGGGGCCGAGATGGGAGGATCACATGAGCTCAGGAGTTAGAGGCCAGCCCCGGCAACACGGTGTAACCCCACATGTACAAAAAATACAAAAGTGAGCCAGGTGTGGTGCTGCACACCTGTAGACACGAATGCAGCAGGTTTAGGTGGGAGGCGGAGGTTGCAGTGAGCTGAGATCGCACAACTGCACTCCAGCCTGGTCGATAGAGCCAGACCTTGTCTCAGAAATAACCAACCAAACAGGCCGGGCGCGGTGGCTCAAGCCTGTAATCCCAGCACTTTGGGAGGCCGAGGCGGGCGGATCACGAGGTCAGGAGATCGAGACCATCCTGGCTAACCCGGTGAAACTCCGTCTCTACTAAAAAATACAAAAAAAAAAAAAAAAAAAACTAGCCAGGCGAGGTGGCTGCGCCTGTAGTCCCAGCTGCTCGGGAGGCTGAGGCAGGAGAATGGCGTAAACCCGGGAGGCGGAGCTTGCAGTGAGCTGAGATCTGGCCACTGCACTCCAGCCTGGACGACAGAGCAAGACTCGGTCTCAAAAAAAAAAAAAAAAAAAAAGAAAAAAAAAAAAAAAAAAAGAAATAACCAACCAAACAAATAAAACACACACACACAGAAAGAAACAAAAATACCCAAGGTGATATCAGGGTATTCTCTGTATTTAGAACAGTATTTTGTGTGTAAATGATTATATTATATATATGATGAAATATACATCATATATTTTTGAGACCCTGTCTCAAAGAAAGTTCCATATATGGTCACAGGAAGAATCATTCCTACATGAGTGCTAGCTTTGGCAGTGCACATAAAAAAAAAATTGGAATGACAGAGATTACCCTGGCCCCTGCACAAAGGTGACAACCAAATTCATGATGTTCCTGTGTTTATGTATTTATTTTTATTGATTGATTTCATGTTATTTTTATTATTTATTTATTTATTTTTATTATATATTATTTATCTTGCTCTGTGGCTGAGGCTGAAATGCAATGGCGTGATTTCAGCTCACTGAAATCTCCTCCTCCTGGGTTCAAGCAATTCTCTTGCCTCAGACTTCCGAGTAGCTGGAATTACAGATGTGCACCACCACACCCAGCTAATTTTTGAATTTTTGGTAGAGACAAGGTTTTGCCATGTTGGCCCCATTGGTCTTGGACTCCTGACCTCAGGTGATCCTCCTGTCTTGGCCTCCCGAAATGCTGGGATTACAGGTGTGCACCACCACACCTGGCTTACTTTTTTACTTTTTTCAGACTGAGTCTCACTCTGTTGCCCAGGCTGGAGTGCAGTGGTGCAATCTCAGCTCACTGAAAGCTCAGCCTCCTGGCTTCAAGCCATTCTCCTGCCTCAGTCTCCCGAGTAGCTGGGATTGCAGGCATGCACCACCACCATGTCTTGCTAATATTTGTATTTTTAGTACAGACGAGGTTTCATCAAGTTGGCCAGGCTGGTCTGGAACAATTGACCTCAGGTGACCCTCCTGTCTCAGCCTCCCAAAGTGTTGGAATGACAGGCGTGAGCCACCATACCCAGAATAGTCCCATCATTAAAATTAGGAAAAACAAAGATGCCCACACCTAAAGAGCAAATCATTTATTGTTGAAGTACATCTCAAATACATTGTTTATCTAAAATACAAGTTTAACTGAGGGCCGGGTACAAACCAAATAATGGTCCTTACTTTCTTCTTGCCTGTGCATGGGTTAATATTCACATGTAGTCCCAGCTACCAAGGACTGGGGAGGGGCAGAGGCAGGAGGATCTAAGCCCACTTTAGCCTGGGCAGCATAGTGAGACCCCGTCTCATGCATTTATCTCCTGGTCATGCACCCAAGATTTCAGCTTCATTTCCCCAATAAACACTGAAGCCCCACGCACTCCACCTCCGTGCTCCTGCTGAGCCGTGCACATCCCATCTGCAGGGGACACTGAGGTCCCTTCAACTCCACCTGACCCCACATGAAGTTCTATCCCAGTGCCAGAAAAATTTCCATGAAGTAAAAGGTGGTGATGGCCTCGCACAGTGGCTCACGCCTGTATTCTCAGCACTTTGGGAGGCCGAGGCCAGTGGCTCACTTGAGGTCAGAGGTTTGAGACCAGCCTGGCCAACATGGTAAAATCCTGTCTTTACTTAAAAAAAAAAAAAAAAAAAAAAAATTCAGGCCAGGCACGTTGGCTCATGTCTGTAATCGCAGCACTTTGGGAGGCTGAGGCGGGTGAATCATTTGACATCAGGAGTTCGAGACCAGCCTGACCAACATGGAGAAACCCCATATCTACTAAAAATACAAAATTAGCCAGGAGTGTTGGCACGTGCCTGTAATCCCAGCTACTCAGGAGGCTGAGGCAGGAGAATCACTTGAACCCGGGAGGCAGAGGTTGCATGGGCTGAGATCATGTCACTGTACTCCAGCCTGGGCAACAAGAGTGAACCTCCATCTCTCTCTCTCTCTTTCTCTCTCTCTCTCTCTCTCTCTCTCACACACACACACACACACACACACACACACTCAAAAAGTAGCCAGGCGTGGTGGCGGGCACCTATAATTCCAGCTACTCAGGAGGCTGAGGCAGGAGAATTGCTTGAACCTGAGAGGCAGAGGTTGGAGTCAGCCGGGATCATGCCACGGCCCTCCAGACTTGGCAACAGCAAGACTCCATCTCAGAAATAAATAAATGAATGAACAAAAAGGAAAAATACAAATATTAGCTGGGGCATGATGTCAGGTGCCTGTAATCCCAGCTACTCAGGAAGCAGAGGCAGGAGAGTTGCTCGAACCCAAGAGATGGAGGGTGCAGTGAGCCGAGATTGCACCACTGCACTCCAGCCTGAGTCACAGAACAAGACTCTGTCCCAAAAAAGAGGACCATTTGAGCCCAAGAGACCTAGATCGGAAGTGCCTCTGTACTCCAGCCTGGGCCACAGAGACCCCGTCTTAGAAAACAAAAACAAAACAGACTCCCAACATCCTCCAAGTCTGATGACAAGCATGCTCTGCAAATGCATGACCAAGATCAGCACCATCTTGAACGTGGCATTTCCCAAATGGTCACACTCTGAAGGGAAGCACTTTGTTTTTCCTCAGACAACAAACAGAAAGTGCTTTCTCTAGAGGGCCACAGCATGGCATCTTCCCACTCCAGCACTCTGCGTTCCTTGTTGGAATTTTCCTGGACCGGGTTAAAAGAGACACAAAATAAAGATGCATTTATTGGCCCTGTTTGCATATTTTCTGGATCCCAGAACATAAACCCCTAAAAGGACCATCTCTAGTTCTTTGCTTCAAAGGCTCAGCAGGTTAGCCTTGTTCATCAAGGGGCAATCCTCCTGAGTTTTGTCCCCAAAGAGAAAAAGCAACACTTACTACACATACCTTATATTTAACCAAGAGAATTGAGCTGGATTTCTAGAGAACAGCAATGGATTTTGAGCCAAGTGTTCACTGGAGTTCCAGGACAGGGACACGCAGTCCCGATGGGAGCATCCAAAATGGAATCTACAATGTTGAAGAATATACATTGTCTCACACACAAACATCCTCCAGGATAGACCACAGTCTAGGCTGACTCTAGAGGACCACTTGAGATTAGGGGTGGTGGCTCACGCCTGTACTCCCAATACTTTGGGAGGCCAAGGCTGGTGGATCACCTGAGGTCGGGAGTTTGAGACCAGCCTGGCCAACATGGTGAAACCCTATCTCTACTGAAAATACAAAAATTAGCTGGGTGTGGTGGCAGGTACCTGTAATCTCAGCTACCCAGGAGGCTGAGGCAGGAGAATCACTTGAACCCGGGAGGCGGAGGTTGCGGTGAGCCGAGATCACACTATTGCACTCCAGCCTGGGCAACAAGAGTGAAACTCCACCTAAAAAAAAAAAAAAAAATAATAATAATAGTTAGTAAGACATGATGGCAGGCACCTGAATTCCCAACAATTCGGCAGGCTGAGGTGAGAGAATCACTGGAACCTGAGAGGCGGAGTTTCCAGTGAACAGAGATCCTGCTACTGCACTCCCAATGGAATGAGAACGCGTCTCAAAAAAATCAAACAATAAAAAGGGGACCACTTGAGCCCAAGAGAACTCGGTTGAAGGTGCCACCCACTCCCTCCTGGGCAACAGAAAACCTGTTTTGGAAAACAAAACAAAACAAACAGAACAAACAGAACCTCAGCATCATGCGATCGGATGATAAGCATGCTCTGCAAATACATTACCAAGGTCAGCAGCATCTTCACCGTTGCTTTTCTCACACAGTAACACTCTAAAAGGCTGCACGATCTTGTTTTAGACCACAGACAGTGCTGCCATTTAGAGTGTCACTGCATGAGGAGATCTTCTCGCTCCAATACTCCGGTTTTGTTTATTTTTTTTTTTGAGATGGAGTCGCCCAGGCTGGAGTGCAATGGTGTGATCTCGGCTCCCTGCAATCTCCTTCTCACGGGTTCAAGAGATTCTCCTGCTGCACCCTCCCAGATGGCTGAGACTACAGGTGTGCACCACCACGCCTAGCTATATTTTGCATTTTTAGTAGAGACAAAGTTTCGCCATGATGGCGGGGCTGCTCTTAAACTCCTGACCTGAGGTGATCCCCCCATCTCCACCTCCCAAGTGCTGGGATTACAAGCGTGTGCCACCGCACCCGGCCTATTTTTTATTTTTTTTTGAGATTGAGTCTCACTGTTGCCTAGGCTGGAGTTCAGTGGTGTCATCTCAGCTCACTGAGAGCTCAGCCTCCCGGCTTCAAGTGATTCCCCTGCCTCAGCCTCCTGAGTAGCTAGGATTAAAGGTGTGAACCACGACCACACCGGGCTAATTTTTGTATTTTTAGTAGACATGGGGATTCGCCATGTTGGTCAGGCTGGTCTTGAACAACTGACCTCAGGTGATCCTCCTGTCTCGACCTCCCAAAATGATGGAATTACTGGTGTGAGCCGCGGTACCCAGCCTTGTCCTATATTTAAAATCAGGAGCAAAAAATGTGGCCTACACCTGAAGAGCAAATCATTTGTTGTTAACATATTGTTTATCTGAAAACAAATGTAACTGGGGGTGGGGCGTGAATCAAAGAACAGTCCGTACTTTCCTCTTCCTGTGCATGGGTTAATAATATTCACATGCAGTCCCAGCTACTAAGGACTGGGCAGGGGCAGAGGCAGGAGGATCTGAGCCCACTTTAGCCTGGGCAGCATAGTGAGACTCCGTCTTGTTGCATAGATGACCTGGTCATGCACCCAAGAGTTCAGCTTCATTTCCCCAATGAAAACTCAAACCCCACACACTCCACCTCCGTGCTCCTGCTAAGCAGTGCACATCCCATCTGCAGGGACATTGGGGTCCCCTTCAACTCTACCTGACCCCAAGCGAGGTTCTATAAACCAGTGCCAGAATAATTTTCATGGAGTAAAAGGTGTTAATGGCCAGGCATGGTGGTTCACGCCTATATTCTCAGCACTTTGGGAGGCAGAGGCAGGCAGATCACCTAAGGTCAGGAGCTGAGACCAGCCTGGCCAACATGGTGAAACCCCATGTCTCCTAAAAATACAAAAATTAGGCCAGGCGTGGGGGCGCATGCCTGTAATACCAGAAATTTGAGAGGCAGAGGTGGGCGGATCACTTGAGGTCAAGGGTTTGAGACCAGCCTAACCAACATGGTGAAATCCCATCTCTACTAAAAAAAAAAAAAATACAAAAAGTAGCCAGGTGCGGGGTTGGACTCCTGTAATTCCAGCTACACAGGAGGCTGAGGCAGAAGAATTGCTTGAACCCAGGAGTCAGAGGTTGCCGTGAGCCAAGATTGTGCCACTGCACTCTAGCCTGGGTGACAGCAAGACTCTGTCTGATAAATAAATAAATGAATTTTTAAAAATGAAAACATTATCCAGGTGTGGTGATGGGCACCTGTAATCTCAGCTACCTGGGAAGCTGAAGCAGGAGAATCGCTTGCACCCAGGAGGCAGAAGTTGCAGTGATCCAAGATTGTATCATTGCACTCCAGCCTGGGTGCCAGACAGAGACTTTGCTTCCAAAAAAGGACCATTTGAATCCAAGACACCTAGGTTGGACATGTCACTGCCACCGCACTCCAGCCTGGGCAACAGAAGCCCTTTCTTAGAATGAAAAAAGCAAAACCAAAGCAGAACCTCACCATCGTCCAAGTGTGATAAGCATGCACTGCAAATATGTTACCAAGATCAGCACCAACTTCAACGCTGCTTTTCTCAAACCGTAACCCAGCAAAGAGAAGCACTTTCTTTTCGTTTAGACAACAGAAAGGGCTTCCCTTTGTAGGGTCACAGCCCGAGATCTTCTGGCTCCAGCACTCTGGGTTTCTTGTGGAAATTTCCCTTAACCAGGTCAAAATGGACGTAAAAATAAAGATGCATTTATTGGCCCTATTTGCATGTTTTCTGGAATCCAGAATATAAACCCCTAAAACCATCTCCAGTTCCTTGCTTCAAAGGCTCAGCAGGTTAACCTTGTTCATCAAGGGACAATTCTCCTGAGTTTTGTTCCCAAAGAGAAAAAGCAGTGCCCGCTAGACATACCTTATCTTTAACCAAGAGAATTGGGCAGGATTTCTAGAGAACAGCAATGGATTTTCAGCCAAGTGTCACTTGAGTTCCAGCCCAGGAGCACACAGTCCCGATGGCAGCATCCAAAGTGGCATCTATGATGTTCAAGAACATACACTGTCATACACATGAACATTCTCTAGCATAGACCATAATCTAGGTTAACTCAAGAGGGCCACTTGAGGCCAGGCGTGGAGGCTCATGCCTATAATCCCAGCACTTTGGAAGGCCAAGGGAGGGGAATTACCTGAGGTCAGGAGTTTGAGACCAGCCTGGCCAACATGGTGAACCCCCATCTCCACTAAATGCAAAAACTGAGCTGCTGTTGTGGTGCATGCCTGTAATCCCAGCTACTCGGGAGGCCGAGGCAGGAGAATCGCTTGAACCCGGGAGGTGGAGGTTGCAGTGAGTCGAGATCGTGACATTGCACTCCAGCCTGGGCGAGAAGAGCGAAACTCTGTCAAAAAAAAAAAAAAAAAAATTGGGAAATAAAATGCCCACACCTAAACATCAGATCATTTCTTGTTCAAATACATCTCAAATATACTGTTGATCTGAAATACAAATTTAACTGGGTATCCCTGGCCTGGGAAGCCGCCTTTGGTAATTCAGATAAGGGTCTCCTTTGGAAGCTAATAGGTAGGAACATGGAGATGTTGGCCAAGGGAAGGGACTCTCAGGGATTTCTATGGATTATGCAGACGTCCTGCCAGATCCCAAACTTCCCCAAAAGATCCCAAGTCCAGGCAGGAAGGACCAAGGGGCTCCAGAAACCAAATGAAGTGGCCCTGGGCAGGACCTTTGTCGTCATCAGATTCTTGGACTGAAAGACAGCCAGGGAGCAGAGCGAAAATCCCAGGGGCTCTCTCTCCCAGAAGACACCTGCTCCATCCAGATCAAACCCAAAATGTCCCCAGCCAGTGATGCCTGGCACTCCTTTCCCCTCGGCTGTCCTGCCTGCAGTGGTGCAGTGCCCTGGTGTTCCCAGTCCGGATGCCTTCACTCCTTTCAGTGTCCCAGGAGGGTCACCTTGCAGTTCTCAGGGAGGAACGTGGGGTCTTCCACCCTCGTGAGCTTCCCAGACACCAGGGTCTGCCCACCCCACTCCATTCCCAAAGGATGTTCTGCCCAGTTCTCCCAGCCTCCTGCTTCCATCCAGGGACCACCCTTCAGTGATAAGATTCACACTGCAGACAACCAGGTCCAACCTGTTATCCTCAATTACGGGGGTCAAAACAGACCTCCCATTCAAGGTTGTTCTATATGACATGCCCACGAGGCAGATCCAGAACTGGAGAGACGTGGAGTGGTTGCCACAGTCTAGGGGGAAGAGTGGGGTGGGAACTGACTGCAAATGGGAATAAGCCTCTTTGGGGTGATGAAAATCTCCCAAACTAGAATGTTGGTGGTCGAAAATATGCTAAAATAATTCACATTTCAGAGTAAATTTCGAAAGGTTACTTCCTCAGTTCACAAAAGTCAGAGACAGGGCCGGTGCGGTGGCATATGCCTGGAATCCCAGCACTTTGGGAGGCCGAGGTGCACGGGTCACCTGAGGTCAGGAGTTCCAGACCAACCTGGCCAACATGGGAAAACCCCGGGTCTAAAAATACACACACACAAAATTAGCCAAGCGTGGTGGCACGCACCTGAAATCCCAGCTACTCCAGTGGCAGAAGTTGCAGTGAGCTGAGATTGGGTCACTGCACTCCAGCCTGGGGGACAGAGTGAGACTCTGACTCAAAAAAAAAAAAAAAATTGATTGAACCCAGGAGGCAGAGGTTGCAGTGAGCCGAGATTGCGTTACTGCACTCCAGCTTGGGTAACAGAGCGACACTGCCTCAAAAAGTCAAAGACAGAACCAGAGAACCCTCCTTGCCCTCTTCTTACCTGTGCATGAATTAAAACTTTCACCTGTAGTCCCAGCTACCATGGAGTCGGGAGGAACAGAGCCCAGTTTAGCCTGAGTGGCATAGTGAGACCCCCGTCTCTAAAATACAATAATTAAATCAAATGTGCATTGATGACATGGTCATGCACCTTACATTTCAGCTTCATTTACCCAATAAAAACTCAAACCCCATGCACTCCACCTCCATGCTCTTGCTATGTAGTGAACATCCCATTTACAAGGCACAGTGAGGTCCCCTTCAACTCTACCTCAACCCAAATGGGGTTCTATAAAGCAGTGCAGGCATAACTTCCAAGGAGTAAAAGGTGTTGAGGGCTGGACGAACAGACATCGCTCACTATGGCAATAAGAAGGGCTGCCCTCATCCCACCTGTCACTGGGGAGCCTCTTCTAGGGTCTGTCTCTACTGAAAAAAAAATACCAAAAGTAGCCAGGTGTGGTGGTGTGTTCCTATAATTCCAGCTACTTGGGAGGCTGAGGTAGGAGAATTGCTGGAACCCGAGGGGGTGGAGGTTGCAGTGAGGCGAGATTGTGCCACTGCACTCAACCCTGGGCAACGAGCGAGATGCCTCCTCAAAAACAAATAAATAAATGAATGATAAAGAAAACTACAAATATTAGCCAGGTGTGGTGGAGTGCGCCTGTAATCCCAGCGACTCGGAAAACTGAGGCAGGAGAATCACTTGAACCTGGGAGGCAGAGATTGCAGTGAGCTGAGTTCCTGCCATTGCACTCCAGCCTGGGACAGAGTGAGACTCCGCCCCCAAAAAGAGGACCATTTGAGACCAAGAGATCTAGGTTGGAAGTGCCACCACACTCCAGCCTGGGCAACAGAGACCCTGTCTAAGATAAAAAATAAAACAAAAACCAAACCCCACCATCATCCACGTCTGAGGATAAGCATGCTCTCCAAATGTATTACCAAGATCAGCATCAATTTCAACCTTCAACGTTGCTTTTCTCAAAGAGTAACCCTCTGAAAGGAAGCACTTTCTTTTCTTTCACAAAACAGAAAGTGCTTCTTACCTCCAGATGGTCACAGCCTGAGATCTTCTTGCTTGGTGCATGGTGGATTTTTTTGTTGGAATGTTTTTTGACCAGGTTGAAAGGGACAAAAACAAAAAGATGCATTTATTGGCCCTGTTTGCATGTTTCCTGGAATCCAGTACATAAACCCCTAAAAGGACCATCTCCAGTTTCTTGCTTCAAAGAATCAGCAGGTTAGCCTTGTTCATCAAGGGCCAATCCTCCTGAGTTTTGTCTCTAGAAAGAAGAAGCAATGCCCAGTACACATACCTTATCTTTTTTTTTTTTTTTTTTTTTTTTTTTGAGACGGAGTCTTGCTCTGTAGCCCGGGCTGGAGTGCAGTGGCCAGATCTCAGCTCACTGCAAGCTCCGCCTCCCGGGTTTACGCCATTCTCCTGCCTCAGCCTCCGGAGTAGCTGGGACTACAGGCGCCCGCCACCTCGCCCGGCTAGTTTTTTGTATTTTTAGTAGAGACGGGGTTTCACCGTGTTAGCCAGGATGGTCTTGATCTCCTGACCTCGTGATCCGCCCGTCTCGGCCTCCCAAAGTGCTGGGATTACAGGCTTGAGCCCCCGCGCCCGGCCACATACCTTATCTTTAACCAAGAGAATTGAGCTGGATTTCTAGAGAACAGCAATGGATGGAGAGCCAAGTGTTCACTTGAGTTCCAGGACAGGGACCCACAGTCACGAAGGGAGCATCCAAAATGGAATCTATGATGTTCGAGAACATACATTGTCTCACACACAAACATCCTGCAGGGTAGACCACAGGTTAGGCCGTAAAAACTCCTCAATACAATTTGAACAGAAATACACAAGTACAGGTGGGGCACAGTGGCTCATACCTCTAATCACAGCACTTTAGGAGGCCACGACGGGAGGATCACCTGAGCTCAAGAGTTTGAGACCAGCCCCGGCAACATGGTGTAACCCCATGTGTACAAAAAATACAAAAGTGAGCCAGGTGTGGTGGTGCATGCCTGGAGACACTAACTCAGCAGGCTTAGGTGGGAGGTGGAGGTTGCAGTGAGCTGAGATCGCACCACTACACTCCAGCCTGGGCAATAGAGCCAGATCTTGTCTCAGAAATAACTAACGAAACAAAACACACACACACACAAGAAACAAAAAATACCCAAGGTGATGTCAGAGTATTCTCTGTATTCAAATCAGCATTTTGTGTGTATATAATTATGTTATATATATGATATATTATATATATGATAAATTTAACTGGGGGCTGGGTGTGAACAAAATAACAGTCCTTACCTTCTTCTTGCCTATGCATGGGTTAATATTCACATGCAGCCCCAGCGACCAAGGACTGGGGAGGGGCAGACGCAGGAGGATCTAAGCCCACTTTAGCCTGGGCAGCATAGTGAGACCCCGTCTCATGCATTTATCTCCTGGTCATGCACCCAAGATTTCAGCTTCATTTCCCCAATAAACACTGAAGCCCCATGCACTCCACCTCCGTGCTCCTGCTGAGCCATGCACATCCCATCTGCAAGGGACACTGAGGTCCCTTCAACTCCACCTGACCCCACGTGAGGTTCTATCCCAGTACCAGAAAAATTTCCATAAAGTAAAAGGTAGTGATGGCTACACACGGTGGCTCACTTAAGGTCAGGGGTTTGGGACTAGCCTGGACAACATGGTGAAACCCCCTGTTTACTTAAAAAAAAAAATGAAAAATGAAAAAAAAAATACAAAAAGTAGCTGGGCATGTGGTGTGTTCCTGTCATTCCAGCTACTCCGGAGGCTGAGGCAGGAGAATTGCTTGACCACGACAGGCAGAGGTTGGAGTCAGCCGGGATCACGCCATTGCCCTCCAGCCTGGTTGACAGCGAGACTCCATCTGAAAAGTAAATAAATAAATGAATAAAAAAGAAAAACACAAATGTTAGCCAAGCATGATGTTGGGTGCCTGTAATCCCAGCTACTCACGAAGCTGAGGCAGGAGAATTGCTTGAACCCGGGAGGCGGAGGTTGCCGTGAGCTGAGATCGCACCACTGCACTCTAGCCTGGGTCACAGAACAAGACTCTGTCCCAAAAAGGAGGACCATTGGAGCACAAGAGACCTAGGTTGGAAGTGCTTACGGACTTCAGCCTGGAAAACACAGATTTTGTTTTAGGGGGGAAAAAAAAAAAGCACAGACCCACATCATCATCTGATAATAAGCATGCTCTGCAGATGTATTACCAAAATCCGCATCAGCTTCGGCGTTGAGCTTCTCAAACCGTAACGCTCCAAAGAGAAGCGCTTCGTTTTCTTTCACACAACAGAAAGCGCTTCCCTTTAGAGGGTCACAGCCCGAGATCTTCTTCCTCCAGTACTCTGGGTTTTTTGTTGGAATTTTCTTTGACCAGGTTAAAATGGATACAAAAATAAAAATGCATTTATTGGCCCTGTTTGCCTGTTTTCTGGAATCCAGAACATAAACCCCTAAAAGGACCATCTCCAGTTCCTTGCTTCAAAGGTTCAGCAGGTTAGCCTTGTTCATCAAGGGACGATCCTCCTGAGTTTTGTCCCCAAAGAGAAAAAGCAATGCCTACTACTCATACCTTATCTTTAACCAAGAGAACCAGGCTAGATTTCGAGAGAACAGCAATGGATGGAGAGCCAAGTGTTCACTTGAGTTCCAGCACAGGGACACACAGCTCCCTTGGGAGCCTCCAAAATGGAATCTAAGATGTTGAAGAACATACATTGTCACACATACAAGCATCCTCCAGGATAGACCACAGTCTCGACTGACTTAAGAGGACCACTTGAAGCTAGGCGCGGTGGCTCATGCCTGTAATCCCAGCAGTTTGGGAGGCCGAAGCAGGCGGATTACCTGAGGTTGGGAGTTCGAGACCAGCCTGGCCAACATGGTAAAACCCTGTCTCTACTACAAACACAAAAATTAGCTGGGTGTGCTGGTGGGTGCCTTTAATCCCAGCTACCCAGGAAGCTGAGGCAGGAAAATCGCTTCAACCTAAGAGGCGGAGGTTGCGTTGAGCCAAGATTGTACCACTGCACTCCAGCCTGGGCAACAAGAGCGAAACTCTGTCTCAAAATACATACATACATACATACATACGTACATAAAAATAAAGAAATACACAAGTATGAGGCACAGTGGCTCCAACCTCTAATCCCAACACTTTAGGAGGCCAAGGCAGGAGGATCACTTCAGCTCAGGTGTTGGAGACCAGCTCAGGTAAAATGGTGAAACCCTGTCTGTACAAAAACTACAATTTTAGCCAGGTGGCCAGGTGTGGTGGCTCCTGCCTGTAATCTCAGCAATTTAGGAGTCTGCGGCGGGTGGGTCACTAGAGGTCAAAAGTTGGAGACCAGCCTGACAAACATGGGGAAACCTGTCTCTACTAAAAATACAAAATTAGCTGAGTGTGGTGGTGGGCGCCTGTAATTGCAGCTACTTGGGAGGCTGAGGCAGGAGAATGACTTGAACCTGAAAGGTGGAGGTTGCAGTGATCTGAAATCTTGCCATTGTACTCCAGCCTGGGCAATAAGAGCAAAATTCCCTCAAAAAAAAAAAAAGTGAGCCAGGTGTGGTGGTGCATGCCTGTAGACACTAATTCAGGAGGCGTAGGTGGGGGGTGGAGGTTACAGTGAGCCAAGATCACATTACTGCACTTTTGCCTGGGTGACACAGCCAGGCCTTGTCTCTAAAACAAACAACCACACACACAAAAACAAAAAACAAACTCAAAGTGATAAAGAATAACCTCCACCTCCCAGGTTCAAGCTATTCTCCTGCCTCAGGCTCCCAAGTAGCTGGGATTACCCGTGCCTGCCACCATGCCCGGCTTTTATATATATATATATATATTGTTTGTTTGTTTGTTTATTTGTTTTTTAGTAGAAATGGATTTTTGCCATGTTGGCCAGGCTGGTCTTGAACTCCAGACCTCAGGTGATCCACACGCCTCGGTCTCCCAAAGTGCTGGGATTATAGGCTTGAGCCACTGTGCCCAGCCATATCAGACATTTTTGAGACCATGTCTCAAAGAAAATAAAATTCTATATATTGTGTTCTCACAGGAAGAAGAATACCTACACATAAGTATTTGCTTTGGCAGGGCACGTAAAAAAAATTAGAATGACAGAGATTACCATGACCCCTGCACAAAGGTGACAACCAAATTCATGATGGTCCCATATTTATCTTGTTTTTTCTTAATTAAAAAAAGTATTTTTTTTTTTAGACCAAGTCTTATTCTGTCGACAGGCTGGAGTGCAGTGGTACGATCTTGGCTCACTGCAACCTCTGCCGCCCAGTTCCAGTGATTCTCCTGCCTTGGCCCTCCTGAGTAGCTGGCATTACAGGCACCTGTCATCGCACCTGGCTAATTTTTGTATTTTTAGTAGAGATGAGGTTTTGCCACGATGCCGCGGCAGACCTGAGGTGATCCGCCCGTCTCAACCTCCCAAAGTGCTGGGATTACAGGCGTGCGCCACCGCGCCCGGTCTGTTTTTCATTTTTTTTGAGATTGAATCTTATTCTTTTGCCCAGGCTGGAGTTCACTTGTGCGATCTCAGCTCACCGCAACCTCTGCCTCACAGCTTCAAGCGATTCTCCTGCCTCATCCTCCTGAGTAGCTGGGATTACAGGCGTGCAGCACAACAACAGCACAAATTTAGAATGGCTAAATTTTGTATTTTTAGTACAGATGGGATTTCACCGTGTTGGCCAGGCTGGTCTCAAGCAATTGACCTCAGGTGATCCTCCTGTCTCTGCCTACCCAAATGATGAGATTACAGGCGTGAACCACCGTACCCGGCCTTGTCCTGTATTTAAATCAGGAGCAAAAAAGGATGCTCACATCTAAACAGCAAATCATTTGTTCTTCAAGTGCATCTCAAACACATGGTTCATCTAAAATACAAATGTAACTGGGGGTGGGGCATGAATCGAAGAACAGTCCGTACTTTCCTCTTCCTGTGCATAGGTTAATAATATTCACATGTAGTCCCAGCTACTAAGGCCGGCGAGGGGCAGACGCAGGAGGATCTAAGCCCACTTTAGCCTGGGCAGCATAGTGAGACCCCATCTCATGCATTTATCTCCTGGTCATGCACCCAAGATTTCAGCTTCATTTCCCCAATAAACACTGAAGCCCCATGCACTCCACCTCCGTGCTCCTGCTGAGCCATGCACATCCCATCTGCAGGGGACACTGAAGTCCCTTCAACTCCACCTGACCCCACGTGAGGTTCAGAAAAATTTCCATAAAGTGAAAGGTGGTGACGGCCACACACGGTGGCTCACTTAAGGTCAGGGGTTTCGGACTAGCCTGGACAACATGGTGAAACCCCCTGTTTACTTAAAAAAAAAAAAATGAAAAATGAAAAAAAAAATACAAAAAGTAGCTGGGCATGGTGGTGTGTTCCTGTCATTCCAGCTACTCCGGAGGCTGAGGCAGGAGAATTGCTTGACCACGACAGGCAGAGGTTGGAGTCAGCCGGGATCACGCCACTGCCCTCCAGCCTGGTTGACAGCGAGACTCCATCTGAAAAGTAAATAAATAAATGAATAAAAAAGAAAAACACAAATGTTAGCCAAACATGATGTTGGGTGCCTGTAATCCCAGCTACTCACGAAGCTGAGGCAGGAGAATTGCTCCGGGAGGCGGAGGTTGCCGTGAGCCGAGATCGCGCCACTGCACTCTAGCCTGGGTCACAGAGCAGGATTCTGTCCCAAAAAGGAGGACCATTGGAGCACAAGAGACCTAGGTTGGAAGTGCTTACGGACTTCAGCCTGGAAAACACAGATTTTGTCTTAGGGGGAAAAAGAAAAAAAAAGGCACAGAACCACATCATCATCTGATAATAAGCATGCTCTGCAAATGTATTACCAAAATCCATATCAGCTTCGGCGTTGAGCTTCTCAAACTGTAACGCTCCAAAGGGAAGCGATTTCGTTTTCTTTCACACAACAGAAAGCACTTCCCTTTAGAGGGTCACAGCCTGAGATCTTCTTCCTCCAGCACTCTGGGTTTTTTGTTGGAATTTTCCTTGACCAGTTTAAAATGGATACAAAAATAAAAATGCATTTATTAGCCCTGTTTGCCTGTTTTCTGGAATCCAGAACATAAACCCCCAAAAGGACCATCTCCAGTTCCTTGCTTCAAAGGCTCAGCAGGTTAGCCTTGTTCATCAAGGGACGATCCTCCTGAGTTTTGTCCCCAAAGAGAAAAAGCAATGCCTACTACTCATACCTTATCTTTAACCAAGAGAACCGGGCTGGATTTCTAGAGAACAGCAATGGATGGAGTGCCAAGTGTTCACTTGAGTTCCAGCACAGGGACACACAGTTCCCTTGGGAGCCTCCAAAATGGAATCTAAGATGTTGAAGAACATACATTGTCACACATACAAGCATCCTCCAGGATAGACCACAGTCTAGACTGACTTAAGAGGACCACTTGGCCGGGCGCAGTGGCTCACGCCTGTAATCCCAGCACTTTGGGAGGCCGAGGCAGGCGGATCACAAGGTCAGGAGATCGAGACCACGGTGAAACCCCGTCTCTACTAAAAATACAAAAAATTAGCCGGGCGCGGTTGTGGGCGCCTGTAGTCCCAGCTACTCGGGAGGCTGAGGCAGGAGAATGGCGTGAACCCGGGAGGCGGAGCTTGCAGTGAGCCAAGATCGCGCCACTGCACTCCAGCCTGGGCGACAGAGCGAGACTCCGTCTCAAAAAAAAAAAAAAAAAAAAAAAAAAAAAAAAAAAAAAAAAAAGAGGACCACTTGAAGCTAGGCGCGGTGGCTCATGCCTGTAATCCCAGCAGTTTGGGAGGCCGAGGCAAGCGGATTACCTGAGGTTGGGAGTTCGAGACCAGCCTGGCCAACATGGTAAAACCCTGTCTCTACTACAAACACAAAAATTAGCTTAGTGTGCTGGTGGGTGCCTTTTTTTTTTTTTGAGACGGAGTCTCGCTCTGTCACCCAGGCTGGGGTGTGGTGGCCGGAGTAGCTGGGATTACAGGCGTGCAGCACAACAACAGCACAAATTTAGAATGGCTAAATTTTGTATTTTTAGTACAGATGGGATTTCACCGTGTTGGCCAGGCTGGTCTCAAGCAATTGACCTCAGGTGATCCTCCTGTCTCTGCCTACCCAAATGATGGGATTACAGGCGTGAACCACCGTACCCGGCCTTGTCCTGTATTTAAAATCAGGAGCAAAAAAGGATGCTCACATCTAAACAGCAAATCATTTGTTCTTCAAGTGCATCTCAAACACATGGTTCATCTAAAATACAAATGTAACTGGGGGTGGGGCATGAATCGAAGAACAGTCCGTACTTTCCTCTTCCTATGCATAGGTTAATAATATTTACATGCAGTCCCAGCTACTAAGGCCGGCGAGGGGCAGACGCAGGAGGATCTAAGCCCACTTTAGCCTGGGCAGCATAGTGAGACCCCGTCTCGTTGCATATATGACCTGGTCATGCACCCAAGATTTCGGCTTTATTTCCCCAATGAAAACTCAAACCCCATACACTCTACCTCCGTGCTCTTGCGAAGCAGTGCACATCCCATCTGCAAGGACATTGGGGTCCCCTTCAATTCTACCTGACCCCATGTGAGGTTCTATAAACCAGTGCCCGAATAATTTCCACGGACTAAAAAGTGTTAATGGCCAGGTGCGTTGGTTTATGCCTGTATTCTCCGCACTTTGGGAGGCCGAGGCAGGCAGATCACCTAAGGTCAGGAGCTGAGACCAGCCTGGCCAACATGGTGAAACCACATCTCTGCTAAAAATACAAAAATTAGGCCAGGCGTGGGGGCGCATGCCTGTAATCCCAGAAATTCGGGAGGCAGAGGTGGGCGAATCACTTGAGGTCAGGAATTTGAGACCAGCCTAACCAACATGATGAAATCTCATCTCTACTAAAAAAAAAAATACGAAACGTAGCCAGGTGCGGGGTTGGGCTCCTGTAATTCCAGCTACTCAGGAGGCTGAGGCAGAAGAATTGCTTGAACCTGGGAGGCAGAGGTTGCAGTGAACCGAGATCATGCCACTGCACTCCAGCCTGGGTGACAGGGAGACTCCGTCTCAAAAATAAATAAATAAATTAATTAATTAATTAATTAAAAAAAAATACAAACATTATCCAGGCGTGGTGATGAATGCCTGTAATCTCAGCTGCTTGGGAAGCTGAGGCAGGAGAATGGCTTGAACCTGGGAGGCAGAGGTTGCAGTGAGCTGAGATCATGCCACTGCACATCAGCCTGGGTGACAGAGAAAGACTCTGCTCCCCAAAAAGGACCATTTGAATCCAAGAGACCTAGGCTGGATGGGCCACTGCACTCTAGCCTGGGCAACAGAGATCCTGTCTTAGAATAAAAAAGCAAAACCAAAACAGAACCCCATAATCATGGAAGTCTGAAGATAAGAAGCATGCTCTGCAAATGTATTACCAAGATCAGCATCAACTTCAATGTTGCTTTCCTCAAACTGTAACACTCCAAAGGGACGCGCCTTCTTTTCTTTTAGACAACAGAAAGTGTTTCCCTTTGGAGGGTCACAGCATGAGATCTTCTTGCTCCAGGACTCCGGGTTTCCTGTTGAAATTTTCCTTGACCAGGTCAAAATGCACACAAAAACAAAGATGCAATTTCTGCCTCTGTTTGCATGTTTTCTGGAATCCAGAATAAAAACCCTGGAAGGGACCATCTCCAGTTCTTTGCTTCAAAGGCTCAGCAGGTTAGCCTTGCTCATCAAGGGGCAATCCTCCTGAGTTTTGTCTCCAAAGAGAAAAAGCAATACCCAATACACATACCTTATATTTAACCAGAGAAGTGGGCTGGATGTCTAGAGAACAGCAAATGGATGGAGAGCCAAGTGTTCACTGGAGTTCCAGGAAATGAGCACGTATTCCCGATGGGAGCGTCCAAAATGGAATCTAAGATGTTGAAGAATACACATTGTCTCACACACAATCATTCTCCAGGACAGACCATAGGTTACCCCGGAAATGTTCCTCAGTAACATCTGAACAGAGATACACAAGAACAGGTGGGGTGCGGTGGCTCTCACCTCCAACTGCAGCACTTACGTAGGCCAAGGCAGGAGGAACACTTGGGCTCAGGAGTCAGACACCAGCCCGGGAAACATGGTAAAACCTCATCTGTAAAAATACAAAAGTGAGCCAAGTGTGGTGGTGCACGCCTGTAGACACTAATTCAGGAGGCTGTGGTGGGAGGTGGAGTTTGCAGTGAACCGAGATTGCACCACTGCACTCCAGCATGGACGACAGAGTGAGACTCTGTCTCAAAAATAAATAAATAAATGAATGAATGAAAAAAAAAAAACAAATAAATAATAAAAATACAAAAATTAGCCAGGCATGGTGGCACATACCTGTAATCCCTGCTGCTCGGGAGGCTGAGGCAGGAGAATCGCTTGAACCTAGGAGGCAGAGGTTGCAGTGAGTGAAGTTCCTGACAGGGCATCCAGCCAGGGTCACAGAGCAAGACGCTGTCCCAAAAAAGAGGGCCCCTTGAACCCAAGAGATCTAGGTTGGAGGGGCCACCACACTCCAGCCTGGGCAACAGACACCCTGTCTTAGAAAACAAAACAAAACAAACACAAAACCCCACCATATTCCACGTTTGATTATAAGCACGCTCTGCAAGTGTATTACCAAGATCCGCGTTGCTTTTCTCAAAGCGTAACACTCTAAAGGGAAGCGCTTCCTATTCTTTTCTAGCCAACAGAAAGCGCTTCGCTCTAGAGGGTCACATCATGAGATCTTCTTGCTCCAGCACTCTGGGTTTTTTGTTGGAATCTTCCTTCACTGGGTTAAAATGGACACAAAAATAAACATGCATTTATTGGCCCTGTTTGCATGTTTTCTGAAATCCAGAACATAAACCCCTAAAAGGACCATCGCCAGTTCCTTGCTTCAAACAATCAGCAGGTTAGCCTTGTTCATCAAGGGACAATCCTCCTGAGTTTTGTCTCTAGAAAGAAGAAGCAATGCCCAGTACACATACCTTATCTTTAACCAAGAGAATTGAGCTGGATTTCTAGAGAACAGCAATGGATGGAGAGCCAAGTGTTCACTTGAGTTCCAGGACAGGGACACACAGTCACGAAGGGAGCATCCAAAATGGAATCTACGATGTTCAAGAACATACATTGTCTCACACACAAACATCCTGCAGGGTAGACCACAGGTTAGGCCGTAAAAACTCCTCAATACAATTTGAACCTAAATATACAAGTACAGGTGTGGCACGGTGGCTCACACCGCTAATCACAGCACTTTAGGAGGCCACGACGGGAGGATCACCTGAGCTCAAGACTTTGAGACCAGCCCCGGCAACATGGTGTAACCCCATGTGAACCAGGTGAGTGAGCCAGGTGTGGTGGTGCACGCCTGGAGACACTAATTCAGCAGGATTAGGTGGGAGGTGAGCCGAGATCGCCCAAGTGCACTCCAGACTGGGTGACACAGCCAGACCTTATCTCATAAACAAACAAACAGAAAACACACACACAATACAAACAAAAAAATACCCAAAGTGATATAAGGGCACTCTGTGTGTGTAGAAGAGTATTTTGTGTGTATATGATATTATATATATGATAAGAATATATGAAGGTCGGGCGCAGTGGCTCACGGCTGTAATCCCAACACTTTGGGAGGCCAAAGAGGGTGGATCACCGGAGGTCGGGAGTCTGAGACCAGCCTGGCCAACATGGAGACACCCGTCTCTACTAAAAATACAAACTTAGCTGGGTGTGGTGGCGGGTGCCTGTAATCCCAGCTACTCAGGAGGCTGAGGCAGGAGAATCGCTTGAACCCAGGAGGCGGAGGTTGCAGTGAACCGAGATCACGTCATTACTCTCCAGCCTAGGCTACAGGAGCAAAACTCCCTCTCAAAAAAAGAAAAAAGAAAAAATGAAGACTATATATTGTCATATGCACAAACATCCTCCAGGATAGATCACAGTTTAGGCCATAAAAGCTCCTCGATAACATGTGGATAGAAAAATACAAGTACGGTGGGTCACGGCGGCTCATACCTCTAACCCCAGCACTTGCCAAGTCGGGAAGATCACTGGAGCTCAGGAGTTCCAGTCCAGCCTGGGAAACACGGTAAACCCTGTGTGTACAAAAAATACAAAAGTTAGTCAGGTGTGGTGGTCCACGCCTGTATTCAGTTCTTTAGGAGGCTGAGGTGGGAGGTGGAGGTTACAGGGAGCCGGACTGTACCACTACACCCCAGCATGGGCAACAGAGCCAGATGTTGTCTCAAAACAAAACACCCCCAAAATCCCCAAAATGCACACACACACAAAAACCTCAAAGTGATATGAGTATTCTCTGTGTATAGAAGAGTATTTTCTGTGTATATGATTATATGATCAATATCAGACAATATAATAAAATGTATATTATATAGTTTTGAGGCCCAGTATCAAAAAAAGAAAGGTCTCTATGTTGTTTGCTCACAGGAACATTGGAATGACAGAGATTCCCATGTCCCCCGAACAAAGTGACATCCAAATTCATCGTGAGTCCCAGATTTAAAATTAGGAAATACAGGCCGGGCGCAGGGGCTCACGCCTATAATCCCAGCTCTCTGGGAGGCCGAGGCAGGTAGATCACCTGAGATCAGGAGTTCAAGACCAGCCCGACCAACATGGTGAAAACCTGTCTCTACCAAACACCAAAACTGAGCTGTGTGTGCTGGCGCACACCCGGAATCACAGCTACTTTGTAGGGTGAGGCAAGAGAATCACGTGAACCTTGGAGGCAGAGGTGACAGTGAGCCAAGATCACACCATTGCACTTCAGCCAGGGCAACAAACTGAGACTCTGTCAAACAAACAAACAACAAACAAACAAACAAACGAAACAAGGTGTGATCAGTGCATGGTATAGTCTGGAAATCAAAGGAGCCTCCCACCACGGCATCTGCAGTAGCTGGGACTCTGTGCCCCATATTGCCTGGCCACGTCAACTATCTTTGAAATGGGTCAGCAGCAGAACGTGGCTCACACCGGTGGCATCGCTTGAGCTCAGGAGTTGGGACCTTCCTGAGCAACAGAGACCACATCTGGATGAAAAATTAAAAACTCAGCCAAGTGTGGTGGCACGTCCCATGTAGTCCCAACTACGTGGGAGGCTGAGTCAAGAGGACCACTTGAGGATGGGTGAGGTGGTTCACGCTTGTAATCTCAGCACTTTGGGAGGCCGAGGTAGGCGGCTCACTCTGCAAATGTATTGCCAAGATCCGCGTTGCTTTTCTCAAAGCGTAACACTCTAAAGAGAAGCGCTTCCTATTTTTTTAGCCAACAGTAAGCGCTTTCCTCTAGAGGGTCACATCATGAGATCTTCTTGCTCCAGACCTGTGGGTTTTTTGTTGGAATCTTCCTTCACCGGGTTAAAATGGACACAAAAATAAAAATGCATTTATTGGCCCTGTTTGCATGTTTTCTGAAATCCAGAATATAAACCCCTAAAAGGACCACCTCCAGTTTCTTGCTTCAAAGAATCAGCAGGTTAGCCTTGTTCATGACGGGGCAATCCTCATGAGTTTCGTCTCTAGAAAGAAAAAGCAATGCCCAGTACACATACCTTATCTTTAACCAAGAGAATTGAGCTGGATTTCTAGAGAACAGCAATGGATGGAGAGCCAAGTGTTCACTTGAGTTCCAGGACAGGAGCACACAGTCACGAAGGGAGCATCCAAAATGGAATCTATGATGTTCGAGAACATACATTGTCTCACACACAAACATCCTCCAGGATAGTCCACAGTTTAGGCCATAAAAGCTCCTCGATAACATCTGGATACAAAAAATTCAAGTACGGTGGGTCATGGCGGCTCATACCTCTAACCCCAGCACTTGTCAAGTCGGGAGGATCACTTGAGCTCAGGAGTTCCAGTCCAGCCTGGGAAACACGGTAAACCCTGTGTGTACAAAAAATACAAAAGTTAGTCCGGTGTGGTGGTCCACGCCTGTATTCATTTCTTTAGGAGGCTGAGGTGGGAGGTGGAGGTTACAGGGAGCCAGATCGCACCAATGCACCCCAGCATGGGCAACAGAGCCAGATGTTGTCTCAAAACCAAACAAACATGCAAAAAAAAAAAAACCCCAAAATCCCCAAAAGGCACACAAACAAAAAAACCCCAAAGTGATGAGTATTCTCTGTGTATTGAAGAGTATTTTCTGTGTATATGATTATATGATCAATATCAGACAATATAATAAAATGTATATTATATAGTTTTGAGACCCATTATCAAAAAAAGAAAGGTCTCTATGTTGTTTGCTCACAGGAAGAATAATTCCTACACAGAACAGCATTAAAAACATTGGAATGACAGAGATTCCCATGTCCCCGGAACAAAGTGACATCCAAATTCATCATGGGTCCCAGATTTAAAATTAGGAAATACAGGCCGGGCATGGTGGCTCACGCCTATAATCCCAGCTCTCTGGGAGGCCGAGGCAGGTAGATCACCTGAGATCAGGAGTTCAAGACCAGCCCGACCAACATGGTGAAAACGTGCCTCTACCAAACACCAAAACTGAGCTGGGTGTGCTGGCGCACGCCCGTAATCACAGCTACTTTGTAGGGTGAGGCAGGAGAATCACGTGAACCTTGGAGGCAGAGGTGGCAGTGAGCCAAGATCACACCATTGCACTTCAGCCAGGGCAACAAACTGAGACTCTGTTAAACAAACAAACAAACAAACAAACAAAAAGTCTAAACGAGGTGTGATCAGTGCATGGTATAGTCTGGAAATCAAAGGAGCCTCCCACCCCGGTATCTGCAGTAGCTGGGACTCTGTGCCCCACATTGCCTGGCCACGTCAACTATCTTTGAAATGGGTCAGCAGCAGAACGTGGCTCACACCGGTGGCATTGCTTGAGCTCAGGAGTTGGGACCTTCCTGAGCAACAGAGACCACATCTGGATGAAAAATTAAAAACTTAGCCAAGTGTGGTGGCCCGTCCCATGTAGTCCCAACTACGTGGGAGGCTGAGTCAAGAGGACCACTTGAGGATGGGTGAGGTGGTTCACGCTTGTAATCTCAGCACTTTGGGAGGCCGAGGTAGGCGGCTCACTCTGCAAATGTATTACCAAGATCCGCGTTGCTTTTCTCAAAGCGTAACACTCTAAAGGGAAGTGCTTCCTATTCTTTTGGCCAACAGAAAGCGCTTTCCTCTAGAGAGTCACATCATGAGATCTTCTTGCTCCAGACCTGTGGGTTTTTTGTTGGAATTTTCCTTCACCGGGTTAAAATGGACACAAAAATAAAAATGCATTTATTGGCCCTGTTTGCATGTTTTCTGAAATCCAGAACATAAACTCCTAAAAGGACCACCTCCAGTTTCTTGCTTCAAAGAATCAGCAGGTTAGCCTAGTTCATCAAGGGACAATCCTCCTGAGTTTTTGTCTCTAGAAAGAAGAAGCAATGCCCAGTACACATACCTTATCTTTAACCAAGAGAATTGAGCTGGATTTCTAGAGAACAGCAATGGATGGAGAGCCAAGTGTTCACTTGAGTTCCAGGACAGGGAAACACAGTCACGAAGGGAGCATCCAAAATGGAATCTACGATGTTCAAGAACATACATTGTCTCACACACACACATCCTGCAGGGTAGACCACAAGTTAGGCCGTAAAAACTCCTCAATACAGTGTGAACCTAAATACACAAGTACAGGTGTGGCACGGTGGCTCACACCTCTAATCACAGCACTTTAGGAGGCCATGACGGGAGGATCACCTGAGCTCAAGAGTTTGAGACCAGCCCCGGCAACGTGGTGTAGCCCTATGTGTACAAAAAATACAAAAGTGAGCCAGGTGTGGTGGTGCATGCATGTAGACACTAACTCAGCAGGATTAGGTGGGAGGCGGAGGTTGCAGTGAGCTGAGATCGCACAACTGCACTCCAGACTGGGTGACACAGGCAGACCTTATCTCATAAACAAACAAACAAAAAACACACGCACAATACAAACAAAAAAATACCCAAAGTGATATAAGAGTATTCTGTGTGTGTAGAAGAGTATTTTGTGTGTATATGATATTATACATATGATAAGAATATATGATGGTCGGGCGCAGTGGCTCATGGCTGTTATCCCAGCACCTTGGGAGGCCAAGGCGAGTGGATCACCGGAGGTCGGGAGTCTGAGACCAGCCTGGCCAACACGGAGACTCCTGTCTCTACTAAAAATACAAACTTAGCTGGGCATGGTGGCGGGTACCTGTAATCCCAGCTACTCAGGAGGCTGAGGCAGGAGAATGGCTTGAACCCAGGAGGCGGAAGGTTGCAGTGAACCGAGATCACGTCATTACACTCCAGCCTAGGCGAGAGGAGCGAAACTCCCTCTCAAAAAAAGAAAAAAAAAATGAAGACTATATATTGTCATACACACAAACATCCTCTAGGATAGACCACAGTTTAGGCCATAAAAGCTCCTCGATAACATCTGGATACAAAAAATTCAAGTACGGTGGGTCACAGCGGCTCATACCTCTAACCCCAGCACTTGCCAAGTCGGGAGGATCACTGGAGCTCAGGAGTTCCAGTCCAGCCTGGGAAACACGATAAACCCTGTGTGTACAAAAAATACAAAAGTTAGTCAGGTGTGGTGGTCCACGCCTGTATTCAGTTCTTTAGGAGGCTGAGGTGGGAGGTGGAGGTTACAGGGAGCCGGATTGCACCACTGCACTCCAGCATGGGCAACAGAGCCAGATGTTGTCTCAAAACAAAACAGAACAAACAAACCCCAAAATCCCCAAAATGCACACACACAAAAAAACTCCAAAGTGATATGAATATTCTCTGTGTATAGAAGAGTATTTTCTGTGTATATGATTATATGATCAATATCAGACAATATAATAAAATGTATATTATATAGTTTTGAGACCCAGTATCAAAAAAAGAAAGGTCTCTATGTTGTTTGCTCACAGGAAGAATAATTCCTACACAGAACAGCATTAAAAACATTGGAATGACAGAGATTCCCATGTCCCCTGAACAAAATGACATCCAAATTCATCATGGGTCCCAGATTTAAAATTAGGAAATACAGGCCGGGCGCAGTGGCTCACGCCTATAATCCCAGCTCTCTGGGGGGCCGAGGCAGGTAGATCACCTGAGATCAGGAGTTCGAGACCAGCCTGACCAACATGGTGAAAACGTGTCTCTACCAAATGCAAAAACGGAGCTGGGTGTGCTGGCGCACGCCCGTAATCACAGCTACTTTGGAGGGTGAGGCAGGAGAATCATGTGAACCTTGGAGGCAGAGGTGACAGTGAGCCAAGATCACACCATTGCACTTCAGCCAGGGCAACAAACTGAGACTCTGTCAAACAAACAAACAACAAACAAACAAACAAACGAAACAAGGTGTGATCAGTGCATGGTATAGTCTGGAAATCAAAGGAGCCTCCCACCGCGGCATCTGCAGTAGCTGGGACTCTGTGCCCCATATTGCCCGGCCACGTCAACTATCTTTGAAATGGGTCAGCAGCAGAACGTGGCTCACACTGGTGGCATCGCTTGAGCTCAGGAGTTGGGACCTTCCTGAGCAACAGAGACCACATCTGGATGAAAAATTAAAAACTCAGCCAAGTGTGGTGGCACGTCCCATGTAGTCCCAACTACGTGGGAGGCTGAGTCAAGAGGACCACTTGAGGATGGGTGAGGTGGTTCACGCTTGTAATCTCAGCACTTTGGGAGGCCGAGGTAGGCAGCTCACTCTGCAAATGTATTACCAAGATCCGCGTTGCTTTTCTCAAAGCGTAACACTCTAAAGAGAAGCGCTTCCTATTTTTTTAGCCAACAGTAAGCGCTTTCCTCTAGAGAGTCACATCATGAGATCTTCTTGCTCCAGACCTGTGGGTTTTTTGTTGGAATCTTTCTTCACCGGGTTAAAATGGACACAAAAATAAAAATGCATTTATTGGCCCTGTTTGCATGTTTTCTGAAATCCAGAACATAAACCCCTAAAAGGACCACCTCCAGTTTCTTGCTTCAAAGAATCAGCAGGTTAGCCTTGTTCATCAAGGGCCAATCCTCTTGAGTTTCGTCTCTAGAAAGAAAAAGCAATGCCCAGTACACATACCTTATCTTTAACCAAGAGAATTGAGCTGGATTTCTAGAGAACAGCAAAGGATGGAGAGCCAAGTGTTCACTTGAGTTCCAGGACAGGGACACACAGTCACGAAGGGAGCATCCAAAATGGAATCTACGATGTTCAAGAACATACATTGTTTCACACACAAACATCCTGCAGGGTAGATCACAGGTTAGGCTGTAAAAACTCCTCAATACAGTTTGAACCTAAATACATAAGTACAGGTGTGGCACGGTGGCTCACACCTCTAATCACAGCACTTTAGGAGGCCACGACGGGAGGATCACCTGAGCTCAAGAGTTTGAGACCAGCCCCGGCAACATGGTACCCCATGTGTACAAAAAATACAAAAGTGAGCCAGGTGTGGTGGTGCACGCCTGTTGACACTAATTCAGCAGGATTAGGTGGGAGGCGGAGGTTGCAGTGAGCTGAGATCGCACAACTGCACTCCAGACTGGGTGACACAGGCAGACCTTATCTCATAAACAAACAAACAAACAAACAGAAAACACACACACATATACAAACAAAATTCTGTGTGTGTAGAAGAGTATTTTGTGTGTATATGATATTATATATAAGAGTATATGATGGTCGGGTGCAGTGGCTCATAGCTGTAATCCCAGCACTTTGGGAGGCTGAGGTAGGCGGCTCACATGAGGTCAGCAGTTTGAGACCAGTCTGGCCAACATGGCGAAACTCCTTCTCTACTAAAAAAAAATCCAAAAAGTAGCTGGGCATGGCAGCGTGTTTCTGTAATTCCAGCTACTCGGGAGGCTGAGGCAGGAGAATTGCTTGAACCTGGGAGGCGAAGGTTGTAGTGAGCCCAGATTGCGCCACTGCAGTACACCCTAGGCAACAGTGAGACTTCGTCTCAAAAATGAAAATAAAAAAAGAATAATAAAGAAAACTACAAATATTAGCTGGGGGTAGTGGTGAGCGCCTGTAATCCCAGCTTCTCAGAAAACTGAGGCAGGAGAATCACTTGAGCCCGGGAGGCGGAGCTTGCAGTGAGCAGAATTCCTGCCATTGCACTCCAGCCTGGGTCACAGAGCAAGACTCTGCCCCAAAGGAGAGGACCATTCAAACCCAAGAGATCTAGGTTGGAAGTGCCACCGCACTCTAGCCTGGGCAACAGACATCCTGTTGTAGAAAACAAAAACAAAAAGAGAACACCACCATCGGCCAAGTCTGATGATAAGCGTGCTCTGCAAATGTATTACCAAGATCAACATCAATTTAAACGTTGCTCTTCTCAAAGAGTAACCCTCTGAAAGGATGCACATTCTTTGTTTTCAGACAACAGAAAGTGCTTCCCTCTAAAGGGTCACAGCACGAGATCTTCTTGCGTCAGCACCATGGACATGGTGTTGGAATCCTCCCTGGCCTGGTTAAAACAGACATAAAAATAAAGATGCATTTTTGTGTCCTGTTTGCGTGTTTCCTGAATCCAAAACATAAACCCCTAACAGGATCATCTCCAGGTCCCATGCCTCAAAGGCTCAGCAATTAGCCTTGTTCATCAAGAGGAATGTCTCCTAAGATTTTTCTCCAGAAAAAAAAACCAGTGCCGACTAGACATACCTTATCTTTAACCAAGATAACTGGGCTAAATCTCTAAAGAGCAATGGATTTTAAGCCAGGTGTTCACTTGAGTTCCTATACAGGAACACAGAGTCCCAATGGGAGCATCCTAAATGGAATCTAAGATGTCGAAGAATATACATTGTCACACACACAAACATTCCCCAGGATAGACCACAGGCTATACTGTAAAAGCGCCTCAATAAAATTTAAGCAGAAACACACAAGTAGGGGTGAGACATGGTGGCTCACACTACTAGTCGCACTTTAGGAGGCCGAGGTGGGAGGATCACTTGAGCTCAGGAGTTCAAGACCAGCCTGGACAACACAGTGAAACCTCATCCATACAAAAAATACAAAAGTTCGCCAGATATGGTGGTGTGTGGTGTGTGCCTGTAGACAGGAATTCAGAAGGCTGAGGTGGGAGGTGGAGGTTGCAGTGAGCTGAGATGGCACCACACTACACTCTAGCCTGGGCGATAGAGCCAGACCTTGTCTCAGAAATAACCAATCAAATAAAACACACACACACAAAGAAACAAAAAATACCCAAGGTGATATCAGAATATTCTCTATATTTAGAACAGAATTTTATGTGTACATGGTATTATATGGAAGAATATGATAAAATATACATATTTTTGAGACCCTGTCTCACAGAAAGTTCCATACATTGTATGCCCACAGGAAGAATGATTCCTACACGAATTCTTTTTTTTTTTTTGAGACGGAGTCTCGCTCTGTCACCCAGGCTGGAGTGCAATGGTGCAATCTCCGCTCACTGCAAACTCCTCCTCCCGGGTTCACGCCATTTTCCTGCCTCAGCCTCCCGAGTAGCTGGGACTACAGGCGCCCACCACCATGCCCGGCTAATTTTTTGTATTTGTAGTAGAGACGGGGTTTCACCGTGTTAGCCAGGACGGTCTTGACCTCGTGATCCGCCCGCCTTGGCCTCCCAAAGTGCTGGGATTACAGGCGTGAGCCACCGCGCCCGGCCACCTACACGAATTCTTGCTTTGGCAATGCACATAAAAAAAATTGGAATGACAGAGATTACCCTGGCCCCTGCACAAAAGTGACACTCAAATTCATGATGGTCCCGTCTTTAACTATCCGTTTTTATTTTTAAAATTTTATTATTTATTTTGTATAGTTGTGAGACAGAATCTTGCTCTGTGGCCCAGGCTGGAATACAATGGCGTGATTTCAGCTCACTGAAATCTCTCTTGGGTTCAAGTGAATTCTCCTGCCTCAGCCTCCTGAGTAGCTGAAATCACAGATGTGCACCACTGCACCCAGCTCATTTTTGTATTTTTAGTAGAGACGAGGCTTTGCCATGTTGGCCCCGTTGGGTCTTGAACTCCTGACCTCAGGTGATTCTCCCATCTCGGCCTCCCAAAGTGCTGGGATTACAGGTGTGTGCCACCGCGCCTGGACTATGTTTTACTTTGTTGAGACCGAGACTCAGTTGCCCAGACTAAAGTGCAGTGGCGCAATATCAGCTCACTGAAAGCTCAGCCTCCTGGCTTCAAGAGAGACTTCCGACTCAGCCTCCAGAGTAGCTGGGATTATACGTGTGTGTGACCACGCCTGGCTGATTTTTGTATTTTAAGTATGGACAGGGTTTCACCATGTTGGCCAGTGTGGTTTTGAACAACTGACCTCAGATGACCCTCCTGTCTTGGCCTCCTAAAGCGCTGGAATTACAGGTGGGAGCCACCATACCTGGACTAGTCCCATATTTAAAATAAGAAAAAAGAAAAACAAAGATGTCCACACCTTAACAGCAAATCATTTGTTGTTCAAGTACATTTCAAACACATTGTTTATCTAAAATGCAAGTTTAACTGAGGGCTGGGGTGAACCAAAAAATGGTCCTGAATTTTCTTCCTGCCTGTGCATGGGTTAATATTTACATGTAGTCCCACCTACCAAGGACTGGGGAGGGGCAGAGGCAGGAGGATCTAAGCCCACTTTAGCCTGGACAGCATAGTGAGACCCCCCGTCTCATGCATTTATCTCCTGGTCATGCATCCAAGAGTTCAGCTTCATTTCCCCAATAAACACTGAAGCCCCATGCACTCCGCCTCCGTGCTCCTGCTGAGCCATGCACATCCCATCTGCAGGGGACACTGAGGTCCCTTCAACTCCACCTGACCCCACGTGAGGTTCTATCCCAGTGCCAGAAAAATTTCCATAAAGTAAAAGGTGGTGATGGCCGCGTGGTGTCTCATGCTTGTATTCTCAGCATTTTCAGAGGCCAAGATGAGGGGCTTACTTGAGGTCAGGGGTTGAGACCAGCCTGGCCAACATGGCAAAACCCGTTTCTTCTAAAAAAAAAAAAAAATTCAAACGTAGCCAGGCGTGGTGGCAGGCACCTGTAGTTCCATCTACTCAGGAGACTGAGGCAGAACTGCATGAACCTGAGAGGCAGAAGCTGGAGTCAGCCAGGATCATGCCACCGCCCTCCAGCTGGGGTAACGACAAGACTCTATTTCAAAAATAAATGAATGAATAAAAAAGAAAAATACAAATATTAGCCGAGTGTGATGTCGGGCGCCTGTAATCCCAGCTATTCAGAAGCTGAGGCAGGAGAATCGCTTGAACCCAGGAGGTGGAGGTTGCAGTGAGCCAAGACCGCACCACTGCACGCCAGCCTGGGTCACAGAGCAAGACTGTCCCAAAAAGGAAGGCCATCTGAGCCCAAGAAACCTAGGTTGGAAGTGCCTCTGTACTCCAGCCTGGGCCACAGAGACCCTCAAAAACAAAACAGACTCCCAACATCCTCCAAGTCTGATGACAAGCATGCTCTGCAAATGCATGACCAAGATCAGCACCATCTTGAACGTGGCATTTCCCAAACAGCCACACTCTGAAGGGAAGCACTTTGTTTTTCCTCAGACAACAAACAGAAAGTGCTTTCTCTAGAGGGCCACAGCATGGGATCTTCCCACTCCAGCACTCTGCGTTCCTTGTTGGAATTTTCCTGGACCGGGTTAAAAGAGACACAAAATAAAGATGCATTTATTGGCCCTGTTTGCATATTTTCTGGATCCCAGAACATAAACCCCTAAAAGGACCATCTCCAGTTCTTTGCTTCAAAGGCTCAGCAGGTTAGCTTTGTTCATCAAGGGGCAATCCTCCTGAGTTTTGTCCCTAAAGAGAAAAAGGAATACCTACTACTCATACCTTACATTTAACCAAGAGAATTGGGCTGATGTTGAAGAATATACATTGTCACACACGCAAACACTTTCCAGGATAGACCACAGTCTAGGCTGACTGTAGAGGACCGCTTGAGATTAGGGGCGGTGGCTCATGCCCAGCTCTTTGGGAGGCCAAGGCTGTTGGATCACCTAAGGTCAGAAGTTTAAGACCAGCCTGACCAACATGGTGAAATCCCGTATCTACTAAAAACAACAAAAAAAAATTGGCTGGGAGGGGCGGTAGGCACCTGTAATCCCAGCTACCTGGGAGGCTGCAGTAGGACAATTGCTTGAACCCAGGAGGCGGAGGTTGAAGTGAGCCTAGATTGCACCACTGCACTCCAGCCTGGACCTCAAGAGTGAAACTCCATCTCAACAACAACAAAATAATAATAACTAGTAGGACACGATGGCAGGCATCTGTGTTCCCAACTATTCAGCAGGCTGAGGTGGGAGAACCGCTGGAACCTGGGAGACGGAGTTTCCGGTCAACAGAGATCCTCCTACTGCACTCCAGCCTGGACAACAGAGTGAGAATGCATCTCAAAAAAAATCAAAAAATAAAAAGAGCACCACTTCAGCCCAAGAGATCTCGGTTGGAGGTGCCACCCACTCCCGCCTGGGCAACCAAAAGCCTGTCTTGGAAAAAAACAAACAAACAGAACCCCAGGATCATGCAAGTCTAACGATAAACACACTCTGCAAATGTACCACCAAGGTCAGCAGCATCTTCACCGTTGCTTTTCTCACACAGTAACACTCTAAAGGGCTGCACGATCTTTTCTTAGAACACAGACAGTGCTTCCATTTAGAGTGTCACAGCATGAGGAGATCTTCTTGCTTCACTACTCTGGGTTTTTTTTTTTTTTTCGAGACGGAGTCTTGCGCTGTCGCCGAGGCTGGAGTTCAATGGCACCATCTCGGCTCACTGCAAGCTCCACTTCCTAGGTTCAAGTCATTCTCACGCCTGGCTACAGGTGGGACTACAGGTGCCCGCCACCACGCCTGGCTAATTTTTTGTATTTTTAAATAGAGACGGGGTTTCACTGTGTTAGCCAGCATGGTCTCCATCTCCTGACCTCGTGATCCGCCCACCTCGGACTCTCAAAGTGCTGGGATTACAGGTGTGAGTCACCGCGCCTGGCTTTTTTTTTGTTTTTTTTTTTTTTGAGATGGAGTCTCACTCTGTCACCCAGGCTGGAGTGCAGTGGCACAATCTTGGCTCACTGCAACCTCCGCCTCCCGGGTTCAAGCGATTCTCCTGCCTCAGCCTCCCGAGTAGCTGAGATTACAGGTGCCCACCACCACACTGGGCTAATTTTTTGTTGTTGTTGTATTTTTAGTAGAGACGGATTTTCACCATGTTGGTCAGACTGGTCTCAAACTCCTGACCTGAGATAATCTACCCGCATCAGCCTCCCAAAGTGCTGGGATTACAGGCATGAGCCACCACGCCCGGCTTTATTTTGTATGTTTATTCATTTGTTTATTTTTTGAGACGGAATTTCACTGTGTCACCCAGGCTGACCATTTGAATCCAAGAGATATATCAGACATGTCACCGCACTGCAGCATGCGTAGCACAGAGCCTTAGAATAAAAAAGCAAAACCAAAACACAACCCCACCATGGTTCAAGCGTGATAAGCATGCACTGCAAATGTATTACCAAGATCAGCATCGACTTCAACGTTGCTTTTCTCAAACCGTAACCCAGCAAAGAGAAGCACTTTCTTTTCGTTTAGACAACAGAAAGGGCTTCCCTTTGTAGGGTCACAGCATGAGATCTTCTCGCTCCAGCACTCTGGGTTTCTTCTGGAAATTTTCCTCGACCTGGTCAAAATGGACACAAAAATAAAGATGCGTTTATTGGTCCCGTTTTCACGTTTTCTGGAATCCAGAACATAAACCGATACAAAGACCATCTCCACTTCCTTGCTTCGAACATTCAGCAGGTTAGCCTTGTTCATCAAGGGGCAATCTTCCTGAGTTCTGCCTTCAAAGAGAAAAAGCAACGCTTACTACATATACCTTATATTTTACAAAGAGAATTAGGCAGGATTTCTAGAGAACAGCAATGGATTTTGAGCCAAGTGTTCACTTGAGTTCCAGGACAGGGACACACAGTCCCAATGGGAGCATGTAAAATGGAATCTAAGATGTTGAAGAACAGACACTGTCTCACACACTAACATTCTCCAGCATAGACCACGTTATGCTGTAAAAGCTCCTCAATAACATTTGAACAGAGACACACAAGGACAGGTGGGGCACAGTGGCTCACACCTCTAACTGCAGCACTTAAGTAGGCCAAGGCTGGAGGATCACTTGAGCTCAGACACCAGCCTGGGAAACATCATAAAACCTCATCTGTAAAAATACAACAGTGAGCCAGGTGTCGTGGTGCATGCCTGTAGACACTAATTCAGGAGGCTGAGGTGGGAGGTGGAGGTTGCAGGAAGCCGAGATCACACCACTGCACTCCAGCATAGGTGACAGAGCCAGATCTTGTCTCAGAAACAAACAATGCACACACACAAACAACAAAATGCCCAAAGTGATATGAGTATTCTGTGTGTAGTATTTTGTGTGTGTATGATATTATATACGTAAGAATATATGAAGGCCAGCTGTGGTGCTTCAAAGTACTGGGATTGCAGATGTCCAGTACTTTGGAAAGCCAAAGTGGGCGGATCACCTGAACTCGGGAGTTCGAGACCAGCCTGACCAACATGGAGAAATCCCGTCTCTACTGAAAATACAACAAATTAGCTAGCCCTGGTGGTGTATGCGTATAACCCAGTTACTCAGGAGGCTGAGGTAGGAGAATGGCTTTAACCCAGGAGGCGGACATTGCGGGGCGCCGAGATCACACCATTGCACTTCAGCCTGTGCAACAGCAGCAAAACTCAGTCTCAATAAAAGAAAAAAGAAAAAAAGAAACTTCCATATATTGTATGCCCACAGGAAGAATGCTCCCTACACGTAAGTGCTTGCTTTGGCGGCATGCGTAAAAAAACTGGAATGACAAAAATTACCCTGGTCCCTGCGCAAAGGTTTCACCCAAATTCATGATGATCTCATATTTATCTATTTATTTTTATTTTTTAATGTTTAATGTTTATTTAATATCGTTTTATTTATTTAGAGATGGAGTTTTGCTCTTGTTGTCCAGGCTGGAATACAATGGCACAATCTTGGCTCACCGCAACCTCCGCCCCCCGGGGTTCAATCGATTCTCCTGCCTCTGCCTCCCCAGTAGCTGGGACTACAGGCATGTGTCACCAAGTCCGGCTAATTTAGTAGAGACGAGGTTTCTCCATGTTGGTCAGGCTGGTCTTGAACTCCTGACCTCAGGTGATCCACCCACCTCAGCCTCCCAAAGTGCTGGGATTACAGGCGTGAGCCACTGTGCCCGGCCTGAGGTCCCTTTTAACTCTACCTGACCCCAAGTGAGGTTCTGTCAATCAGCGCCAGTATCATTTCCATGGAGTAAAAGGTGTTGATGGCTCGGCGCAGTGGCTCACACCTGTATTTTTAGCACTTTGGGAGGCTGAGGCGGGCGGATCACTTGAGGTCAGGGATTTGAGACTAGCCTGGCAAACATGATGAAACCCATTTTCTACTACAAAAAAAAACAAAAAACAAAAAACAAAAGTAGCAGCGCGTGGTGGCGGTGCTGAAAGGACCATCTCCAGTTCCTTGCTTCAAAGAATCAGCAGGTTAGCCTTGTTTAACATAGGACAATCCTCCTGAGTTCTGTGTCTGCTAAGAAAAAGCAATGCCTATTACACATAGCTTATATTTAACCAGGAGAATAGGTCAAGATTCCTACAGAATAGATTATGAGCCAAGTGTTCCTGGAGTTCCAGTCCAGGGACACATAGTCCCGATGGGAACACCCAAAATGGAGTCTACGATGTTGAAGAATATGCGTTGTCACACACACAAACATCCTCCAGGATAGACCACAGGCTTGGTCATACAAACTCAATAAAATCTGAACAGAAATACATAAGTACGTGGGGCGCGGGCTGGCTCCCACCTCTCATCCCAGCACATCAGGGGGCCAAGACGGGAGGATCACATGAGCTCAGGAGTTTGAGACCAGCCCCAGCAACATGGTGTAACCCCATGTGTATGAAAAACACAAAAGTTAGCCAGATGTGCTGGTGCGTGTCTGTAGACACTCATTCAGCAGGTTTAGGTGGGAGGTGGAGGTTACAGTGAGCTGAGATCGCACCAGTACACTCCATCCTGGGCGACAGAGCCAGACCTTGTCTCAAAAATAACCAATCGGGCCGGGCGCGGTGGCTCAAGCCTGTAATCCCAGCACTTTGGGAGGCCGAGACGGGCAGATCACGAGGTCAGGAGATCGAGACCATCCTGGCTAACACAATGAAACCCCGTCTCTACTAAAAATACAAAAAAATTAGCCGGGCGAGGTGGCGGGCGCCTGTAGTCCCAGCTACTCGGGAGGCTGAGGCAGGAGAATGGCGTAAACCCGGGAGGCGGAGCTTGCAGTGAGCCGAGATAGCGCCACTGCACTCCAGCCTGGGAGACAGAGCGAGACTCCATCTCAAAAAAAAAAATAAAAAAAAAAAATAACCAATCGGCTGGGCGCAGTGGCTGATGCCTGTAATCCCAGCACTTTGGGAGGCCGAGGCGGGCGGATCATGAGGTCAGGAGATCGAGACCATCCTGGCTAACACGGTAAAACCCCATCTCTACTAAAAATACAAAAAAAAAAAAAAAATTAGCTGGGCGTGGTGGTGGGCGCCTGTGGTCCCAGCTACTCGGGAGGCTGAGGCAAGAGAATGGCATGAACCTGTGAGGCGGAGCTTGCAGTGAGCCGAGATTGCGCCACTGCAATCAAACAAACAAACAAAAACAACCAAACAAATAAGAAACACACACACGAAGAAACAAAAAAAATACCCAAGGTGATATCAGAGTATTCCCTGTATTTAGAACAGTATTTTGTGTATGATTATATTATATATATATTATATTATATATATGTATATTTCTGAGATCCTGTGTCAAAGAAATTTCCATATATTGTATTCTCACAGGAAAAATAATTCCTACACATAAGTGCTTGCTTTGGCAGGGCACATAAAAAAATTGGAATGACAGAGACTACACCGGCTGTTGCATAAACGTGACACCCAAATTCATGATGGTCCCATATCTACCTACTTATTTTTATTTATTTAATTTTATTTCTATTATTTATTTATTTACTTATTTATTTATTTTTGAGATGGCATCTCACTCTGTGGCTCAGGCTGGAATGCAATGGCATGATTTCAGCTTACTGAAATCTCCTCCTGGGTTCAAGTGATTCTCAGCCTCCGAGTAGCCGGAATCACAGATCTGTACCACTGCACCTAGGTAATTTTTGTATTTTTAGTAGAGAAGAGGCTTTGCCGTGTTGGCCCTGTTGGTCTTGAACTCTCGACCTCAGGTGATCCTCCTGTCTCGGCCTCCCAAAGTGCTGGGATTACAGGCATGTGCCACCGTGCCCGGCCTATTTTTTACTTTCTTGAGACTGAATCTCCCTCTGTTGCCCAGGCTGGAGTGCAGTGGCGCAATCTTAGCTCACTGAAAGCTCAGCCTCCTGGCTTCAGGAGCAGCCTCCCGAGTAGCCGGGATTACAGGTGTGCACAACCACGCCTGGCTGATTTTTCTATGGAAACAGACAGGGTTTCACCATGTTGGCCAGGCTGGTCTCAAACAACTGACCTTAGGTGATCCTCCTGTCTCAGCCTCACAAAGTGCAGGAATTACAGACAAGAGCCACCACATGGAGACTAGTCTCATATTTAAAATTAGGAAAAATAAACCAACAAACAGATATCCACACCTAACCAGTAAATCATTTGTAGTTCAAGTACATCTCAAATACATCGTTTATCTAAAATACAAGTTTAACTGGGGGCCGGGTGTGAATCAAAGAATAGTCCGTACTTTCCTCTTCCTGTGCATGGGTTAATAATAGTCACATGCAGTCCCTGCTACCAAGGACTGGGGAGGGGCAGAGGCAGGAGGATCCAAGCTCACTTTAGCCTGGGCGGCATAGTGAGACCCCGTCTCATTGCATAGATGACCTGGTCATGCACCCAAGATTTCAGCTTCATTTCCCCAATGAAAACTCAAACCCCACACACTCCACCTCTGTACTCTTGCTAAGCAGTGCACATCCCATCTGTAACGGACGCTGAGGTCCCTTCAACTCCACCTGACCCCACATGAGGTTCTATCCCAGTGCCAGATAATTTCCATAAAGTAAAAGGTGTTGATGGCCATGCACCGTGGCTCACGCCTGTATTCTCAGCACTTTGGGAGGTCGAGGCCAGCGGGTCACTTGAGGTCAGGGGTTTGAGACCAGCCTGGCCAACATGGTAAAACCCCAAGTTTACTTAAAAAAAAAAAAAAAAAGAAAAAAAAATTCAAAAAGTAGTCGGGTGTAGTGGCAGGTGCCTGTAATTCCAGCTACTCAGGAGATTGAGGCAGGAGAATTGCTTGAACCCGAGAGGCAGAGGTCAGGTTCATGCCACTGCCCTCCAGGCTGGGTGACAGCGAGACTCCATCTCAAAAATAAATAAATGAATGAATAAAAAAGAAAAATACAAATATTAGCCGAGTGTGATGTCAGGCGCCCGTAATCCCAGCTACTCAGGAAGCTGAGGCAGGAGAATCGCTTGAACCCCGGAGGTGGAGGTTGCAGTGAGCTGAGATTGCACCACTGTACTCCAGCCTGGGTCACAGAGCAAGACTGTGTCCCATAAAAGGACCATCTGAGCCCAAGAGACCTATGTTAAAAGTGCCTTTGTAGTCTCTCCTGGGCAACAGAGACCTTGTCGTAGAAAAAAACAAACAAATAAAAAACAAAAAAAGGAAAGCAAAACAGAAACAGACTCCCACCATCATCCAAGTCTGATGACAAGCATGCTCTGCAAATGCCATGACCAAGATCAGCACCATCCTGAACGCTGCTTTTCCCAAGCGGTCACACTCTAAAAGGAAGCACTTTGTTTTCTCTCAGACAACAAACAGAAAGTGCTTCCCTTTGGAGGGTCACAGCTTGGGATCTCGCTCCAGCACTCTGGGTTTTTTTGTTGAAATCTTCCTTGACCAGGTTAAAATGGACACAACAATAAAGATGCATTTATTGCTCCTGTTTGCCTGTTTTCTGGAATCCAGAACATAAACCCCTAAAAGGACCATCTCCAGTTCCTTGCTTCAAAGGCTCAGCAGGTTAGCCTTGCTCATCAAGGGACGATCCTCCCGAGTTTTGTTCCCAAAGAGAAAAAGCAATGCCCAATACACATACCTTATCTTCAACCAAGAGAATTGCACTGAATTTCTAGAGAACAGCAATGGATGTTTGAGTCAAGTGTTCACTAGAGTTCCAGCCCAGGGACACACAGTCCCGATGGGAGCATCCAAAATGGAATCTACAATGTTGAAGAATATACATTGTTGCACACACAAACATCCTCCAGGATAGATCACAGGCTAGGCTGACTTAAAAGGACCACTTGAGATTAGAGGCGGTGGCTCACGCCTGTAATCCCAGTACTTTGGGAGGCCAACGCTAGTGATCACCTGAAAGCAGGATACCAGCCTGGCCAACATGGTAAAACCCGGTCTCTACTAAAAACACAAAAATTAGCTGGGTGGGGCAGTAGGCGCCTGTAATCCCAGCTACCTGGGAGGCTGAGGCAGGAGAATCACTGGAACCTGGGAGGCAGAGGTTGCAGTGAGCCTAGATCGTGCCAGTGCCCTCCAGGATGGGCAACAAGAGTGCAGGACCTGATGGCGGGCCCCTAACTCCCAAGGATTTGGCAGGCTGATATGGGAGAGTCACTGGAAGCTGGGAGGCAGAGTTTCTGGTGAGCAGAGATCCTGCTACCACTACACTCCCAACCAAACGAGAGCGCGTCTCAAAAAATCAAAAAATCAAAAGACCACTTCAGCCCAAGAGACCTCGGTTGGAGGTGCCACCCACTCCTGCCTGGGCAACAGAAAGCCTGTCCTGGAAAAATTTCAAATCAAAAACAGAACCCAGAACCCCACCAGCACCCAAGTCTGATGATAAACACGCTCTGCAAAAGTATTACCGTGATCAGCATTGACTCCACCGTTGCTTCTCTCAAACGGTAACACTCTAAAAGGATGCACGATCTTTTCTTTTAGACCACAGACAGTGCTTCCATCTAGAGGGTCACTGCATGAGTTCTTCTTTTATTGTGACACGGAATCTCACTCTGTCGCCCAGGCTGGATGCGGTGGTGCTATCTCGGCTCACACCAACTTCTGCCTCCTGGGTTCAAGCGATTCTCCCGCCTCGGTCTCCTGAGTAGCTGGGATTAGAGGCACCCACCACCACACCTGGCTAATTTTTTTGTTTGTTTTTTGGTTGTATTTTTAGTAGAGATGGATTTTCGCCATGTTGGTCAGACTGGTCTTGAACTCCTGACCTCAGATGATCTACCCACGTGGGCTTCCCACGGTGCTCAGATTACAGTCGTGAGCCACCGCGCCTGGCTACATCATACATTTTTGAGACCATGTCTCAAAGAAAGCACCATATATTGTATGTTCATAGGAACAGTAATTCCTACACGTCAGTGCTTGCTTTGGCAGGGCACATAAAAAAAAATTGGAATGACAGAGATTAACATGGCCCCTGCACAAACGTGACAACCAAATTCATGATGGTCCCATATTTATCTATTTAATTTTTTAATTTTTATTTTGTTTTTTTTTTTTTTTTTTTTTTGAGACGGAGTCTCATTCTGTTACCCAGGCTGGAGTTCAGTAGCACGATCGCAGTTCACTGAAAGCTCAGCCTCCCGGCTTCAAGGGATTCTCCTGCCTCAGCCTCCTGAGTAGCTGGGATTAAAGGTGTGAACTACCACCATTCCGAGCTAATTTTTGTATTTTTAGTAGAGATGGGGTTTCTCCATGATGGCCAGGCTGGTCTCGAACAACTAACCTCAGGTGATCCACCTGCCTTGGCCTCCCAAAATGATGGAATTACAGGTGTGAGAGTTGCCATACCCAGCCTTTTCCGATATTGAAAATTACGGGGGAAAAAAAAAAAGATGCCCACACCTAAATAGCAAATCATTTGTTGTTCAAGTACATCTCAAATACATTGTTTATCTGAAATACAAATGTAACTGGGGGTGGGGCGTGACTCAAAGAACAGTCCGTACTTTCCTCTTTCTGTGCATGGGTTAATAAAATTCACATATAGTCCCTGCTACTAAGGACTGGGCAGGGGCAGAGGCAGGAGGATCTGAGCCCACTTTAGCCTGGGCAGCATAGTGAGACCCCGTCTTGTTGCATAGATGACCTGGTCATGCACCCAGGAGTTCAGCTTCATTTCCCCAATGAAAACTCAAACCCCACACACTCCACCTCCGTGCTCCTGCTAAGCAGTGCACATCCCATCTGCAGGGACATTGGGGTCCCCTTCAACTCTACCTGACCCCACGTGAGATTCTGTAAACAAGTGCCAAAATAATTTCCACGGAGTAAAAGGTGTTGATGGCCAGGTGCAGTGGCTCATGCCTGTATTCTCAGTACTTTGGGAGGCAGAGACTGGTGGATCACCTAAGGTCAGGAGCTGAGACCAGCCTGGACAACATGGTGAAACCCCGTCTCTGCTGAAAATATAAAAATTAGGCCACGCGTGGTGGCTCATACTTGTAATCCTAGCACTTTAGGAGGCAGAGGCAGGTGGCTCCCTTGCGGTCAGGGGTTTGAGACCAGTCTAGCCAACATGGTGAAATTCCATCTCTACTAAAAAAAAAAAAAATACAAAAAGTAGCCAGGTGTGGTATTGGGCTCCCGTAATTCCAGCTACACAGGAGGCTGAGGCAGAAGAATTGCTTGAACCCGGGAGGCGGAGGTTGCAGTGATCACATCACTGCACTTCAGCCTGGGTGATAGAAAGAGACTCTGCCCCCTAAAAAAACCATTTGAATCCAAGAGACCTAGGTTGGATGTGGCACTGCAGTCCAGCCTGGGCAACAGAGACCCTGTCTTAGAATAAAAAAGCAAAACCAAAACAGACCCCCTTAATCATCCAAGTCTGATGATAAGCATGCTCTGCAAATGTATTACCAAGATCAGCATCAACTTCAACGTTGCTTTTCTCAAACCGTAACACTGCAAAGGGAAGCACCTTCTTTTCTTTTAGACAAGAGAAAGTGCTTGCCTTTGTAGGGTCACAGCATGAAATCTTCTTGCTCCAGCACTCTGGGTTTTTTGTTGGAATTTTCCTTGCCCAGGTTAAAATGGACACAAAAATAAAGATGTATTTATTTGCCCTGTTTGCATGTTTTCTAGAATCCAGAACATAAACCCCTATATAAAGACTATCTCCAGTTCCTTGCTTCAAAGAATAAGGAGGTTAGCCTTATCCCTAATCTCAGCACTTTGGGAGACCGAGGGGGGCGGATCACCTTAGTTCAAGAGTTCAAGACCAGCCTGCCCAACATGGTGAAACCCCGTCTCTACTAAAAATACACAAAAATTAGCTGAGCGTGGTGGTGTGTGTCTGAAAATCCCAGTTACCCTGGAGGCAGGGAAGGAGAATCACTGGAACCCGGGAGACAGAGGCTGCAGTAAGCTGAGATTGCGCTACTGCATTGCAGCCGGGGCGACAGAGCAAGACTATCTCAAAAAAATAAAAATAAATAAAAATAAAAAATATTTAGTGTCAGGGACAAGGAGATTCAATTAAAAAGACACAAATAAATAGAAAAAATACGAAAATTGTATTAATATTGACATCCATTGGGGATTACAGAATAGACTGCATAGATGTGGAGGCCTACATTTTTTTGTTGTTTTGTTTTTTTTGTTTTGAGATGGAGTCTCGCTCTGTCGCCCAGGCTGGAGTGCACCTGTGCAATCTTGGCTCACCGCAAGCTCTGCCTCCTGGGTTGAAGCGATTCTGTTGCCTCAGCCTCCTGAGTAGCTGGGATTACAAGCACGCACCACCACGCCCACCTAATTTTTGTATTTTTAGTAGAGATGGGGGTTCACCATGTTGGTCAGGCTGGTCTCGAACTCCTGACCTCATGATCAGCCTGCCTCGGCCTCCCAAAGTGCTTGGATTAAAGGTGTCAGCCACCACGCCCAGCCCTTACTCTCCTAATGAAGGAAACATGGTTTGGATTAATTAAACTAAACTGATGAGACGTCTGTGTTTGAAGTGACCAACCCAAATGGAGCCTCTGGAACCAGGTGCCATGTAATCTGTGTCTTTAAAGAGATGGGATCATGCTATGTGGCCCAGGCTGGAGTGCAGTGGTTATTCAAAGGTGTGATCAGTGCATGTTATAGCCTGGAAATCAAAGAAAGGACCCTTCCACCCTAGCCTTTGCAGTAACTGGGACTCTGTGTGCCCCAGGATGCCTGGCTGTGTCCCCTGTCTTTGAAATGGGTCATCAGGAAAAGGTGGCTTACACATTGAGAATCACTTAAGTGCAGTTGAGACCATCCCGGGCAAAAGAGACCCCATCTCTACCAAAAATTAAAACCTGAGCCCAGTCTGGTGGCACGCTCCATGAGGTCGGGAGTTCGAGACCAGCCTGACCAACATGGAGAAACCCCGTCTCTACTAAAAATACAAAATTAGCCGGGCGTGGTGGCACATGCCTGTAACCCCAGCCACTAGGGGGCCAAGGCAGGAGAATCACTTGAACCTGGGAGGTGCAGGTTGCGGTGAGCCGAGATCGCGCCATTGCACTTCAGCCTGGCCAACAAGAGCGAAACTCCATCTCAAATAAAATAAAATAAATAAAACAAAACGAAACAAAATAAAATAAAATAAAATAATAGAGCAAAACTTGGCCCCAAGAGATCTAGGTTGGAGTGCTATCCCTCTCCAGCCTGGGCAACAGAGACTGGTCTTGGAAAAAAACAAAACCAAAACAGAACCCCACCATCGTCCAAGTCTGATAAGCATGCTCTGCAAATGCATTACCAAGATCAGCATCAACTTCAACGTTGCTTTTCTCAAACCGTAACTCTCTAAAGAGAAGCGCTTTGTTTTCTTTCAGACAACAGAAAGCGCTTCCCTCCAGAGAGTCACAGCATGAAATCTTCTCGCTCCAGCACTCAGGGATTTTTGTTGAAATTTTCCTTGACCAGGTTAAGATGGACACAAAAATACAGATGCATTCATTAGCCCTGTTTGCCTATTTTCCGGAATCCAGCACATAAAGGACAATCTCCAGGCTCAGCAGGTTAGCCTTGCTCATCAAGGGGAATCCTCCTGAGTTTTGTCTCCAAGGAGAAAAAGCAATGCCCACTACACATACCTTATCTTTAACCCAGAGAATTGAGCTGGATTTCTAGAGAACAGCAATGGATTTTGAGTCATGGTCACTTGAGTTCCAGCACAGGGATACACAGTCATGATGGGAGCATCCAAAATGGAATCTAAATTTGCCGAGCGTGGTGGTACTCACCTGTAATGCCAGCTACTCAGGAGGCTGAGGCAGGAGAATTGCTTGAACCCGGGAGGCGGAAGTTGCAGTGAGATGAGTTCATGCTACTGCACTCCAGCCTGGGCGACAGAGCGAGACTCTCAGAAAAAAAAAAAAAAGAATATACATTGTCGTACACACAAACATTCTCCAGGATAGAGCACTGCCTAGGCTGTAAAAGCTCCTCAATAACATTTGATACAGAAGTACGGGTGGGGTGCAGTGGCTCACACCTCTAATCCCAGCACTTTAGGAGTCGAAGGCGGGAAAATTACATGAGCTCAAGAGTTCAAAACCAGCCCGCCCAACAGGGCAAAACCTCATCTGCAAAAATACAAAAGATAGCCAGGTCTAGTGGTTCATGCCTGTAGACACGAATTCAGGAGGCTGAGGTGGGCAGTAGAGGCTGCAGTGAGTTGAGGTCACAAGACTGCACTCCAGCCTGGGCAACAGAGCCAGATTGTGTCTCAAAAAAAAAATACACAAACAAAAACTCCAAAGTGATAAAGAGTATTCTCTGTGTGTAGAAGACTACTTTGTGTGTACGAATTATACACAGAAGATTATATGATGCCATGTATATATTTTGGAGACCCTGTCTCAAGAAAAACAAAGTTCCATATACTATATGCTCACATAAAGAATAATTCCCACATATTAGTGCTTGCTTTGACAGCACACATAAAAAATGAATGGAGCGACAGAGATTACCACGGCCCCTGCACGGAGGTGACGCCCAAATTCATGACGGGTCCCATATTCAAAATTAGGAAAAAAGGCCAAGTGTAGTGGCTCATGCCTGTAATCCCAGCACTTCGGGAGGCCTACGTCAGCAAATCACCTGAGGTCAGGAGTTTCAGAACACAGCCTGGCCAACATAGAGAAACTGTCTCTAAAAAAAACATACAGAAGACAAAATAACTGGCGTGCAGATAGGCGTCTGCAATGCCAGCTACTTGGAAGGCTGATGTTGCAGTGAGCTGAGATCGTACCACTGCAGTCCAGCCTTGGAGACACAGTGAGATTCTGACTCCAAAAAAAAAAGAGAGAATTGTTTGAACCCAAGAGGCAGAGATTGCAGCGAGCCGAGATCATGCTACTGCACTCCAAACTGGGTGACAGGGCAGGAGTGTCTCAACAAGTCAAAGACAGAAACAAAGAATGGGACTTGCTTTCTTCTTGCCTGTGCATGGGCTCACTTAAGGAGACTAGGCTAGCCAACATGTGGAAACCCTGTCTCTACTGAAAAAATACAGAAATTAGCCGGACGTGTTGGTGGGCATCGATAATCCCAGGTACTTGGGAGGCTGAGGCAGGAGGATCACTTGAACCTGAGAGGAGGAGGTGGCCGTGAGCAGAGACTGTGCCACTGCACCTGGGCAAGAGCGAGATTCTATCTCAACAATAAATAAATAAATACAGAAAATAGCCGGGCGTGCTGGCTCATGCCTGTCATCCCAGCTGCTTGGGAGGCTGGGTCAGGAGAATGGCTTGAACCTGGGAGGCAAAAGGTGCAGTGAGCAGTGTTACTGCCAATGTAGTCCAGCCTGGGTCACAGAGCGAGACTGTCCCAAAAAAGAGGACCACTCGAGCCCAAGAGATCTAGGTTAAAAGTGCCACCACACTCCAGCCTGGGCAATAGAGACCTCGTCTTAGAAAAAATCAAAACAGCCGGGTACTGTGGCTCACACCTGTAGTCCCAGGACTTTGGGAGGCCGAGGTGGGTGGATCACCTGAGGTCAGGAGTTCGAGACCAGCCTGACCAACATTGAGAAATCCCACCTCTACTAAAAATACAAAATCAGCTGGGTGTGGAAGGAGATGCCTATAATCCCAGCTACTTAGCAGGTTGAGGCAGGAGAATTGCTTGAGCCCGGTTGGCGGAGGTTGTGGTGAGCCGAGATTGCGCCACTGCACTCCAGCCTGGGCAACAAGAATGAAACTCCATCTCAAGAAAAAGAAAAAAGAAAAAAAAACCAAAAAACGAAAAACAGACGCCCACCATCATCCGAGTCTGATGACAAGCATTGCTCTGCAAATGCATGACCAAGATCAGCACCAACTGCAACGTGGCTTTCCCAAACGGTAACCCTCTAAAAGGAAGCACTTTCTTTTCTTTCAGACCACAGAAAGCGCTTCCCTCTAGAGGGTCACAGCCTGAGACCTTCTACCTCCAGCACCGTGGATTTTTTGTTGGACTCTTCCTTGCCCGGGTTAAAATGGACACAAATATTAAGATGCATGTATTTGCCCTGTTTGCACATTTTCTGGACTCCAGAACATAAACCCCTAAAAGGACCATCTCCAGTTCCTTCCTTCAAAGAATCAGCAGGTTAGCCTTGTTCATCAAGGGGCAATCCTCCCGAGTTTTGTTCCCAAAGAGGAAAAGCAATGCTGACTACACATACCTTATCTTTAACCAAGAGAACTGGGCTGGATTTCTAGAGAACAGCAAGGGATTTTGAGCCAACTGTTCGCTTGAGTTCCAAGACAGGAGCACACAGTCCCCATGGAGGCATCCAAAATGGAATCTAAGATGTGGAAGAATATACATTGTTGTGGGCACAAACATCCTGCAGGGCAGACCACAAGATACCCCCCGTAAAAGCTCTTCAGTAAAATCTAAGCAGAAACACACAAGTACTGGTGGGGCACGATGGCTCACACCACTAATCCCAGCACTTTAGGAGGCCACGGCGGAAGGATCACCTGAGCTAAGGAGTTCAAGACCAACCTGGGCAACATGGTGAAACCACATCCGTTAAAAAAAAAAAAAAAAGCCAGGTGTGGTGGTGCATGACTGCAGAGGCGGTGGTGGGAGCTGGAGGTTGCAGTGAGCCGAGATCGCACCAGTGCACGCCAGCCTGGGCGACAGAGGGAGACTCTGTCTCTAAAATGAATAAAATAATAATAATAATGATATATAAAAATTAGCCGGGTGTGGTGGCACATGCCTGTAATCCCAGCTGCTCGGGAGGCTGAGGCAGGAGAATCGCTTGAACTCAGGAGGCAGAGGTTGCAGTGAGTGAAGTTCCTGACACTGCACTCCAGCCAGGGCCACAGAGCAAGACTCTGTTCTAAAAAAGAGGGCCACTTGAACCCAAGAGATCTAGGTTGGAGGGGTCACCACACTCCAGCCTGGGCAACAGACACCCTGTCTTAGAAAAAAAAAAAAAAACAAACCCCACAAAACCCCAACATCCAAGTCTGATTATAAGCATGCTCTCTAAGATCAGTGTGAACCTCAACATGGCTTTTCTCAAAGAGTAATCCTCTAAAAGGAAGCGCTTTCCCTTCTTTCAAGCAACAGAAAGTGCCTCCCTCTAGACGGTCACAGCCTGAGCTCTTCTTGCTCCAGCACTGTGGGTTTTTTGTTGGAATTTTCCCTTCACCAGGTTAAAATGGACACAAAAATGAGGACGCATGTATTGGCCCTGTTTGCGTGATTTCTGGAATCCAGAACATAAACCCCTAAAAGGACCATCTCCAGTTCCTTGCTTCAAAGGCTCAGCAGGTTAGCCTTGTTCATCAAGGGACGATCCTCCTGAGTTCTGTCTACAGAAAAAGCAATGCCTACAACACATACCTTACGTTTAACCATGAGAATTAGGTTGGATGTCTAGAGAACAGCAATGGATTTTGAGCCAAGTGTTCACTTGAGTTCCAGGACGGGGCACACAGTCCTGATGGGAACATCCAAAACGGAATCTACGATGTTGAAGAATATACATTGTTGGCCGAGCGCAGTGGCTCACGCCTGTAATCCCAGCACTTTGGGTGGCTCACTTGAGGTCAGGGGTTTGAGACCAGCCTGGCCAACATGGTGAAACCCATTCTCTACAAAAAAATAAAATAAAAGTAGCCGGGCATGGTGACGGGTGCCTGTGATTCCAGTTACTCAGGAGGCTGAGGCAGGAGACTTGCTTGAACCCAAGAGGCAAAGGTTTGAGTGAGCCAAGGGTCCTGCCACTGTCCTCCAGCCTGAGTGACAGTAACACTCCGTCTCAAAACAAATAAATACATGAATAAATAACATGCAACTATTAGCCAGGTGTGGTGTGAGGCACCTATAATCCCAGCTACTCAGGAATGTGAAGCAGAAGAATCGCTTGAAACTGGGAGGCAGAGGTTGCAGTGAGCCGAGATCGCATCACTATACTCCAGCCTGGGTCACAGAGCAAGACTGTCTGAAAAAAGAGGACCATCTGAGCCCAAGAGACCTAGGTTGGAAGTGCCACCACACTACAGCCTGGGCAACAGAGACCCAGTCTTAGAAAAACAACAATAACAACCAAACAGGACCCCACCATCCTCCATGTCTGATTATAAGCCGTCTCTGCAGTTATTACCAAGATCAGCATCAACTTCAGCGTTGCTTTTCTCAAAACGGTAACACTCGAAAGGGAAGTGCGTTTTCTTTCAGGCAACAGAAAATTCTTCCCTTTGGAGAGTCACAGCCTGAGATCGTCTTGCTCCTACACTCTGGGATTTTTGTTAAAATTTTCCCTGACCAGTTTAACTGGACACAAAACATAAAGATGCATGTATTGTCCCTGTTTGCCTGTTTTCTGGAATCCAGAACATAAACCCCTAAAACGACCATCTCCAGTTCTTTGCTTCAAAGGCTCAGCAGGTTAGCCTTGTTCATCAAGGGACAACCCTCCTGAATTTTGTCCCCAAAGACAAAAAGCAATGCCCAATACACATACCTTATTAGCCAAGAGAACCGGGCTGGATTTCTAGAGAACAGCAATGGGTGGAGAGCCAAGTGTTCACCTGAGTTCCAGCACAGGGACACACAGTCCTCATGCGAGCATCCAAAATGGAATCTAAGATGTTGAGGAGGCCGGGCATGGTGGCTCACGCCTGTAATGCCAGCACTTTGGGAGGCCGAGGCGGGTGGATCACCTGAGGTCAGGAATTCAAGACCAGGCCTGGCCAACATGGCAAAACTCTGTCTCTACTAAAAATACAAAACTTAGCTGGTTGTGCTGGTGGGTGTCTGTATCCCAAGTACTCAGGAAGCTGAGGCAGGAGAATCTCTTTAACCCGGGAGGCAGAGGTTGCAGTGAGCCTGGGTGACAGGGCAAGACTCAAAAATAAAAAGAAAGAAAGAAAGAATTTGGGTGAATGGTAAGAAGAAGAGCTGCCCATGCATCCCACCTGTTACTGGGGAGCCTCTTCTACGGTTCTCAAGGTTTTTGCGGACGTATCTGTGGTTTTGTCCCATGTGATGTTTATCACTGCCACTAAGACTCATCTTGTCTACAATAGTTTATTTCTTATAATAGCCACAGCAAACATTTCACAGCTTACCAGGCAACTGGCATTTAGATGCGAGGTGTCGCCTGTTGAAATGGTACTTTGGAATCATTAGCTGAAGAAAATAGTATAAACAGGGCAGCTGCAGTCAAAGAAGTCACGGGGGTTGGCCTTAGTGGGTGACGGTTGAATCCACTATACCATTCCTGCAGAGAAAGCAGGTCTATTCCGAGAAACCGTGGGAAGTCGTTGGAGAGAAAAATATTTCAGTGTCAAGGACAAGCAGATTAAACTAAAAAGACACAAACAGGAAAACAAGAAAATTGTTAATATGGGCATCCATTTGAGATTACAAATTAAGACCGGATAGACTTGAAGGCTTACTTACCTTTTTTTTTTTTTTTTTTTTTTTTAAAGTCAGAGTCCAGCTCAGTTGCCCAGGATGGAGGGCAGTGGCACAATCTCAGCTCACTGCAACCTCTGCCTCTCAGGTTCAAGCCGTTCTCCTGCCTCCAGAGCAGCTGGGGTTACAGGTGCCCGCCACCACGCCCGGCTAATTTTTGTATTGTTAGTAGTGACGCGGTTTCACCATCTTGGCCAGGCTGGTCTTGAACTCCTGACCTAAGGCGATCTGCCTGCCTCGGCCTCCCACAGTGCTGGGGTTACAGGCATGAGGCACCATGCCCCGGCTACTTACTCTCTTAGTGAAGGAAATGATTTGGATTGATTACACTAAATTGATGGGAGGCCAATTTCAAATAACGAACCCAGATGGGGCCTCCGGAACCAGGTACCATGTAATCTATGTTTTTAAAGAGATGGGGTCTTGCTATGCTGGCCCAGGCTGGAGTGCTGTGGCTATTCAAAGGTGTGATCTGTGCATGGTATAGCCTGGAAATCAAACGATCCTCCGACCCCGGCATCTGCAGCGGCGTGATGCCTGGCCATGTCAACTATCTTTGAAATGGGTCATCAGGACGAGGTGGCTCACACGTGTAGGATCTCATAAGCTGCAGAGATGAGACGATCCTGGGCAAAAGACACCCCAACTCTACCGAACATTTAAAACTGAGCCAAGTGTGGTGGCACGCACTACTTGGGAGGCTGACTCAAGAGGGCCACTAGAGGCCGGGCGCGGTGGCTCAGGCCTGTAATCCCAGCACTTTGGGAGGCCAGGGAGGAGGACCACTTAAGGTCAAGAGTTGAGACCAGCCTGGACAACATGGTGAAACCTTCCTTGTCTAAAAATACAAAAAGCAGGGCGTGATGGTGGGTGCTCATAATCCTAGCTACTTGCGAGGTTGAGGTGGGAGAATGTCTGGAACCTGGGAGCCTGTAGTTGCAGCAAGCGATCCTGCCCCCGTACTCCAGCCTGGGCGACAGAGTGAGACTCCGTCTCAAAAAATAATAAAATAAAAGATCACTTGAGCCCAAGAGATCTAGGTTGGAAGCGCCACCGCACTCCAGTCTGGGCAACAGAGACCCTGTCTTAGAAAAAAACACAACAAAAACAGAAGCCCACCATCCTCCAAGTCTGATGGTAAGCATGCTCTGCAAATGTATTACCAAGATCAGCACCAACTTCAATGCTGCTTTACTCAAACCGTAATCCTCTAAAGGGGAGCGCTTTGCTTTCTTACAGACAACAGAAAGTGCTTCCCTCTGGAGGGTCACAGCCTGACATACTCTTGCTTCAACACTGGTTTTTTGTTGTTGTTGGAATTTTTTTGACCAGGTCAAAATGGACACAAAAATAAAGATGCAGTTATTGGCCCTGTTTGCATATTTCCTGAAATCCAGAACGTAAACCCCTAAAAGGACCATCTCCAGTTCTTTGCTTCAAAGGCTCAGCAGCCTTTGAAGCAAAGGCTTAGCCTTGTTTATCAACGGACAATCCTCCTGAGTTTTATCCCTAAAGAGAAAAAAAGCAATGCCTACTACATATACCTTATCTTTAACCAAGAGAATTGGGCTGGATGTCTAGAGAACAGCAATGGATTTTGAGCCAAGTGTTCACTTGAGTTCCAGCCTAGGGACACACAGTCCCAATGGGAGCATCCAAAATGGAATCTAAATTAACCGGGCATAGTGGCGCACGCCTGTAATCCCAGCTACTCAGCAACCTGAGGCAGGAGGACTGCTTGAACCCAGGAGGCAGAGGTTGCAGTGAACCAAGATCATGCCATTGCACTCCAGTCTTGGTGACAGAGTGAGACTCTATCTCAGAAAAAAAAAAAAAAAGAAAAGAATATACATTGTCATACACAGATTCTCCAGGATAGACCACTGCCGAGGCTGTAAAAGCTCTTCAATAAAATTTGAAAAGAAATACGCAGGTACAGGTGGGGTGCAGTGGCTCACACCTGTAATCCCAGCACTTTAGGAGTTGGAGGTGGGAGGATCACTTGAGCTCAGGAGTTCAAGACTAGCCTGGGTAACATGGTGAAACCTCATCTGTCCAAAAATACAAACGTTACCGCGTGTGGTGGTTAATGCCTGTAGAGACTAATTCAGGAGGCTGAGGTGGGAGGTAGAGGTCGCTATGAGCCGACGTCACGTCACAACACTGCACTCCAGCCTAGGTAATAGAGCCATATTGTGTCTCAAAAAAATTTTTAAAAATACACAAACAAAAAACAACCCCGAAGTAATATGAGTATTCTCTGTGTTGGCCAGGTGCAGCAGCTCACGCCTGTAATCCCAGCACTTTGGGAGGCCGAGGCGGGTGGATCACAAGGTCAGGAGTTCGAGACCAGCCTGGCCAAGATGGTGAAACCCCATCTCTACTAAAAATACAAAAATTAGCTGGGCGTAGGCATGGGCACCTGTAATCCCAGCTATTTGGGAGGCTGAGACACGAGAATCACTTGAACCCGGGAGGCGAAGCTTGCGGTGAGTCAAGATCTCACTACTGCACTCCAGCCTGGGCGACAAAGCGAGACTCTGTCTCAATAAAAAAAAAAAAAAAAAAAAGTACTCTCTGTGTGTAGAAGACTATTTTGTGTGTATATAATTATATACAGAGGATTATATGAAATTAGACCCTGTCTCATAAAAAGGAAGTTCCATATACTGTATTCTCACATAAAGAATAATTCCTACACCTAAGTACTTGCTTTGACAGCACACATAAAAAATGAATGGATTGACAAGAGATGACCACGGCCCCGGCCCAGAGGTGACACCCAAATTCATGATGGGTCCCATATTCAAAATTAGCAAAAAAGACCCACACTAAGGTCTTTAGGAGGCCCAAGCAGGCGATTCACCTGAGGTCTGGAGTTTGAGAACAGCCTGGCCAACATGGTAAAACCGTCTCTAAAAACATAGAAGACAAAATAACCAGTATGGGTGTACACCTCTGCAATCCCAGCCTGGGAAACACGTCGAGACTCTGACTCCAAAAGAAAAAGAGAATTGCTTGAACCCACGGGGTGGAGGTTGCAGTGAACCGAGATCACACTACTGCACTCCAGCCGGGGAGACAGAATGAGATTGTCTCAATGAGTCAAAGACAGAAACAAAGAACAGGCTTTGCTCTCTTGTTGATGGTACCTGGGTTCACTTAAGGTCAGTCATTGGAGACCAGCCTGGCCAACATGGTGAAACCCCATCTCTATTAAAAATACAAAAATTAGCCGGTGTGGTGGCTCACGCCTGTAATCCCAGCTGCTCGGGAGGCTGGGTCAAAAGAATGGCTTGAACCTGGGAGGCAAAGGGTGCAATGAGCAGTGTTCCTGCCACTGTACTCCAGACTGTGTCACAGAGTGAGACTGTCCCAAAAAAGAGGACCACTTAAGCCCAAGAGATCTAGGTTAAAAGTGCCACCGTACTCCAGCCTGGGCAACAGACACCCTGTGTTAGAAAAAAAAACAGAACCGCACCATCAACCAAGCAAGCATGCCCTGCAAATGTATTACCAAGATCAGCATCAAGTGCAACGTGGCTTTTCTCAAACGGTAACCCTCTAAAAGGAAGCACTTTCTTTTCTTTCAGACCACAGAAAGCGCTTCCCTCTAGAGGGTCACAGCCTGAGATCTTCTACCTCCAGCATCGTGGATTTTTTGTTGGGATCTTCCTTGACCAGGTTAAAATGGACACAAAAATAAAGATGCACTTATTTGCCCTGTTTGCCTGTTTTCTGGAATCCAGAATATAAACCCCTAAAAGCACCATCTCCAGTTCCTTCCTTCAAAGAATCAGCAGGTTAGCCTTGTTCATCGAGGAGCAATCCTCCTGAGTTTTGTCTCCAAGAGAAAAAGCAGTACCTGCTAGATGTACCTATCTTTAACCAAGAGAATTGGGCTGGATTTCTAGAGAATAGCAATGGATTTTGAGCCAAGTGTTCGCTTGAGTTCCAGGACAGGGACACACGGTCCCCATGGAGGCATCCAAACTGGAATGTAACATATTGAAGAATATACATTGTCATAGGCACAAAGAACCTCCAGAGGGACTACAGGCTATACCATAAAAGCTCCCCAATAAAATCTGTGCAGAAATACACAAGCACAGGTGGGACACGGTGGCTCATACCTCTAATCACAGCACTTCAGGAGGCCGAGGTGGGAGAATCACTTGAGTTCAGGAGTTCAACACCATCCCGGGCAACATGGTGAAACTATGTCTGTACAAAAAATACAAAAGTTAGCCAGATGTGGTGGTGCACGCCTGTAGACAGCTATTCAGGAGGCCGAGGTGGGAGTTGGAGGTTGCAGTGAGCCGAGATTGCACCACTGCACTCCAGCCTGGGCAAAAGAGCAAGACTCTGTCTCAAAAATAAATAAATAAAACTACAAAAATTATAGGCACATGACTGTAATCCCAGTTGCTCAGGAGGCTGAGGCAAGAGAATCGTTTGAACCCAGGAGGCAGAGGCTGCAGTGAGCAGAGTTCCTGACACTGCACTCCAGCCAGGGCCACAGAGCAAGACTCTGACCCAAAAAGAGGGCCCCTTGAACCCAAGAGATCTAGGTTTGAGAGGCCACCACACTCCAGCCTGGGCAACAGACACCCTGTCTTAGAAAACAAAACAAACATAAAACCCCACCATCATCCATGTCTGATGATAAGCATTCTCTGCAAATCTATTACCAAGATCAGCATCAACTTCAACGTTGCTTTTCTCAAAGAGTAATCCTCTGAAGGGAAGCGCTTTCTTTCCTTTCACACAAGATAAAGTGCTTCCCTCTAGAGGGTCACAGCCTGAGATCTTCTTGCTCCAGCACTCTGGATTTTTTGTTGGAATTTTCCTTCACTGGGTTAAAATGGATACAAAAATAAAGATGCATTTATTGGCCCTCTTTGCCTGTTTTCTGGACTCCAGAACATATACTCCTAAAAGGACCATCTCCAGTTCCTTGCTTCAAAGGCTCAGCAGGTTAGCCTTGCTCATCAAGGGGCAATCCTCCTGAGTTTTGTCTCCAAAGAGAAAAAGCAATGCCCAATACACATACCTTATCTTTACCAAGAGACCCGGGCTGGATTTCTAGAGAACAGCAATGGATGGAGAGCCAAGTGTTCACTTGAGTTCCAGGACAGGAGCACACAGTCCCAGTGGGAGCCTCCAAAATGGAATCTATGATGTTAAAGAATATACATTGTTGTACACACAAGTTGTACACACAAACATCCTCCAGGATAGACCACAGGCTTGGTCATAAAAACTCCTCAATACAATTTGAACAGAAATACACAACTACAAGTGAGGCATGGTGCCTCACACCTCTAATCACAGCACTTTAGGAGGCCACGACGGGAGGATCACCTGAGCTCAAGAGTTTGAGACCAGCCCCGGCAACATGGTGTAACCCCATGTGTACAAAAAATACAAAAGTGAGCCAGGTGTGGTGGTGCACGCCTGGAGACACTAATTCAGCAGGCTTAGGAGGGAGGTGGCAGTCACAGTAAGCCGAGATTACACAACTGCATTCTACACTGGGTGACACAGCCAGAGCTTGTCTCACAAACAAATAAACTAACAACACTCACACACACACATGCAAACAAACAAAAAAATGCCCAAAGTGATGTGAGTATTCTCTGTGTGTAGAAGAGTATTTTGCATGTATATGATATCATATACATGATAAGAATATATAACGGCCAGGCACGGTGGCTCACACCTGCAATCCTAGCACTTTGGGAGGCTGAGGCAGGCAGATCACCCGAGGTCGGGAGTTCAAGACCAGCCTGACCAACATGGTGAAACCCTGTCTGTACTAAAAATACAAAAAATTATCCAGGCGTGGTGACACATGCCTGAAATCCCAGCTACTCGGGCGGCGGAGGCAGGAGAATCACTTGAACCCGGGAGGCGGAGCTTGCAGTGAGCCGAGATCGCACCAGTGCACTACAGCGTGGCAACATAGCAAAACTCCATCTCAGAAAAAAAAAAAAAAAAAAGAAAGAAAAAAAAAAAAGAAAAAAGAAAAATGCCAACATTAGCCAGGCATGGTGTCAGGTGCCTAGAATGCCAGACAGTCAGGAATCTGAGGCAGGAGAAATGCTTGAAACTGGGAGGTGGAGGTTGCAGTGAGTTGAAATAATGTCACTGCACTCCAGCCTGGGTCACAGACTAAGGCTCTATCCCAAAAGAGAGGACCATTTGAGCCCAAGAGAGCTATGTTGGAAGTGCCGCCGAGCGCGGTGACTCATGCCTGTAATCCCAGCACTTTGGGAGGCCAAGACGGGCAGATCACGAGGACAGGAGATCGAGACCATCCTGGCTAACACGGCGAAACCTTGTCTCTACTAAAAATACAAAAAATGAGCTGGGCGAGGTGGCGGCGCCTGTAGTCCCAGCTACTTGGGAGGCTGAGGCAGGAGAATGGCATGAACCCGGGAGGTGGAGTTTGCAGTGAGCCGAGATCGCGCCACTGCACTCCAGCCTGGGTGACAGAGCACGACTCCATCTCAAAAAAAAAAAAAAAAAAAAGGAAGTGCCACCACATCCACCACATTCCAGCCTGGGCAACAGAGATACCGTCTTAGAAAAAAAACAAAAAACAAAAAACAGAACTCCACCTTCATCCGAGTCTGATGATAAGCATGCTCTGCAAATATATTACCAAGATCTGCATCAACTTCAACATTGCTTTTCTCAGAGAGTAACCCTCTAAAGGGAAGCGCATTCTTTTCTTCCAGACAACAGAAAGTGCTTCCCTCTAGAGGGTCACAGCCTGAGATCTTCTTGCTCCAGCACCCTGGGTTTTTTGTAGAAATTTTCCTTGACCAGGTTAAAATGAACACAGAAATAAAGATGAATGTATTGGCCCTGTTTGCCTGTTTTCTGGAATCCAGAACATAAACCCCTAAAAGGACCATCTGCAGTTCTTTGTTTCAAAGGCTCAGCAGGTTAGCCTTGTTCATCAAGGGCCAATCCTCTTGAGTTTTGCCTCCAAAGAGAAAAAGCAATACCTACTACACATATCTTATATTTCACCAATAGAATTTGGCTGGATTCCTAGAGAACAGCAATGGAATTTAACCAAGTGTTCACTGGAGTTCCAGCACAGGGACACACAGTCCCCACAGGAGCATCCAAAATGAAATCTAAGATGTTGAAGAGGCCTGACATGGTGGCTCACGCCTGTAATCCCAATGCTTTGGGAGGCTGAGGCAGGTGGATCACCTGAGATCAGGAGTTCAAGACCAGCCTGACCAACATGGTGAAACCCCATCTCTACCAAATAAAAAAACTGAGCCGGGCATGGTGGCGCATGTCTGTAATCCCAGCTACTTGGGAGGCTGAGGCAGGAGGGGGAAGAACCCAGGAGGGGAAGTTGAAGTGAGCCAAGATTGTGCCACTGCACTCCAGCCTGGGCGACAGAGTGAGACTCCGATTTAAAACAAAACACAAAACAGAAACCCGCCATCATCCAAATGTGATAAGCATGCTCTGCAAACATATTACCAACATCAGCATCAACTTCAACGTTGCTTTACCCAAACCGTAACGCTCCAAAGGGATGCGCCTTCTTTTTTTTTCACATAAAAGAAAGTGCATCCCTCTGGAGAGTCACAGCCTGAGACCTTCTTGCTCCAGCACCGTGGGTTTTTGGTTTAAATCTTCCTTCGCTGGGTTAAAATGGACAGAAAAATAAAGATGCATTTACTGGGCCTATTTACATGTTTTCTGGAACCCAGAGCATAAACCCCTAAAACAACCATCTCCGGTTCCTTGCTTGAAAGGCTCAGCAGGTTATTCTTGTTCATTGAGGGACGATCCTCCTGAGTTTCATCTCCAGAAAGAGAAAGCAATGCCTAGTATGCATACTTTATATTTAACCAAAAGAATTGGGCTAGATTTCTAGAGAACAGCAATGGATTTTAAGCCAAGTGTTCACTTGAGTTCCAGGAAAGGGACACTCCAGGATAGACCACAGGCGAGGCCATAAAAACTCCTCAGTAAAATCTGAACAGAAATACACAAGTACAGGTGGGGCAGGGTGGCTCACACCTCTAACCCCAGCACTTTAGGAGGCTGACGTGGGAGGATCACTAGAGCTCAGGAGTTAGAGTCCAGCCTGGGGAACATGGTGAAACCTCATCAGTACCAAAAACACAATACTTAGCCAGGTGGTGGTGCCTGCCTGTAGACACTAATCCAGGAGGCTGAGGTGGCAGGTGGAGGTTGCAGTGAGCCGAGATCTCACCACTGCACTCCAGCCTCGGCGATATAGCCAGGCACCGTCTCATAAAAAGCAGAACAAAATACACAAGTAAAAACAACTCCAAAGTGATATGAGTGTTCTCTGTGTGTAGAAGACTATTTTGTGTGTATAATTATATATAGAACATTATATGATGAAATGTATATCATATAGTTTTGAGACCCTGTATCAAAACAAAAAAAAAATGAAGTTCCATATACTATATGCTCACATAAAGAATAATCCCTACATATTGGTGCTTTGACAGCACACATAAAAAAATGAATGAAATGACAGAGATTACCACAGCCCCCGCAAAGAGGTGACACCCAAAGCCATGATGGGTCCCATATTCAAAATTAGGAAGAAAGGCCCAAGTATAGTGGCTCATACCTGTAATCCCAGCACTTCGGGAGGCCTAGGTCGGTGAATCACCTGAGGATTCAAGAACAGCCTGGTTAACATGGTGAAACTGTGTCTAAAAATACATACATATAAATCACTGGTATGGGGGTACGTGTCTGCAATCCCAGCTACTTGGAAGGCTGAGGTTGCAGTGAGCTGAGATTGCACCTCTGCAGTCCAGCCTGGGACACACAGTGAGACTCTGTCTCCAAAAAAAAAAAGAGTATTTCTTGAGCCCAGGAGGCAGGTTGCAGTGAGCCAAGATCACACTACTGCACTCCATCTCGGGTGACAGAGCAAGACTGTCTCAAATAGTCAAAGACAGAAAAAAAGAATAGGCCTTGCCCTCTTCTTGATTGTGCATGGGCTCGCTTAAGGTCAGGAGTTGGAGACCAGGCTGGCCAACATGTTGAAACCCTGTATCTACAAAACAAACAAAACAAAAAAACTAAAAAACACAAAAATTAGCTGGGTGTGGTAGTGTGCACCTGTAATCCCAGCTACTCAGGAGGATGAGGCAGGAGAATTGCTTGAACGTGGGATTGTGCCACTGCCCTCCAGCCTGATGGACAGAGCAAGACTCGGTCTCAAAAATCAATGAATAAATAAATAAATAATAAAAATACAAAAATTAGCCAGGCGTGGTGGCTCACATCTGCGATCTCAGCTACTGGGGAGGCTGACTCAGGAGAATGGCTTGAATCCGGGAGGTGGAGGGTGTGGGGAGGAAAGTTCCTGCCACTGCACACTCCAGCCTGGGTCACAGAGCAAGACTCCATCTCAAAAAAGAGGACTGCCGGGTGCAGTGGCTTACGCCTGTAATCCCAGCACTTTAGGAGGCCGAGGCGGGTGGATCATGAGGTCAGGAGTTTGAAACCAGCCTGGCCAACATGGTGAAACCCTGTCTCTACTAAAAATACAAAAATTAGCTGGGTGTGGTGGCAGGCACCTGTAGTCCCAGGTACTTGGGAGGCTGAGGCAGAAGAATTGCTTGAACCCGGGAGATGAGCTTGCAGTGAGATCACACCAGTGCACTCTAGTCTGGGTCACAGAGCAAGCCTCCACCTCAAAAAAAGAGGACCATTTGAGCCTAAAAGATCTTCGTTGGAAGTGCCACCCCACTCCAGCCTGGGCAAGAGAGACCCTGTCATAGAAAAAAGCCAAAACAAAAACAGAAACCCACCATCATCCAAGTCTGATGGTAAGCATGCTCTGCAAATGTATTACCAAGATTAGCATCAACTTCACCATTGCTTTTCTCAAACCGTAATCCTCTAAAAGGATGCACTTTCTTCTCTCTCAGACGACAGAAAGCGCTTCCCTCTAGAGGGTTAGAGCCTGAGATCTTCTTGCTCCAGCACTGTGGATTTCTGGTTGGAATTTTCCAGGACCAGGTTAAAATAGAGACAAAAATATTCATTTATTGCCCCTGTTTGCATGTTTTCTGGAATCCAGAACATAAACCCCAAAAGGACCATCTCCAGTTCCTTGCTTCAAAGAATCAGCAGGTTAGCCTTGTTCATCAAGGGTCAATCCTCCTGAGTTTTGCCTCTAGAAAGAAAAAGCAATGCCTACTACACATACCTTATATTTAACCATGAGAACTGGGCTGGAATTCTAGAGAACAGCAATGGATTTTCAGCCAAGTGTTCACCTGAGTTCCAGCACAGGGACCCACAGTCCTGATCTGAGCAGTCAAAATGGAATCTACAATGTTGAAGAATATACATTGTTGCACACATGAACATCCTCCAGGATAGACAACAGGCGAGGCCTTAAAAGCTCCTAAAGAAACCATGTCTCTACTAAAAATACAAAACTAGCCAGGCATGGTGGCGCAGTCCTATAATCCCAGCTACGTGGGAGGCTGAGGCAGAAGAATCACTTGAACCCAGGAGGCGGAGGTTGCAGTGAGCCAAGATCGTCCTGCTGCACTCCAGCCTGGGCAACAGAGACCCTGTCTTAGATAAAAAACAAAAGAAAAACAAAACCCCAACATCATCCAAGTCTGATAATAAGCATGCTCTGCAAAGATATTACGAAAATCAGCATCAACTTCACCGTTGCTTTTCTCAGACCGTAAGCCTCTAAAAGGAAGCACTTTCTTTTTATTCAGACAACAGAAAGTGCTTCCCTCAAGAGGGTCACAGCCTGAAATCTTCTTGCTCCAACGCCGTGGATTTTTTCTTGGAATTTTCTTTGACCAGGTTAAAACAAACACAAAAATAAAAGATGCATTTATTGACCCTGTTTGCATGTTTTCTGGAACCCAGAATATAAACCTCTATAAGGACCGTCTCCAGTTCCTTGCTTCAAAGGTTCAGCAGGTTAGCCTTGTTCAAGGGGGCAATCCTCCTGAGTTTTGTCCCCAAAGAGAAAAAGCAATGCCTACTATACGTACCTTGTATTTAGCCAAGACAATTGGGCTGGATTTTTAGAGATCAATGGATTTTCAGCCAAGTGTCACTTGAGTTCCAGCACAGGGACACACAGTCCCGATGGCAGCATCCAAAGTAGAATCTACAATGTTCAAGAACATACAAGGTTATGTTCTTGACATAACAGGGACACACAGTCACGAAGGGAGCATCTGAAATGGAGTCTACGATGTTGAAGAATATACACTGTCGTATGCCCAAACACGCTCCAGGGTAGACCACAGGCTAGGACGCAAAAACTCCTCAATAAAATTTGAACAGAAATACACAAGTACAAATGGGGCCCGATGGCTCAGACGTCTAATTCCTCAAACTTTAGAAGGCCCAGGCGGGAGGATCACCTGCTTCAGGAGCTCGAGACCTGTGCCGACAACATGGTGAAACCCATGTGTACAAAAATTACAGAAGTTACCAAGTGTGGTGGTGCATGCCTGTAGACACTAATTCAGCAGGTTTACGTGGGAGGTGGGGGGTGCAGTAAGCCAAGATCGCACCACTATACTCCATCTTGGGTGACAGAGGCAGACACTGTCTCAAAAAAAACCACACATACACACACACACCCCCAGAGTGATATCAGAGTATTCTCTCTGTTTAGAAGAGTATTTTGTGTGTATATTTTATATATATATAAGAATATAAAGTGAAATATACATCATGTATTTTTGAGACCCTGTTCCAAATATTGTATGCTTATAGGAGGAATAATTCCTACATGTAAGTGCTTGCTTTGGCAGTACACATAAAAACATTTAAATGACACAGAATACCCTGGTCCCTGCACAAAGGCGACACCCAAGTCCATGATGGTCTCATATTCATCTATTTATTTATATTTATTTAGTTAGTTATTTTGGACAGAGTCTCGCACTGTTGCCCAGGCTGGAATGTAATGGTGCGATCTCTGCTCACTATAACCTCCACCTCCCAGGTTCAAGTGAATTCTCCTGCCTCAGCCTCCTGAGTAGCTGGGATTACAGGTGCGTGCCACCACACCCGGCTATTTTGTGTATTTCTAGTAGAGACGGGGTTTCACTATGTTGGCCAACCTGGTCTTGAATTGCTGACCTCATGATCCGCCCGCCTTGGCCTCCCAAAGTGCTGGGATTACAGGCATGAGCCATCACGCCCGGCCTATATTTATTTTTAATTATGAGACTGAATCTCGCTCTGTCACTCCTGGGTTCAGGCAATTTTCATGCCTCAGCCTCCATAGTAGCTGGGATTACAGGTGGGCACCACCACGCCCGGGTAATTTTTGTATGTTTAGTACTAACGGGGTTTCACCATGCTGGCCCGACTGGTCTCGAACAACTGACCTCAGGTGATCCTCCTGTCTCAGCCTCCCAAAGTGCTGGAATTACTGGCGGAAGTCACCATACCCAGACTAGTCCCATATTTAAAATTAGGAAAAAGCAAAAGATGCCCACATTTAAACAGCAACGTCCAAGTACATCTCAAATACATTGTTTATCTAAAATACAAATTTAACTGGGGGCCGGGTGTGAACCAAATAACATTCCTTACTTTCTTCTTGTCTGTGCATGGGTTAATATTCACATGTAGTCCCAGCTACTAAGGACTGGGGAGGGGCAGAGGCAGGAGGATCTAAGCCCATTTTAGCCTGGGTGGCATAGTGAGACCCCCGTCTCGTTGCATAGATGACCTGGTCATGCACCCAAGATTTCAGCTTCATTTCCCCAATGAAAACTCAAACTCATGCACTCCACCTCTGTACTCCTGCTAAGCAGTGCACATCCCATCTGTAAGGGACACTGAGGTCCCCTTCAACTCTACCCGACCCCACGTGAGAGTCTATAAACCAGTGCCCGAATAATTTCCATGTAGGAAAAGTCGTTGACAGCCAGGCGTGAGGGCTCACACCTAGCACTTTGGGAGGCTGAGGCAGATGGACCAATTGAGGTCAGGAGTTCCAGACCAACCTGGCCAGCATGGCGAAACCCTGTCTCTATTAAAAATACAAAAATTAGCCGGGCATGGTGGCGCACTGTTGTAGTCACGGGAGGCTGAGGCAGGAGAATCACTTGAACCCGGGAGGCAGTGGTTGCAGTGAGCCGAGATCACACTACTGCACTCCAGCCTGGGCGACAGAATGAGACTCTGTCTCAAAAAGTAAATAAATAAATAAATAAAAGGTGTTGAGGGCTGGAAGAACACGCATCGCTCACTATGGCAACAAGAAGAGCTGCTGAACATTCCACCTGTTACTAGGGAGCCCCTTCTAGGGTCCTCAAGATTTTTGTGAAAATAACTGTGGTTTTGTCGCATGCTACATTTATCACCATGACTGAGATTCGTCTTGCCTACAACAGTTTCTTTTTTCTTTCTTTTTTTTTTTTTTTGAGACAGAGTCTCGCTCTCTCACCCAGGCTGGAGTGCAGTGGCATGATCTCAGCTCACTGCAACCTCCGCCTCCCAGGTTCAAGTGATTCTTCTGCCTCAGTCTCCCAACTAGCTGGGATTACAGGCACCCGCCATCATGCCCAGCTAATTTTTTTTTGTACTTTTGTAGAGATGGGGTTTCAACCATGTTGGCCAGGCTGGTCTCGAACTCCTGACCTCAGGTGATCCACCCATCTCGGCCTCCCAAAGTGCTGGGATTACAGACGTGAGCCACCACGCCCAGCCAACAGTTTGTTATATTAGCCACAGCAAACATTGGACATCTTACCAAGTAACTGGCATTTAGATGCAAGGTTTAGCCCATTGGATGGTACCTCGGAATCGTCACCCAAAGAGAACAGGATGAACATGGCAGCTGCAGTCCAAGAACTCACTGGGGTTGGCATTAGTGGGTGAGGGTTGAATCGACTACACCCTTCCTGCAGAGAGTCTATTCCGAGAAATGATGGCAAGTTGTTGGGGAAAAACAAATTTCAGTGTTACGGACAAGCAGATTAAACTAAAAAGACATGAGTGAACAGGAACAAAAAGAAATTGTACCAATACGGACATCCATTGTGGATTGCGGAATAGACTGGAGACACTTGGAGGATTACTCACTCTCTTCATGAAGGAAACATGGTTTGGATTGATTACACTAAAATGATGGGAGGACATTGTATGACATGACCAACTCAAATTAAGTCTGTGGGACCAGGTGTCATGTAATCTATGTTTTAAAAGAAATGGGGTCTTGCTATGTTGGCCCAGGCCGGAGTGCAGTGGCTATTCAAAGGTGTGATAGTTGGCCAAGTCAACTATCTTTGAAATGGATCTTCAGGACAAGGTGGCTCACACCTGTAGGATCACTTGAGCTCAGGAGTTGAGACCGTCCTCTACCAAAAATTAACTCCTGAGCCAAGTGCGGTGGCAGGCCCCATGTAATCTCAACTACTTGGGAGACTGACTCAAGAAGACCACTTGAGGCTGGGCACGGTGGCTCAAGCCTGTAATCCCAGCACTTTGGGAAGCCAGGGAGGCAGATCACTTGAGGTCAGGAGTTGAGACCAGCCCAACAAACATAGTGCAACCCCATCTCTGCTAAAAATACAAAAATTAGCACGACATGGTGATAGGTGCCTGTAATCCCAGCTACTTGGGAGGCTGAAGTGGCAGAACCACTGGAACCTGGGAGGTGGAGGTTGCAGTGAGTGGAGACCGTCCTACTGCACTCCAGCCTGGGTCACAGAGCCAGATTCCATCTCTGAATGAATGAATGAATGAATGAATAGAGGATCACTTGGGCCCAAGAGAGCACGGTTGGAACTGCCACCGCACTCCAGCCTGGGTCACAGAGCCAGATTCCATCTCTGAATGAATGAATGAATGAATGAATGAATGAATGAATAGAGGATCACTTGGGCCCAAGAGAGCACGGTTGGAACTGCCACCGCACTCCAGCCTGGGCAACAGAGACCCTGTCTTGGAAAAAAAAAAAAAGAACAAAATCAGAAGCCCACCGTCATCCGAGTCTGATAAGCATGCTCTGCAAGATCAGCATCAACTGCAATGTTGCTTTTCTCAAACCGAAACAGTCCAAAGGGAAGCACTTTCTTTTCCTTCAGACAACAGAAAATACTTCCCTCTGGAGGGTCACAGCCTGAGATCTTCTGGCTCCAGCACCCTGGGTTTCTTGTTGGAATTTTCCTTGACCAGTTTTAAATGGACACAAAAATAAAGACGCATTTACTGGCCCTGTTTGCATGTTTTCTGGAATCCAGAATAAAACCCCACTAGAAGGACCATCTCCAGCTTCTTGCTTCAAAGACTCAGCAGGTTAGCCTTGTTCATCAAGGGACAATCCTCCTGAGTTTTGTTCCCAAAGAGAAAAAGCAGTGCCCGCTAGACATACCTTATCTTTAACCAAGAGAATTGGGCAGGATTTCTAGAGAACAGCAATGGATTTTCAGCCAAGTGACACTTGAGTTCCAGCACAGGCACACATAGTTCCCACGGGGGCACCCAAAATGGAATCTAAGATGTGGAAGAATATACATTGTTATACACACAAACCTCTTCCAGGACAGACCACAGGCGATGCTGTAAAAGCTCCTCGATTAAAAAAATACGCAAGTACCGATTGGGTGCAGTGGCTCACATCTCTAATCCCAGCACTTCAGGATGCCAAAGTGGTAGGATCATTTGAGCTCAAGAGTTCAAGACAAGCCTGGGCTACATGGTGAAACTTCGTCTGTACAAAAAATGCAAAAGTTAGCCTGGTGTGGTGGTGCATGCCTGTAGACACTAATCCAGGAGGCTGCGTTGGTAGGTGGAGGTTTCAGTGAGCCGAGATCGCACCACTACACTCCAGCCTTGGCAATATAGCCAGGCTGTGTCTCGAAAGAATTAGAAAACACACACACACACACACACACACACACACACACACACACATACAACCTCCAAGTGATATTCTCCTGCCTCACCCTCCAGAGTAGCTGAGACTACAGGTGTGCGCCACCACGCTCAGCTAATTTTTTATATTTTTAGTAGAGACATGGTTTCACCATGTTGGCCAGTCTGGTCTCGTCCTCCTGACCTCAGGTGATCCACCCGCCTCGGCCTCGCAAACTGCTGGGATTACAAGCGCAATCCACAGCACCTGGCCATACGTCATATATTTTTGAGACCCTGTCTCAAAAGAAAGTTCTATATACTATATGCTCACAGAATAATTCCTACATATAAGTCCTTGCTTTGTCAGCACACATAAAAAATAAATGGAATGACAGAGATTACCATGGCCCCTGCATAAAAGTGACACCCAAATTCATGACGAGTTTCAGATTCAAAATTAGGAAAAAAAAAAAGGCCGGGCACAGTGGCTCAGGCCTGTAATCCCAGCATTTTGGGAGGCCAAGTTGGGCGGATCACCTGAGGTCGGGAGTTGAGACCAGCCCCGCAAACTGTGCTAAAAATACAAAAACTGGCAGGTCATGGTGGTGAGCATTTGTAATCCCAGCTACTTGTGACATGGACGCTGGAAGTGCCACCGCACTCCAGCCCGGGCAACAGAGACCCTGTCTTAGAAAAACCCAAAACCAAAATAGAACCCCACCATGTCCAAGCCTGATGATAAATATGCTCTGCAAATGTATTACCAAGATAAACCTCAACTTCAACACTGCTTTTCTCAAACCGTAATTCTCAAAAGGGAAGCGCTTTCTTTTCTTTCGACAACAGAAAGTGCTTTCCTTTGTAGAGTCACAGCCTGGGATGTTCTTGCTCCAGCACTCTGGGTTTCGTGGTGGAATTTCCTTTGATCATGTTTAAATGGACAGAAAAATAAAGATGCATTTAGCGGCCCTGTTTGCATGTTTTCTGGAATCCAGAATAAAACCCCCGAAAAGGACCATCTCCAGTTCTTTGCTTCAAAGGCTCAGCAGGTTAGCCTTGTTCATCAAGGGACAATCCTCCTGAGTTTTGTTCCCAAAGAGAAAAAGCAATGCCTTGTAGACATACATACCTTATACTTACCCAAGAGAATTAGACTGGATTTCCAGAGAACAGCAAATGGATTCTGAGCCAAGTGTTCACCTGAGTTGCAGTGTGGAGACACACAGTCCCGATGGAAACGTCCAAAATGGAATCTAAGGTGTTGAAGAATAAACATTGTCGCACACACAAACACCTTCCAGGATAGACCACAGGCTAGGTGGTAAAAGCTCCTCAATAAAATTTGAGTAGGAATACACAGGTACCAGCTGGCTGTGGTGGCTCACACCTCTAATTCCAGCACTTCAGGAGGCCAAGGCAGGAGGCTCACTTGAGCTCAGGAGCTCAAGACCAGCCTGTACAACATGGTGAAACCCTGTCCGTACAAAAAATACAAATGTAGGCCGGGTGTGGTGGTGCATGCCTGTAGATACTAATTCAGGAGGCTGAGGTGGGAGGTGGAGGTTGCAGTGAGCCAAGATTGCAACACTGTACTCCAACCTGGGTGATTGAGCCAGATCTTGTCGCAAAAAAACATTTTTTAAAACACATAAGCAAAAACAACCCCAAAGTGACATGAGTCATCTCTGTGTGTAAAAGAGCATTTTTTGTGTATATAACTTTATATATATATGGTTATATGATGAAATATACATGACATATACATATATATGTATACACTCACACACACCCATATATGTATACATATATATACACACACACACGTATATACACACACACACACACACACACACACACACATATATTTTTTTTTTTGAGACATAGTCTTATTCTCTCGCCCAGGCTGGAGTGTGGTGGTGTGATCTTGGCTCACCGCAACCTCCGTCTGGTTCAAGTGATTCTCCTCCCTCAACTTCCCCAGTAGGTGGGAATACAGGCGTGCACCACCACACCCGGCTAATTTTTTGTATTTTTAGTAGAGACAGGGTTTCACCATGTTGGCCAGGCTGGTCTCAAACTCCTGACCTCAAGTGACCCACTTGCCTCAACCTGCCAAAGTGTTGATATTGCAGGCATGAGCCACTGCTCACATACACACAAAAAACCGCTCGTATACTCACGTGCCCGGCTGTACATCATTTATTTTTCAGACCCTATCTCAAAAAAAAAGAAAGTTCCATATACTGTATGCTCATATAAAGAATTTTTCCTACACATAAATGTTTGCCTTGGCAGCACACATAAGAAATGAATGGAGTGACAGAGATCACCATGGCCCCTGCACAGAGGTGACACCCAAATTTATGATGGGTTCCATATTCAAAATTTGGATCAAAGGGTGGGTGCAGTGGTTCATGACTGTAATCCCAGCACTTTGGGAGGCCGAGGCAGGGGGGATCATGAGGTCAGGAGATGGAGACCATCCTGGCCAACATGGTGAATCTCCATCTCTACTAAAAATACAAAAATTAGCCAGGCGTGCTGGCGCATGCCTGTAATCCCAGCTACTGGGGAGGCTGAGGCAGGAGAATCACTTGAACCCTGGAGGTGGAGACCGCAGCGAGCTAAGATGACACCATTGCACTCCAGCCTGGGCATAAAAGCAAGACTCTGTCTAAAAAAAAAAAAAAAAAAAAAAAGATGGGATCTTGCTATGTTGGCTCAGGCTGGAGTGCAGTAGCTTAGTGCATGGTAGAGCCTTGAAATCAAAGAAGCCTCCCACACCGGCCTCTGTAGCAGCTGGGACTGTGTGGCCCACGATGCCTGGCCACGTCAACTATCTTTGAAATGGTCCTCAGGACAAGGTGGCTCACAGCTGTAGAATGGCTTGCGTTCCAGAGTTGAGACCGTCCTGAGCAACAGACCAAAAATAAAAAACGTAGCCAAGTGTGGTGGCACGCCCCATGTAGTCCCAAAGACTTAGGAGGCCGAGGCAGGTGGATCACCTGAGGTCAGGAGCTGAGACCAGCCTGGCCAACACGGTGAAACCCCGTCTCTGCTAAAAATACAAAAACTAGCAGGGTGTGGTGTCGCGCACCTCTACTCCCAGCTACACAGGAGACTGAGGCGGGAGAACCGCTCCAACCTGGGAAGGGGAGATTGTAGTGAGCGGAGATCGTGACCCTGCAAAGAGGACCACGTGAGCCCAAGAAAGCTAGGTTGGAAGTGCCACTGCCCTCCAGCCTGGGCAACAGAGACCCAGTCTTAGAAAACAAAACAGGGCCGGGCGCGGTGGCTCAAGCCTGTAATCCCAGCACTTTGGGAGGCCGAGATGGGTGGGTGACGAGGTCAGGAGATCGAGACCATCCTGGCTAACCCGGTGAAACCCCGTCTCTACTAAAAAAATACAAAAATTAGCCAGGCGAGGTGGCGGGCGCCTGTAGTCCCAGCTACTCAGGAGGCTGAGACAGGAGAATGGCGTAAACCCAGCGGGTGGAGCTTGCAGTGAGCTAAGATCCGGCCCCTGCACTCCAGCCTGGGCAACAGAGCGAGACTTCTCTCAAAAAAAAAAAAAAAAAAAAAAAAAACAGGAACAAAACCCCACCATCATCCACGTCTGATGATAAGCATACTCTGCCAATGTATTACCAAGATCAGCATCAACTTCACTGTTGCTTTTCTCAAACTGTAATCCTCTAAAATGATGCACTTTCTTTTCTTTCAAACAACAGAAAGTGCTTCCTTCTAGAGGGTCACAGACTGAGATCTTTTTGCTCTGGCACTGTGGATTTTTTGTGGGAATTTTCCTTGGCCAGGTTAAAATGGACACAAAAATAACGATACATGTATTGGCTCTGTTTGCATGATTGCTGCAATCCAGAACATAAACCCCTGTAAGTACCATCTCCAGTTCCTTGTTTCAAAAAGCAATGCCTGCTATATATACCTTATATTTAATCATGAGAATTGGGCTGGATTTCTAGAGAACAGCCATGGATTTTGAGCCAAGTGTTCACTTGAGTTCCAGGACAGGGACACATAGTCCCGATGGGGGCATCCAAAATGGAATTTAAGATGTTGAAGAATATATATTATCACACACACAAACATCCTCCAGGATAGACCACAGCCCAGGCAGTAAAAGCTCCTCAATAAAATGAGCGGAAATACACAGCTGCAGGTGAGGCTCACACCTCTAAACCCAGCACACTTTAGGAGGCTGAGGCAGGGGGATCGCTTGAGTTCAGGAGTTTGAGACCAGCCTGGGCAACATGGTGATACCTTGTGTGCAGAGAAAACAGAAAAGTTAGCCGGGTGTGGTGGTGTGCGCCTGTAGACAACTACTCAAAAGGTTGAGGTGGCAGGTGGAGGTTGCAATGAGCCAAGATGGCACCACTGCACTCTAGCCTGGGTGACAGATCCAGACTTTATCTAAAAAAGAAAAAAAATATATACACACACAAACGAAAAATTACCCAAAGTGATACGAGAGTATTCTGTGTGTAGAAGAATGTTTTGTGTATATATGACTATTCGTGTGTATATGACTATATTACATGTATAATAAGAATATGAGGCCGGGCGCGGTGGCTGTAATCCCAGCACTTTGGGAGGCCGAGGCAGGTGGATCACGAGGTCAGGAGATCGAGACCATCCTGGCTAACATAGGGAAACCCCGTCTCTACTAAAAATACAAAAAAACCAAAAAATTAGCCAGGTGTGGTGACGGGCACCTGTAGTCCCAGCTACTCGGGAGGCTGAGGCAGGAGAATAGTGTGAACCCGGGAGGTGGAGCTTGCAGTGAGCGGAGGAGATCGCGCCACTGCACTCCAGCCTGGGCGACAGAGCAAGACTCCATCTCAAAAAAAAAAAAAAAGAAAAGAATATGATAAAATACATATATTTTTGAGACTCTCTATCAATAAAAATAAAGTTCCATATACTGTATGCTCACATGAAAAATAATTCCTACACATATGTGCTTGCATTGACAGCATACATTAAAAAAAAAAAAATGGAGGCCAGGTGGGGTGGCTCAAGCCTATAATCCCAGCATTTTGGGAGGCTGAGGCAGGCGGATAACCTGAGGTCAGGAGTTGGAGACAAACCTGGCCAACGTAGTGAAACTCCATCTCTGCTAAAAATGCAAATATTAGCCAGGGATGGTGGCACGTGCACCATCTACTCGGGAAGCAGAGCTTACAGTGAGCAGACAACACGCCATTGCACTCAAGCCTGGGCCACAGAGAGAAACTGCCTCAAGAAAAAAATAAAGAAAAAGAAAAAAAAGCCTGGGACCGCTTGAGCCCAAGAGATCTAGGTTGGAAGAGACACCACACTCCAGCCTGAGCAACAGAGACCCTGTGTTGCAAAAAAAAACTAAACAAAAACAGAACCCCAACATCACGCAAGCCTGATGATAAGAAGCATGCACTGCAAATGTATTACTGAGATCAGCATCAACTTCGACGTGGTTACTCTCAAACAGTAATGCTCCAAAAGGAGGCCCTCTGCTTGCTTTCAGACCACAGAAGGTGCTTCCCATTGGAGAATGACTGCATGAGATCTTCTCGCTCCAAAATTCTGGGTTTTTTGCTGTAATTTTCCTTACCAGGTTAAAATGGACACAGAAATAAAGCCGCATTTATTGGCCCCATCCGCATGTTTTCCGGAATCTAGAACATAAACCCTGAAAAGGACCATCTCCAGTTCCTTGCTTCAAAGGCTCAGCAGGTTAGCCTTGTTCATCAAGGGACAATCCTCCTGAGTTTTGTCTCCAAAGAGAAAACGCAATGCCTACTACTCATACCTTACATTTAACCAAGAGAACTGGGCTCCATTTCTAGAGAACAGCAATGGATTTTGAGCCAAGTGTTCACTTGAGTTCCAGCCCAGGGACACACAGTCCCCATGGGAGCTTCCAAAATGGAATCTATGATGTTCAAGAACATACACTGTCTCACACACACACATCCTCCAGGATAGACCACAGGGTACACTGTAAAAGCTCCTCAGTAAATACAGAAATACACAAGTATGGGTGGGGCGTGGTGGCTCACACCACTAAACCCAGCACTTAAGGAGGCCAAGGCAGGAGGATCACTTGAGCTCAGGAGTTCGAGACCAGCATGGGCAACATGGTGAAATCTTGTGTGTACAAAAAATACAAAAGTTAGCTGGGTGTGGTGGTGCGCACCTGTAGGCAGGAACTCAGGAGGCTGAGGTGGCAGCTGCATGTTGCAGTGAGCCGAGATGGTACCACCACACTCCAGCCCGGGTGCTAAAGCCAGACCTTGTCTCAAAACAAAACAAACAAACAAGAAAAACACAGAAAGAAACAAATAAATAAATACCCAAAGTGATATAAGAATATTCTCTGTGTGTAGAACAGAGTTTGGTATACATATGACTATATTATATACATAAGACTATATGATTAAATATACATCATATATTTTTGAGACCCTGAGAAAAAAAATAATATACTGTATGCTCACATTAAAAATAACTCCTGACCAGGCATGGTGGCTCATGCCTGTAATCCCAGCGCTTTGGGAGGCCGAGACGGGCAGATAGGTCATGAGTTCAAGACTAACCTGGCCAATATGGTGAAACTCCATCTCTGCTAGAAATACAAAATTCGGCCAGGCATGGTGGCACGTGCCTGTAATACCAGCTACTCGGGAGGTAGAGGTTGCAATGAGCAGAGAATGTGTCACTGCCTGCCAGCCTGGGCCAAATAGTGAGACTCTGTCGCAAGAGAAAACAAAAAAAAGCCGGGGGGACCAATTGAGTCCAAGAGAACTAGGTTGGAAGCGCCACCGCACTCCAGCCTGGACAGCAGAGACCCTGTGTTGCAAAACAACTAAACAAAAACGGAACAGAACTAAACAGAAACAGAAAATGCCAAGCCTAATGATAAGAAGCATGCTCTGCAAATAAGAAGCATGTTACTGAGATCAGCATCAACTTCAACGTGGTTTCTCTCAAACAGTAATGCTCCAAAAGGAGGCCCTCTGCTTGCTTTCAGACCACAGAAGGTGCTTCCCATTGGAGAATGACTGCATGAGATCTTCTCGCTCCAAAACTCTGGGTTTTTTGCTGTAATTTTCCTTACCAGGTTAAAATGAACACAGAAATAAAGCCGCATTTATTGGCCCCATCCGCACGATTTCCGGAATCCAGAACATAAACCCTGAAAAGGACCATCTCCAGTTCCTTGCTTCAAAGGCTCAGCAGGTTAGCCTTGTTCATCAAGGGACAACCCTCCTGAGTTTTGTCTCAAAACAGAAAAACCAAAGCCCACTACACATACCTTATGTTTAACCAAGAGTATTGGGCTCGATTTCTAGAGAACAGCAATGGATTTTGAGCCAAGTGTTCACTTGAGTTCCAGGACAGGGACACACAGTCCCGATGGGAGCATCCAAAATGGAATCTAAGATGATATTTAAGAACATACTTTGTCGGCTGGGCACAGTGGCTCATGCCTGTAATCCCAGCACTTTGGGAGGCCAAGGCGGGCAGATCACCTGAGGTCAGGAGTTCAAGACTAACCTGGCCAATATGATGGAACTCCATCTCTGCTAAAAACACAGAAATTAGCCAGGCGTGGTGGCAGGTGCCTGTAATCCCAGCTACTCAGGAGGCAGAGGTTGCAGTGAGCAGAGAACGTACCACTGCATCTGGGCCACAGAGCAAGACTGTCTCAAGAGAAAAATAAGGGAGGAGGGGGGATCAATTGAGCCCAAGAAGCCCAGGTTGGAAGTGCCACTGCACTCCAGCCTGGGCAACAGAGACCCTGTGTTGCAAAAAACAACTAAACAAAAACAGAACCCCAACATCACGCAAGCCTGATGATAAGAAGCATGCACTGCAAATGTACTACTGAGATCAGCATCAACTTTGACGTGGTTTCTCTCAAACAGTAATGCTCCAAAAGGAGGCCCTCTGCTTGCTTTCAGACCACAGAAGGTGCTTCCCATTGGAGAATGACTGCATGAGATCTTCTCGCTCCAAAACTCTGGGTTTTTTGCTATAATTTTCCTTAATAGGTTAAAATGGACACAGAAGGCCAGGCACGGTGGCTCAAGCCTGTAATCCCAGCACTGTGGGAGGCCGAGACGGGCGGATCATGAGGTCAGGAGATCGAGACCATCCTGGCTAACACGGTGAAACCCCGTCTCTACTAAAAATACAAAAAACTAGCCGGGCGAGGTGGTGGATGCCTGTAGTCCCAGCTACTCCGGAGGCTGAGGCAGGAGAATGGTGTGAACCCGGGAGGCGGAGCTTGCAGTGAGCTGAGATCCAGCCACTGCACTCCAGCCTGGGTGACAGAGCGAGACTCCGTCTCAAAAAAAAAAAAAAAAAAAAAGGGACACAGAAATAAAGACGCATTTATTGGCCCCATCCGCATGTTTTCTGGAATCCAGAACATAAACCCTGAAAAGGACCATCTCCAGTTCCTTGCTTCAAAGGCTCAGCAGGTTAGCCTTGTTCATCAAGGGACAATCCTCCTGAGTTTTGTCTCAAAACAGAAAAACCAAAGCCCACTACACATACCTTATGTTTAACCAAGAGAACTGGGCTCGATTTCTAGAGAACAGCAATGGATTTTGAGCCAAGTGTTCACTTGAGTTCCAGGACAGGGACACACAGTCCCGATGGGAGCATCCAAAATGGAATCTAAGATGATATTTAAGAACATACTTTGTCGGCTGGGCACAGTGGCTCATGCCTGTAATCCCAGCACTTTGGGAGGCCAAGGCGGGCAGATCACCTGAGGTCAGGAGTTCAAGACTAACCTGGCCAATATGATGAAACTCCATCTCTGCTAAAAACACAGAAATTAGCCAGGCGTGGTGGCAGGTGCCTGTAATCCCAGCTACTCAGGAGGCAGAGGTTGCAGTGAGCAGAGAACGTACCACTGCATCTGGGCCACAGAGCAAGACTGTCTCAAGAGAAAAATAAGGGAGGAGGGGGGATCAACTGAGCCCAAGAGGTCTAGGTTGGAAGTGCCACTGCACTCCAGCCTGGGCAACAGAGACCCTGTGTTGCAAAAAAACCTAAAGAAAACAGAACCCCAATATCATGCAAGCCTGATGATAAGAAGCATGCTCTGCAAATGTATTACTGGATCAGCAGCAACTTCAACGTAGTTTTTCTCAAACAGTAACGCTCCAAAAGGAGGCCCTCTGCTTGCTTTCAGACCACAGATGGTGCTTCCTATTGGAGAATGACTGCATGAGATCTTCTCGCTCCAAAACTCGGTTTTTTGTTGTAATTTTCCTTACCAGGTTAAAATGAACACAAAAATAAAGATGCATTCATTGGCCGGGTGCAGTGGCTCACGCCTGTAATCCCAACACTTTGGGAGGCTTAGGCAGGCGGATCACGAGGTCAAGAGATCAAGACCATCCTGGCCAACGTGGTGAAACCCCATCTCTACTAAAAATACAATTAGCCGGGCGTGGCGGTGGGTGCCTGTAGTCCCAGCTACTCGGGAGGCTGAGGCAGGGGAACTGCTTGAACCAGGAGGCAGAAGTTGCAGTGAGCCGAGATCGTGCCACTGCACTCCAGACTGGAGACAGAGTAAAACTCCATCTCAAAATAAAAGAAAAGAAAAATAAAAAAGATCCACTCATTGCCCCTGTCTGCATGTTTTATGGAATCCAGAACATAAACCCCTTAAAGGACCATGTCCAGTTCCTTGCTTCAAAGGCTCAGCAGGTTAGCCTTGTTCATCAAGGGGCAATCCTCCTGAATTTTGTCTCCAAAGAGAAAAAGCAATGCCTACTATGCATGCCTTATCTTTAACCAAGAGAATTGGGCTGCATTTCTAGGGATTTTGAGCCAGTGTTCACTTGAGTTCCAGCACAGGGACACACAGTCCTGATGGGAGCATTCAAAATGGAATCTAAAATAATGCTTAAGAATATACATTGTTGCACACACAAATACCCTCCAGGATAGACAACAGGCGAGGTCATAAAAGCTCCTCAGTAATATTTGACAGAGCAGAGAAAAAAAAAATGTACATTGTCACACACACAAACATTCTTCAGGAAAGACCACAGGCTAGGCTATAAAACCTCAATAATTTTTTGTTTTTTCTTGGAGACCCAGTTAGGTAAAACAAATGCCCACATCTAAACAACCAATCATTTCTAGTTCAAGTACATCTCAAGTATGCTGTTGATCTGAGATACAAAGTTAACGGGGTTTCCCTGATCTGGGAAGCCCCCTTTAGTAATTCAGATAAGGGTCTTCTTAGGAAGGTAATGGGTAGGAACATGGAGATGTCAGTCAAGGGAAGGGACTCTCAGGGATTTCTATGGATTATGCAGACGCCCTGCCAGATCCCAAACTTCCCCAAAAGATCCCAAGTCCAGGCAGGAAGGACCACGGGGCTCCAGAAACCAAATGAAATGGCCCTGGGCAGGACTTTTGTCGTCATCAGATTCTTGGACTAAAAGATAGCCAGGGAGCAGAGCGAAAATCCCAGGGGCTCTCTCTCCCAGAAGACACCTGCTCCATCCAGATCAAACCCACAATGGCCCCAGCCAGTGATGCCTGGCTCTCCTTTCCCCTCGGCTGTCCTGCCTGCAGTGGTGCAGTGCCCTGGTGTTCCCAGTCCGGATGCCTTCACTCCTTCCAGTGTCCCAGGAGGGTCACCTTGCAGTTCTCAGGGAGGAACATGGGGTCTTCCACCCTCGTGAGCTTCCTAGACATCAGGGTCTGCCCATCCCACTCCATTCCCAAAGGATGTTCTCCCAGCCTCCTGCTTCCATCCAGGGACCACCCTTCAGTGGTAAGATTCACACTGCAGACAACCAGAACCAACCCATTATCCTCAATAAGTGGTCACAACAGGCCACCCATTCAAAACTGATCTATGTCACATGCCCACAAGAGGCAGATCCAGAGCTAGAGAGATGGGGAGCGGTGGCCAGAGTCTGGGTAGATGAGTGGGGTGGGAACTGACTGCAAATGGGAATAAGACTGGAGCGATGAAAATCTTCTAAAACTAGAGCGGTGGTCGTTGCAAATATGTTAAACATTCACATTTCAGAGTCTATTTCAAAAGATCATTTCCTCAGTTCAGAAAGGTCAGAGATAGGGCTGGGCACGGAGGCTCACACCTGCAATCCTGACACTTTGGCAGGCCGTGGTGGGTGGATCCTGGCCAACGTGGTAAAACTCAGTATCTACAAACATACACAAATTAGATGGGCGTGGTGGCATGCACCTGTAATCCCAGCTACTCACGAGGCTGGGATTGCAGTGAGCCAAGATCCTGCCACTGGACTCCAGCCTAGGAGCAGAGAGACTGATTGAACAAAGAGAATTGCTTGAACCCAGGAGGCAGAGTTTGCAGTGAGGGGAGGTCACAGACTGTCTCAAAAAGTCAGACAGAGCCAAAGAATAGTCCTTCCTTTCTTCTTGCCTGTTTATGGGTTAACATTTGCCTGAAGTGCCGGCTACTAGGGAGTGCACAGGGGCACAGCCCAGTTTAGTCTGGGTGGCATAGAGAGACGCCCATCTCTAAAATTTAAAACAAATCGAGGCTGGGTGCAGTGGCTCACGCCTGTAATCCCAGCACTTTGGGAGGCCAAGGCGGGCGGATCACAAGGTCAGGAGATCGAGACCATCCTGGCTAACACGGTGAAACCTCATCTCTACTAAAAACACAAAAACTAGCCGGGCGTGGTGGCGGGCGCCTGTAGTCCCAGCTACTTGGGAGGCTGAGGCAGGAGAATCGCCTGAACCCGGGAGGCGGAGCTTGCAGTGAGCCGAGATCGCGCCACCGCACTCCAGCCTGGGCGACAGAGCGAGACTCCGTCTCAAAAAATAAAAAATAAAAAATAAAAAATTTACACTCCTGAAGATCTTTCATGCAGGGAAATTCTCAGACAATTGACTCACTGTAGCTTCATGAAATTACCAGGATGCTTATGAGTATTTCCATTAAAACGAATTTTCTAAGTATATTTCTTGGATCAACAGCATCCAGAAGTAAAACACAGGAATCTGATTTTACGCTTGTTTACAAAACTATTAACACTGCCATCAACTTCCTTAGATGATTGCTCTCAAACTGTGAGCTTCAAGCCCCGGAGGTGCTTTTCATCCAGTCACAGAAAAACGCCCCCTGGCTTGAAATCACAGCCTGAGCTTCACTTCCCAAGGAGGATTTGGGGCTTGAGCATTCTCAAGGTGGCATCCCGGTCCATCTGAAATCAGAGTACGAACAAAAGGCATCCCACGGCAGTCCTCTCTCAGTAATAAGCAGAATTAGGCAGAAGTAGGTAGAAGTTTCAAGTGACTTTGTAAACCAACTCAACATACTGAACCCTTCCCAACATTCGAGTGCACATGTAGCACAGGACGGGATAGACGTTATGAGACACATAATACGGGAGGCGTACAATGGAGAAGGATTGAAGTACATTATGTTCAATCACCACCATGAAATGAAATTAGAAATCACTGTTGAGGACAGGCACGGTGGCTCACGCCTGTTATCCCAGCACTTTGGGAGGCTGAGGTGGGTAGATCACGGGGTCAGGAGATTGAGACCATCCTGGCTAACACGGTGAAACCCCGTCTCTACTAAACAAAATACAAAAATTAGCCGGGTGTGGTGGCGGGCGCCTGTAGTCCCAGCTACTCAGGAGGCTGAGGCAGGAGAATTGTTTGAACCCAGGAGGCGGAGCTTGCAGTGAGCCGTGATCGTGCCACTGCAGTCCAGCCTGGGTGACAGAGCGAGACTCCATCTCAAAAAACAAAACAAAACAAAAAACAAAAAACTAGCCAGGATGGTGGTGTGCACCTGTAATCCCAGCTACTAGGGAGGCTGAGGCTGGAGAATCGCTTGAACCCGGGAGGCGGAGGTTGCAGTGAGCCAATATTGTGCCATTGGGCAACAAGAATGAAACTCTGTCTCAAAAAAAAAAAAAGAAGAAAGGAACATGCTTAGACATTTACACTCAGACCAAGAAAAATGGCTCCCTGGACTTTCTAACTTTAGATCCCAACCCAGGTCTGTGGCAGCAAACAAAATCTGTGGGTGGGCCCAGCACGCTGCTTCAGCCAGGCTTCCAGGTTTCTGTCATAAAATTAAGAGCCTCCGGGCAGGGGGCACGTGCGCCTGTAATACCAGCTACTTGGAGGCTGAGGCGGGATGATCACTTGAGCCCAGCAGGCTGAGACTGCAGTGAGCTACAGTCACACCACTGCACTCGAGGCTCGGTGACAGAACCCGTGGTCCATGACATCCTGGGTGGAAACTAGGACATCTACTAAATAGCTGGACCCGTCTCGGGGCCAGGAGGGAAAGGAAACCTTCATAGGAAGCACTTTTTTTTTGTGAGCCTCACTCTGTCACCCAGGTTGCAGTGCAGTGGCATTATCTTGGCTCATTGCAACCTCTGCCTCCTGGGTTCAAGTGATTCTCCTGTCTGCACCTCCCAAGTAGCTGTGATTACAGGCACATGCAACCACATCCAGCTAATTTTTGTATTTTTAGTAGAGACAGGGTTTCAAGTGCCCCGCCCATCTCGGCCTCCCAAAGTGCTGGGGTTACAGGTATGAGCGCCCCCACCTGCCTTAGGTAGCGCATATTAAGGAGCTAAGTTAACTGCAATTCCTGGGGTCTCAGAACAAGGTGGCATAACAGACATTTTTGCTTTGCACTGGAGGGATTTTTGCCTAGGAGAGAGCTTAGAAAATGGAATGCAATCAAAGTGAGAAAGCTGATTGCAGCGGAGAGAAAAAGGAACAATAGAAAAGCAAAGGCCAGTCCACTACATGCATCCATGTGGTGCAATGCGATGGGGGACTGGGGAATGGGTTATGATGAGTATTCACAATTGACATCCCCAAAACTGGGTGCACTTTCCTTTCAAATCACAGAAAATGCCCCTCAGTTTTGAGGACATCAGTCTGAATGTCATGTCTGACCTCAAACTCTTCCTACATGGTTAACTCACACTAGGGTTCACTGTCCTCACAACTGCAGATGGAGGACGTTCACACAGCACTCTTGCAGAAGCTCCCAGCCAGATCTTGAAAAAAAAATAACCTTAAAGAATCCTCAGGCCGGGCACGGTGGCTCAAGCCTGTAATCCCAGCACTTTGGGAGGCCGAGACGGGAGGATCACGAGGTCAGGAGATCGAGACCATCCTGGCGAACACGGTGAAACCCCGTCTCTACTAAAAAAATACAAAAATTAGCCAGGCGAGGTGGCGGGCGCCTGTAGTCCCAGCTACTCGGGAGGCTGAGGCAGGAGAATGGCGTAAACCTGGGGGGCGGAGCTTGCAGTGAGCTGAGATCCGGCCACTGCACTCCAGCCCGGGCGACAGAGCCAGACTCCGTCTCAAAAAATAAAAAAATAAAAAATAAATAAAAAAAAAGAATCCTCAGGCTGCCCAGAGAGTTGCTAGAAAAAGGCAGACACACCAGCATTTACACAAACTCAAGTTACATCACTAGTGGTAGGTTTCACATAAAAACCTTTGATTTCTGAGAAGGCTATGTACATGTTACACATCTGATCAGAACCAATCATTTACTCTAATCATACACTTCTATTTTCAGAGATGGGGTTTCACCATGTGGGCCAGGCTGGTCTTGAACTCCTGACCTTGTGATCTGCCTCCCAAAGCGTGAGCATTACAGGTGGGAGCCACAGCGCCCGGCTGTTTTTGGTTTTAAATTTCTCAATATTACCTGTGAAAGAATCCAAGTGTATATTCCCACAGTTCTGTCTATGAACACAGAAGAATGAGTGATTGGCAGCAAACTGATGGTTCGATGCCATGATAGGAGCACGCGGGCTTCAAAACTATCCTAATACCTGTCCTTTTTTTTTTTTTTGAGATGGAGTCTTGCTCTGTCGTCCAGGCTGGAGTGCAGTGGCGCGATCTCGGCTTACTGCAAGCTCCGCCTTCTGGGTTCACACCATTCTCCTGCGGCGCCCGCCACCACGCCCGGCTAATTTTTTTGTATTTTTTTAGTAGAGACGGGGTTTCACCGTGTTAGCCAGGATGGTCTCAATCTCCTGAATTCGTGATGCACCCACCTCAGCCTCCCAAAGTGCTGGGATTACAGGCGTGAGCCACCGCGCCCAGCCAATACCTGCCCTCTTGATGCAAATCCAAGTTTGGCATCCTCATCTAGGCATTCATTTGTTAACCTATTCTGTAGTCTTCTGACCTACCTCTTCTACTACTCTTCTTTGCAATTTTACTGTAAGGCAAGAAATTCCTAGTTTTCAGTAACCAGCACTCAAAATGCCTGGGTCCCACACGTCACAGGCAATGTGCCAGTATGTTCTTATCAGACTCCAAAAAGCACTCCCAGACTGCATGTCACCAAGTGGACAATTATCACAAGCCCCTGGGAAAACTTGCAAGGCAGCATAGAACCCCTATCTCCACAGGCAATCCTCCTACAGTCCAACAGAAGACAGTGTTGGAATGTGTTGAATTCTGACATTCTGTTCTACCACCTCACGGGAGACAGCGACTGTAAAAGCCTTTGGGAGAGTGTGGCTGGGAAATGGGCACATCGCTTCTCAGCACACATCCAGCAAGTGATCCTCCACGTGTCAAAAAATCTTATGCTTGCTGGGCGCGGTGGCTCACACCTGTAATCCCAGGACTTTTGGAGACGGAGGTGGGAGGATCACGGGAGGTCAGGAGTTCGAGACCAGCCTGGCCAACATGGTGGCACCCCATCTCCACTAACTACAAAAACTAAGCCAGGCACAGCTGTAATCTCAGCTACTTGGGCGACTGAGGCAGGAGAATTGCTTGAACCCAGGAGGCAGAGGTTGCAGTGAGCTGAGATCACTGCACTACACTCCAGCCTGGGCAACAGAGTGAGATCCTGTCTCAAAAAAAAAAAAAATAGTGATCTCAGGTGATCCACCATCTTAGCCTCCCAAAGTGCTGGGATTACAGGCGTGAGCCACCACGCCCGGCCTCAACTTGCTTCTTTCACTGTGTTCTGTGACTTGCCTCAAAATTCTTTCCAGCAAGAGATCCAAGAACCCGCTTTTGGGGTCTGGATTGGGTGCCTCTTTTCTGGCAATGGTGTGACTGGGCTATCCCTGAATCCAAGCATTACAGCTGCTACGTAACCCAGCCTCACAACTCAAATGACCCTGGTTATTTCCTTAAAGCTGGACTAAAGTCCAGTTTATGGCACACAACAAGCACCACAGTTTAGCTTTTACCTGCAGTGGCTCCTGGAGCCCTCTGCTCCCCCCATGGTCATGGTGTTTTTTCGGTGCTCGCCTCAGTCATTGGATCTCAGCAATGACAGCACTTTCATTCTGACACCAGAAAGTGCCCCCGAGGCTGAGTGCCACAGAGTGAGAAGTACCCTCCCTGTATTGTCCAGTACCTGGAAACTGCAAGCACATCCTCTATGCAGAAGATAAGATATTTAAAACTGACTTCTGAATATCGCTTAATAGTGAAAAGTAGAGTAAGCCCTCTCTCCAGTTCTTAAGAACAATGCAGATCCTTGTAATGCAAATCCTAGGCCTGCCCGGAGGCTCATGCCTGTAATCCCAGCGCTTTGGGAGTCCCCAGCCTGAGTAACACCTTCCTGAATAACACCTTTTACATTAGGTGGACAGGCCCGGTATGGTGGCTCGCCTGTAATCCTAGCAGTTTGGGAGGCCAAGGCAGGAGGATTGCTTGAGCACAGGACTTCGAAACCAGCCTGGGAAACATACTGAGGTCCCTTATCTACAAAAAATGTAAAAATTAGTTGGGTGTAGTGGTGCGCACCTATAGTCCCAGCTACTGGGGAGGTGGAGGTGGATCACTTGAATCTGGAAGGCAGAGGTTGCAGAGAGCCAAGATCTGGCCACTGCACTCCACCCTGGGCAACACAGTGAGACTCTGTCTTTTTTTTTAAAAAAAATCTGCCTTTGTGGGTAGCTAAATAAAAAACAGGTGCAGTGGCTCACGCCTGTAATCCCAGCACTTTGGGAGGCCGAGATAGGCGGATCACGAGGTCAGGAGATGGATACCATCCTGGCTGACATAGTGAAACCCCATCTCTACTAAAAATACAAAAAATTAGCTGGTCATGGTGGTGGGCGCCTGTAGTCCCCGCTACTGGGGAGGCTGAGGCAGAAGAATGGCATGAACCCAGGAGGCAGAGCTTGCAGTGAGCCGAGATTGGGCCACTGCACTCCAGCCTGGGTGACAGAGTGAGACTCTGTCTCAAAAATAAAAAATAAATAAATAAATAAATAAAAATAAACCAATAATGCAGTCCGAACATGGAGGCTCATGCCTGTAATACTAGCACTTTGGGAGACCAAGGTGGAAGGATCACTTGAGGTCAGGAGTTCGAGACCAGCCTGGCCAACATGGTGGCACCCCATCTCTACTAAAAATACAAAAAATAAGCCGGGCATAGGTGTAGTCTCAGCTACTCCAGAGACTGACGGGAGAATTGCTTAAACCCGGGAGGTGGAGGTTGCTGTGAGCTCCCACCACTGCACTCCAGGCTGGGCAATAGAGTGAGATCCTATCTCAAAAAATGAAAAATATTTTTTCTCTACAAGATTACATTTAATTGGCAACTACCTAGCTTTGAGCCAGCAAAGAGAAAAGTAACAGTTTTTTGGCCGGGCGCGGTGGCTCAAGCCTGTAATCCCAGCACTTTGGGAGGCCGAGACGGGTGGATCACAAGGTCAGGAGATCGAGACCATCCTGGCTAACACGGTGAAACCCCGTCTCTACTAAAAAATACAAAAAACTAGCCGGGCGAGGTGGCGGGCGCCTGTAGTCCCAGCTACTCGGGAGGCTGAGGCAGGAGAATGGCGTGAACCCGGGAGGCAGAGCTTGCAGTGAGCTGAGATCCGGCCACTGCACTCCAGCCTGGGTGACAGAGCGAGACCCCGTCTCAAAAAAAAAAAAAAAAAAAAAAAAAAAGTAACAGAACGGCATGTCTGTCTCACTAACTTTTTGTTTTTTTGAGACAGGTTCTTGCTCTGTCTCCCAGGCTGGAGAACTGTGGCACAATCATCGGCTCACTGCAGCCTCAACCTCCCTGGTCATACACAACTGTAGCATTTTGGCTAAACTAGCATGGCTTACAGATAACAAGTAGTTCTTTCTCTCTCTCTCTCTCTCTTTTTTTTAATAAGACAAGAGTCTTGCTCTGTTGCCCAGGCTGGAGTTCAGTGGTGCGATCTTGGCTCACTCCAACTTCCACCTGCCAGGTTCAAGCAATTCTCCTGCCTCAGTGTACCGAGTAGCTAGAACTACAGGCGTGTGCCATCACGCCAAGCTAATTTTTTGTATTTTTAGTAGAGATGGGGTTTCACCATGTTGGCCAGGCTGGTCTCTAACTCCTGACCTTGTGATCCACCTACCTAGGCCTCCCAAAGTCCTGGGATTACAGGTGTGAGCCACTGCGCCCGGCCTCAACTTGCTTCTTTCACTGTGTTCTGTGACTTGCCTCAAAATTCTTTCCAGCAAGAGATCCAAGAACCCGCTTTTGGGGTCTGGATTGGGTGCCTCTTTTCTGGCAATGGTGTGACTGGGCTATCCCTGAATCCAAGCATTACAGCTGCTACATAACCCAGCCTCACAACTCAAATGACCCTGGTCATTTCCTTAAAGCTGGACTGAAGTCCAGTTTATGGCACAGAACAAGCACCACGGTTTTTAGCTTTTACCTGCAGTGGCTCCTGGAGCCCCCTGCTCCCCCCATGGTCATGGTGTTTTTTCGGTGCTCGCCTCAGTCATTGGATCTCAGCAATGACGGCACTTTCATTCTGACACCAGAAAGTGCCCCCGAGGCTGAGTGCCACAGAGTGAGAAGTACCCTCCCTGTATTGTCCAGTACCTGGAAACTGCAAGCACATCCTCTATGCAGAAGATAAGAGATTTAAAACTGACTTCTGAATATTGCTCAATAGT